GTAACAAGGGTAACAAGGGTAACAAGGGGTAACAAGGGGTAACAAGGGGTAACAAGGGTAACAAGGGGTAACAAGGGTAACAAGGGGTAACAAGGGTAAAAAAGGGTAACAAGGGGTAACAAAGTGTAACAAGGGTAACAAGGGTAACAAGGGGTAACAAGGGTAACAAGGGTAACAAGGGGTAACAAGGGTAACAAGGGTAACAAGGGTAACAAGGGGTAACAAGGGTAACAAGGGTAACAAGGGGTAACAAGGGTAACAAGGGTAACAAGGGGTAACAAGGGGTAACAAGGGTAACAAAGGGTAACAAGGGTAACAAGGGTAACAAAGGGTAACAAGGGGTAACAAGGGTAACAAAGGGTAACAAGGGGTAACAAGGGTAACAAAGGGTAACAAAGGGTAACAAGGGTAACAAGGGTAACAAAGGGTAACAAGGGTAACAAGGGTAACAAGGGTAACAAGGGTAACAAGGGTAACAAGGGTAACAAGGGTAACAAGGGGTAACAATGGGTAACAAGGGGTAACAAGGGTAACAAGGGTAACAAAGGGTAACAAGGGTAACAAAGGGTAACAAGGGTAACAAGGGTAACAAGGGTAACAAGGGGTAACAAAGGGTAACAAGGTAACAAGGGTAACAAAGGGTAACAAACAAGGGTAACAAGGGTAACAAAGGGGCAACAAGGGTAACAAGGGCAACAAGGGTAACAAAAACAAGGGTAACAAGGGGTAACAGGGGTAACAAGGGTAACAAGGGTAACAAGGGGTAACAAGGGTAACAAGGGTAACAAGGGTAACAAGGGGTAACAAGGGGTAACAGGGGTAACAGGGGTAACAAGGGTAACAAGGGGTAACAGGGGTAACAGGGGTAACATGCGTAACAGGGGTAACAAGGGTTAACAAGGGGTAACAAAGGGTAACAAGGGGTAACAAGGGTAACAAGGGGTAAAAGGGGTTACAAGGGTAACAGGGGTAACAGGGGTAACAAGGGGTAACAAGGGGTAACAAGGGTAACAGGGGTAACAAGGGGTAACAAGGGTAACAAAGGGTAACAAGGGTAACAAAGGGAAACAAGGGGTAACAAGGGTAACAAAGGGTAACCAAGGGTAAAAAGGGGTAACAAGGGTAACAAAGGGTAACCAGGGTAACAAGGGTAACAAAAGGTAACAAAAAGTAACAAGGGTAACAAGGGTAACAAAGGGTAACAAGGGGTAACAAGGGTAACAAAGAGTAACAAGGGTAAAAAGGGAAACAAAGGGTAACAAGGGGTAACAAGGGTAACAAAGGGTAACAAGGGGTAACAAAGGGTAACAAGGGTAACAAGGGTAACAAGGGTAACAAGGGTAACAAGGGTAACAAGGGGTAACAAGGGTAACAAGGGTAATAAGGGGTAACAAGGGGTAACAAAGGGTAACAAGGGTAACAAAGGGTAACGAGGGTAACAAAGGGTAACAAGGGTAACAAGGGTAACAAGCGGTAACAAGGGGTAACAAGGGGTAACAAGGGTAACAAGGGGTAACAAAGGGTAACAAGGGTAACAAGGGGTAACAAGGGGTAACAAGGGTAACAAGGGTAACAAGGGTAACAAAAGGGTAACAAGGGTAACAAGGGGTAACAAGGGGTAACAAGGGTAACAAGGGGTAATAAGGGGTAACAAGGGGTAACAAGGGTAACAAGGGGTAACAAAGGGTAACAACGGTAACAAGGGTAACAAGGGTAACAAGGGGTAACAAACTGTAACAAGGGTAACAAGGGGTAACAAACTGTAACAAGGGGTAACAAGGGTAACAAGGGGTAAAAGGGTAACAAGGGGTAACAAGGGGTAACAAAGGGTAACAAGGGGTAACAAAGGGTAACAACAAGGGTAACAAGGGGTAACAAGGGGTACCAATAAGAACAAGGGTAACAAGGGTAACAAGGGTAACAAGGGGTAACAAGGGTAACAAGGGGTAAAAAGGGTAACAAGGGGTAACAAGGGTAACAAGGGGTAACAAGGGTAACAAGGGTAACAAGGGGTAACAAGGGGTAACAAGGGTAACAAGGGGTAACAAGGGTAACAAGGAGGGTAACAAGGGGTAACGCGGGGTAACAAGGGTAATGCGGGGTAACAAGGGTAACAAGGGTAACAAAGGGTAACAAAGGGTAAGGAGGGTAACAAGTGGTAACAAGGGGTAACAAGGGGTAACAAGGGTAACAAGGGTAACAAGGGGTAACAAGGGTAACAAGGGTAACAAGGATAACAAGGGTAACAACGGGTAACAAGGGTAACCAGGGGTAACAAGGGGTAACAAGGGGTAACAGGGGTAACAAGGGTAACAAGGGTAACAAGGGGTAACAAGGGTAAAAAGGGGTAACAAGGGGTAACAAGGGTAACAAGGGTAACAAGGGGTAAAAGGGGTAACAAGGGGTAACAAGGGTAACAAGGGGTAACAAGGGGTAACAAGGGTAACAAGGGGTAACAAGGGTAACAAGGGTAACAAGGGTAACAAAGGGGTAACAAGGGTAACAAGGGGTAACAAGGGTAACAAGGGGTAACAAGGGTAACAAGGGTAACAAGGGGTAACAAGGGGTAACAAGGGTAACAAGGGTAACAAGGGGTAACAAGGGTAACAAAAGGTAACAAGCGGTAACAAGGGTAAACGGGGGTAACAAGGGTAACAAGGGTAACAAAGGGTAACAAGGATAACACGGAGTAACAAGGGGTAAACAGGGGTAACAAGGGTAGCAAGGGTAACGACGGGTAACAAGAGTAAGAAGGGTGACAAAGGGTAACAAGGGGTAACGAGGGTAAAAAGGGGTAACAAGGGTACCAAGGGTACCAAGGGGTAACGAGGGGTAACAAGGATAACACAGGGTAACAAGGGGTCACAAGGGTAACAACGGGTAACAAGGGTAACAAGAGGTAACAAAGGGTACAAAAGGAGTAACAAGGGTAACAAGGGGTAACAAGGGTAACAAGGGTAACAAGGGGTAACAAGGGTAAGAAAGGGTAACAAGGGGTAACAAGGGAGAACAAGGGTAACAAGGGTTAACAAGAGGTAACAAGGGGTAAGAGGTGTTAACTAGGGGTAACAAGGGTAAGAAGGGGTAACAAGGAGTAACAAGGGTAACAAGGGTGAGAAGGGGTAATAAGGGGTAACAAGGGGTAGCAAGGGTTAACAAGGGTAACAGGGGTACGAAGGGGTAACAAGGGGTAACAAGGGGTAAAAAGGGGTAACAAGGGTAACAAGAAGGGGTTACAAGGGCAACAAGGGGTAACAAAGGGTAACAAGGAGTAACAAGGGGAAAAAGGGGTAACAAGGGGTAACAAGGTTTAGAAGGGGTAACAAAGGGTAGCAAGGGTAACATGAGGTAACAAGGAGTAACAAGGGGAAAAAGGGGTAACAAGGGGTAAGAAGGTTTAGAAGGGGTAACAAAGGGTAACAAGGGTAACAAGAGGTAAGAAGGAGTAACAAGGGGAAAAAGGGGTAACAAGGGGTAACAAGGTTTAGAAGGGGTAACAAAGGGTAACAAGGGTAACAAGAGGTAACAAGGAGTAACAAGGGGAAAAAGGGGTAACAAGGGGTAACAAGGTTTAGAAGGGGTAACAAAGGGTAACAAGGGTAACAAGAGGTAACAAGGGGTAAGAAGGTCAACAACGGTAACAAGGGCTAACAAAGGGTAACAAGGGGTACCCTGTGCTACCATTTGTAACCCTGTGCTCTCTATTTTCCCCTTTGTTACTCTGTGGTACCCGGTTTTCCCCCGTGTTACCCTGTGTTACTCTGGATTACCCTGTGTTTCCCTGTGGTTCGTTGTGTTAGGCTGTGGTACCCTGGATTACCCTGTGTTACTCTGTGTTACCCTGTGTTACCATCTTTCCCCTGTGTTCCCCTGGATTCTCCTGTGTTATCCTGTGTTTGTCTGTGTTACTCTGTTTAACGCTGTGTTATGCATTAATCAGCGGCTTCCCCTTAGGGCTCACCATTGGGCACCCATCGGCACCCAGGGGCATTTGTCGCAATTGACAGATATTTGTTGCCTGAGGGTGTGGAGGAAAATGCTGCTTTTGTTCATAGAGATTGCACCCCAGGGGGCAGACATTGGGGATTTGCTGGTCAGCGTTATACCTTATTGACGATTCCTGGATGTTGTTCAAGTCGTTAACTTTGCGCCCTTTTCACACGAGATTTAGGGCTTGATTTAACCAGCATTCTTACTAGGTAGTTTTAAAAATGAGGGGTCCATGGGAACTCCAGCCACCTAAAATTGAGGGTCCTTTTCTATTTTGAGGAGTCTAATCCTGGGTAGTACCCAATTCACCGAATTTAATTTGCGTCCCAGGGACTCACAGTGCTCAAAAACCATATGCCTTTTCTCCACTTTTAGAAAGAAAAACAAAAGAAAGGAACTTTTTTTACCGAGGGTAAACTACGTTATTACTGGTAACCCGCTTGTTTACAGAACGGCCCTCAAAACCTTAAAAATAAATGTATACAATACAACTATTTGGTCAAGTGGAGCACTGAAATACAACAAACTTTCAACGAGGGTCTAAGCAAAGCCAATAGCTGGTTTTTGTGGATAAAATTCGTACATTTTGTGTGTTAAAGGGAACACTGGTCCTTATTGTTGCACCCAGGGAGTAGGGGATTTGTCAGAATTCCTCTGCCCCATACCCAGGGGGGCTTGATGAGGTTTGCATGAGCATTTGGATAAATCCCCCAGGTTCCCGGTGGGGCGGAGCACCAGGGGGAAGCCACTAAATAATGCATAATAGAGGATTGATGTATCAACCTCAAATCCAAAAAACTTGCAACCACAACACTAACGTGTCTTAAAAGATTGCAGCATTAAGTTTAATGCAATAGTTAATAGTGAAAAGTTGCTTCAACGTTTTACAGTCGGCATAATTTTTTGACCTTAGCTTGTCAACGTCACGGCAAATTATTCGTACTTATGATATACACTGCCTGTGGTTTTGAAAACCTTACCCCTTTTGCATTACAACCCCCATATAGGATCTATACACTGTATACAGTAGCATCTCTCCCCTGCAATAGCAACAGATCAGTTGATTTACCAGGAGCTCCTGCCATGAATGTCAAGTTGGCCATCTGTGCAAGTGCACCTGTTAATCCAAACTGAGTGACATCACCCAGATTTTCAACTGATGAGCCCTCTGAGTCACTCTCCTGCTCTCCAGCCATTGAACGGTGCACTTCCTAAAAGGACGACATAAATTCCATTAGTTCAGTGACCTTGGCTTGGTTTCCACAACAATATTCAATAGAGAGCTTTATATTCTAAGATGAGGATGACAACGAGAACAAGATTTTCTTTAAAGATTTTCTCAATACCAAGAAGTGCGTGTGCGCGCGACCAACTTCTGATCTTGGTGGGAAAATGTGATCTAGCAATCTCCATTCCACTATGAGTTTTAGCGAGAATGTCGTAGTAGCTAAAACAAGTTACCCAAAACTTCGATCATTCAGATTGACAACAATGGGCTATTTCTGAGTGGATCATTATACGATTTTGGGAAACTGCCCACCTACCCCTCCCCTAAACCAACATTAACACCTTAGTTCTTACTTAGGGCACAATGTTGGCTTAGGGGAGGGGTAGGTGGGCAGTTTCATAGAAACATAAAATGATCCTTCTGAGTTGCCTCAAGCTTCTGTTTCAAAGCGAGGCTAAGTGCAAAGCATTGATGTGGAAATGATTTTTTATTCTCATAAATAAAACTCATTTTCACAAAAAATCTTTTGCACTTAGCCTTGTTTTGAAATTATGAGGTTCTAGAACTTGGAAATCACTTATTTCAATGATGGTCTCATAGAGCCAGAGCCTGGATTTAAGAATGAACATTAAAATTCCAAGACAAGAATAATTCTTCATTAACTCATTCAGCACACTATCTATGTTGCAATCAAGCCAAACCACGGCAAGTGAGTGACCACAGAAAATTTACACCTAACAAAAGGGTCATTTAATACCTGGCTTCTTTCGTTCCAGGCACAATTCCCAGGCAGTTCAAACTGACTATATTTTAGCTGCATTGTTCTCTCGTTATATGTGTTTAATTGCAGATACACACAAAGATTTGTGTTGTTGCTTTTGCTGTTGTTCTTACTTGTAGAGGATAAAATCATTATTAACAAACCTTTTCTTGAAGCAGTCTCTTCAAAAAATGGATTCTCTTACTTCTTGAAGTGAGTTGAGAATAATCTGAATGCAGCTGATCCAGTCTGAAAAAATCATAACTGGAGAGTTTAAGTACCACTTGAAAAGGCTTTAAGTTTAATTTGTTCAAATCGCTTCAGTGGCGTAAGTATTGTACTCCCTGGCATTGAATATAGTCTGAGTGATACTCTAAATGGTTTCACGGCATATGAAAGGTACTTTTTACAAAAAAGGCACATTTAAACTCCTTGCATTCTTGCACATACATCTTGAGCACTTTTCTCTTATATGGTTGACTTGCATGTTCTTACAATCTGAATGACAATTTGTAAGTACAGAGGGCCGGGCCAGGGGATAGGTTAGTCTGCTACACAGCTGTTCTGGGGAGGAGTGTCGCATGTCGACACAAACTCTGAGCAGCTGTGTAGCAAGAAGGGTATGATCATCTGGTTCCTCTCCTTTTTGATTTGATATTTCATGTTATTTATTTTAGAAGTTGCTTTTTAATTTTTTTGTCATGTTTTCAAGAAAGAATTCATTTATACACACTCACCTTGTAAGCTTCTGCTGAAGAAGTGGTCTTGATTTCATATCAATTGCAGGTACAAAGTTGGTTTTAGCTGGAAGGAACAGCAAGAGCTAACTATCGATGATCATAGCATCTGGTGTATACGAACTAGTCTTGATGTTTATCGTCAATCAAATGATTATGCCCAATGCTGCAGAGCAATCATGAGTTGCACTGGGTAGAGGTGTTTGGGGGTTTATAACATGAGGTAGTCATTTTGTGCAAATCTGGTCATAAAATCTTTAAACACTTGCATACTTCAGAATTACATGGTACATATATCATACTTAGGATGTTTTCAAAGTAAAATTAGTGAAAGTTATGATGGGGCTCTATCTCCAACAGCGATAATAATCTGAACTTGTAACCTCATGTTTCTACTATGAACATGCGTGTTGTAGATAAAATTTTTAAAGTGCAGTAGGTGCTATGAGTAAGTGAGTCAGTGATGGATGCACTTACAAAAATAAGGACTGATTTCTGGCTCTAAGTTGGTGACCTTCTCTGTGAAAGCAATGATATTTGGATGTGGCACTCTCTTAGGAGCAAACATAATTCTGCAGGATAATAAGACAAGGCAAATTAGCACAAACCATCCATCTCCCTTTCCTTTTCCTTCCATGGGATCCTGTAGAATCTTGTCCACGATCCTGACAGAATGACCCTACATGATCCCATGTCTTGACCACGATCTTGTTCAAGACCCTGACAAAGATCCTACATGAAGGATCGATCTTGCCCAGGATCCTGGGCGATCCTGGACAAGATAACACAGGAGACTGGACAAGATTTAATCCTAATTTACCATATAATCTGCTTTGCCCATGTATAATTAACCCTTTAAGCTCAAACATCAACACACTGTTCTTCATACAAATCAAATCAAATCACTGGTTTATTGTCACTTTTGCAGTCGGAAGACTGAATTGTAGGATACCTTACAAGCTGTGATATATATACTAATACACTACATTTATTGACAAGATTAATATTTAAGACTAACAAAATTTGACAAACGTTCAGTCCTCGTGGCCATGGGCCTGCTAGAACTCCCTGATCTTAGACACACACTGGTAGATATAGGTACCACTCTGTTGTGCATTAGTGGGTATAATGGGTTACCTGGCCGAACCTTACCTATAAATTTAATACATGAGACTGCCAGACAGTCAGAAAGAGTGGATAATACAGCTTTGTCAAGTGCTGTTTCATACAAAATATCAGGCCCAATGATGGAAAGTGCCCTTTTTTGTACGTTCTGAAGATAGCATGCAAGATTATACTTAGGCAAGTAAGCGAAGACAGTGGAGGCATACTGTATGGTACTGCTTGAGGGAATTAATTCTAACATCACAACATTTCATCTTTGGCGATCATTTCATTCATTCTCATGACCTGCCCATTTGATCAGGCAGTGTTATTGTTGGGAGAAATTAGATATGGATCACTATTGGGGCTTAAAGGGATAAAACAGAGTGCACTTATAAGTGGTAATGTTGCATGCCAAGTCTTTGTCTCAGCAAACATTACATTTTACTTCCTCATTACGTGTATATTATAATGAAAAACACTTAATTAAACATCTTTTAGCAGGTATATTTGACAGAAGTTACAATGCCTAATATGATCTGAGGAAAATAGTGTATAAGCAACTATCTCCATCCTGCTGTACCACAAATCTCTGGACTGTGAGTGTCTGTGATCACATCTATATCTACGTAAAAATGATATTCATTTGCTGATCTGACCTAGCAGTCACAAGATAAATTATTTTTACCACTCCAGCTAAGTTAAATGTGACTGATTTCAACATTATGATTATACTGAAAGAGGTAACTACTCTATGTACTCTACCCTGAACTGCTTCCTGCTGAGCTAGTTGGAAGTTCCAAGTGTGGAAATGCACTTTGCTGCAAATAATATCTAGGAGGCTGATGACTCTCAAGCTAAAAAGTTAAGTAGTTATGGTAATAATAATAATAATAACCATGTTAACCACTCCCTGTAGTTTTTCCAATACAGTTATAGTATAAGTAAGATTATTAGAGTGGGGCGGGGGGTTAATAGAGAATTTATGATAATCATAACATTCCTAACAGCTGACTAAGTCTCCTGTTGTTAATAACATATATTTTAGTAACAGTTTAATCTGAAATGACTCAAGTTTCATGACTTTTTCCACAGGTAATTATTAAGGTAATTTATCCATGTTTATCCATGTGTACCCATTCAGACGCTGCAAGTAGCCAATGAGAATGCAAGTTGTCACACTAGCTAAAACAATTCCAGCAGATATATAGTAACAGTCTTTATTACTGAAAGAGGTTATCACAATTTATGGCCAAAAGAAGAAAAATTCACATTAGCTAGTATGCAAAAATACAGTCAATAGTGAGTAAATTTAGTGAAAGTATAGAGAAAGGTAGAAAATATACTGATGAAAGATATCCCAGAAGGTTATAAATACCTGATCACACAAACCATAGCCATATGAGCCATACGCAAAAGCAAATTCCAACTGAAGATCACCAGCATACTATTACAAAGAAAACAAAAACAGAAGTACATTTAATCATTTGTTTTTTATTTACTTTTATTCAGACTGTAAGTTAGTTGCAAGTAAAAAGACCATGTCTCCAAACGTAAACCACTGTAATGTAAGCCAACTACTTCATCAGGTGTGTATGATTTCAATACACAGCTATCAGTAGTCTGTTGATAGACAGCACAGTATGAGATAAATGGCCAGTAGGTGTTTAGCATGATTTCTTTTTTGAGTGTCCAAAGTTCAAATCCTAAGCCATGCTTAGAAATAGCTGGCCAGCTAGTGGCCTCCTCTACGTTAAAGTTTTTAACCATGTTTTGTATTATTTGACTGGAGTAACTATAAACCACAATGTAGTAAGCGCTGGCTGAGTGCACATCCATGCTATTAACAAAGCAAATATGCCATCATTTTTATTTACCATTATTGTACCATTTACCTGCTTTTTTCTGTTCTGCAGCTCAAATGTCTCCATGGACCATTGTTTCTGTAAGTTAAAAGGTGCTAAATATGTGTCAACAAGTTTATTTAGATTCATCCAATATACATTATACTTAACAAAGGGCTATGACAAAATCTTTATCTTTCTGAGCCCCCATAGAGATCCTGTGTACACAAGTCTGGACAAAACTTTGCACAGATCCGCCTTTCGCTTACACAGGACCCACAGAACAGTGCAAGTTTTTTAAAGGCAAACAGTACTGCATTCTGTGGGCTGTCATTAAGGGCCGGGGATTTCCCCCACCTACTATGAATGTGATCTCTGGCTACTTTCATAGGAAAACAGAAGAAAGATAGAACCAAAAGAAATCCCTAGCTGTTTGATTCCCCGCCTACTTAGTGGCAAACCTGATTCTGTAACAGAATTTGGACAGGTCCACGTAAATGGGTTAATTTGCACAGGTAAAAAAGATCATTTAAAAATTGTCCAGACTCGTATAAACAGGGTCTCAATAATGAGCCAAAACTTGTTTCTCTTAACTGTTTCTGGTCACTGTTTATCTATCAAACATTGTGATTTTAACTTTTATGTCTATAGTTTTATTAAAAACCTTAATGTTTACAAAACTATTTTGCAATATTTTCCAACCAATTCTTGGCACCTGAAAATTATGAAACCAATAATACAATTTGTCTTAAAAATGATGGTATAAGTTATGCGTCTGCAGTCCATACATGCAGTCACCTATATATAAAAGGTACCTTTGCTAACTTGTGCAGATGGAACTCCATTTTTCCCAGTAATTTGTGTTTTGGGATTGGCTGAAGTTTGTCGAAACATAGCACAGTAATGACGACTTTGTTGGCAGCACTGGTTACTTTGGGGGAAATCTTAAATAAAATTATAGCAAAATTCTGGTCATTCAATGAACAGTCAATTTCACTGCAGTAAAAGAAGCTGCCTAAAAAATCTGAATGATGTTACTATGCAGAACTAAATGCAGGGCATGTTGCATTAATGGTTGTACATAGTATTCAGGAATAAGAATACACAACCTAAGATTACTGGAATTCCTTTCATAAACAAGTTTGATCCAATATTCATGTATTTACGTGGTAAATAAAACCCTCTCCTTAACTTCACATGGAAATCATACTGAGAGAACAGAGGAGAAGCTTGTACATCTGGCAGTTATACCAGCCGTCTACCATGCATGCAAGAAATAAGAGCATAAGTGCTCATATTTGTCTATGAAAACATGTTTCTGCTTTATGATAAAAAATCAAGGGGTAGGGGCTTTAGAAGATGGGAGCTTATCACGAAAAGACTAGGTGTTTCGAGGGTGCTTCCTCTTCCTCAGTGGCTTAAAGTTGCCTTAAACCACTGAGGAAGGGGGAGCACCCTTGAAACTTCTGTTTTTTTGCACCCTTTCAATGCACATTTTGATAAACTTTGTGAAAATCATTGAACTTTTGCATTGCACAGTATTTTCCAATTTTTTATTAATTTTAATGTTTGGCACCTTGATCAGAGTTGGATTTTAGAAGAGTCTGCAGGTCGGCAAATATTCTGGGTATAATTTGCAGGTGTTGGGGTGGGTAACCCTGAAGGTGTTAGGGTTAGGTAAGGGTTCAAGTTGGAGAACCATTAGTGAGGCCTTCTTACACATGTCCCTGGCCTGAATTTCAAATACAGCTGCTTTGCATGATCAGGAGTAGGCCATGTCCCTGTCGGTAATTAGAGATCAGTTTTGAGAATTTGTATGTGGATATTGGGGCTTTGAGGATTAAAACCCTTATATCCACATACAAATTCTCAAAACTGATCTCTATACATTTCCATAAAGAATAAGTTGAGAGAATTTGATAAAAGATCAAAGCATTTTCTCCTGGGTGATTATTTCATTAATTCTCACAACCTTTTCTCTTGACTGTGTATTTATATTGTTAGGAGAAAATTGATGTTTGTCACTTTTAGGACTTAATAAAGGGTTAACCCATCTTTATGTCATTTGTCTCCATTTTATCTAGTCTTACATCATCGCTTCAAAGCCATGTCCCTTGTCAGAATTTTACCCAACAGGGTCTCGTTAGTCATACTGCTGCTGGCACAGTTGCAAATTAAACCCTCCATACTTGTCTGAACTCTTGACTTACAGTGACAGGGAAATTCCTGATCTCATCCCACACAACATGGCCCTTTTTAAGTGGTGACTGCACCGATGTACATTTAGTAGTAGACCCAGCTGTTATTTGAACATAAATTCCATAGTGTTCAGGGGGAAAGTTAGCATCTAAGTAGAGGTTCTGAGCTCCAAACACATGCACAGCAAATACACCAGTCTGTATAAAGAAAAAAAAAGGCGTAAACAAAATCACAAATTCATCTAACAGGCTTGCAAACTGGCAGGTACAAACAAGATCATCAACATTTCGAAATGCCCGGAAAACTATCCCAAGAGGTAAAGGTTGCGCTTGATCTTGATTGTCGCATAAATACTGGTGCGAAATGCCCGGAAAACTATCCCAAGAGATGAAGGTTGCGCTTGATCTTGATTGTCGCATAAATACTGGTGAGAAATGCCCGGAAAACTATCCCAAGAGATAAAGGTTGCGCTTGATCTTGATTGTTGCATAAATGCTGGTGATTAGATTATCTCTGAGACAAAAGAACTCAGTGGAGAAAAATCTTTCACTAGTAGTCCAATCTATGGGCACAAAAATTAATGTGTCTCAAATGTAAGTTATAAAAACCGCGTTCGTGGACATGATCAGCTGATCATTTTGCCACGATTTATGTACGTGGAACTAGATCGAGCCTGACACTAAAGAATACTTACTGGCAACGTTGCATTTTCTGCAAGCAGAGGGTCTTCATCTTGCAACAAACCCTTTTTAACATCCTCTGAACCCTTCAGCTCGGTACCACCACCTTTGCGATCACATTACACAAAATCAAAAATGTGCACAAAGATCATTCATATCAAACCTCTTCGAGAAGTCGGATATCTGCACTTAAGGGATCTTACCTATACCAGGAAGAGTTTCTGCTAGTTCAGAGAGCATTGTGTGGTATTGTGATCGCAAAAAGGTCCCGAAACCAAACAAAGGGCAATTTGTTTTGATCGCGCAATGCACAAATCACTCGCGCACGGTACGAGCAGATCGCACGAGCACACGCGCGTAGGAGGCCGCCATGTTTTGGAGCCGTCAGCTTTCATTTTGTCAGTCAGCGGCAATTCATTGAGCATGCGCAGTTCTTTGCAATGTCATGGCCGGCGAATGAAGCGTGTGTGAGAGAAAGAAAGAACGGAAAATAAAGGAGATAAAGAGCCAAGTTGTTGTTAAGAAACAGTCAAAATGAAAAAAGAAGACGTAGAAATGAAGGAGGCCTCCCAGAAAAATGGCGCAGAGTCTGAAGAACCAGTAGCTGAAGTTTCCAAAGAGGAAAAAGAGAGGCTTGCTTTAGAAGGTAGGGTGGAATTTCTTTGGCTTGTTGTAAAGATTTCAGATCTCCTTGTGATAGCGGTTCCTATTTTAAAAGAAATGATTATGAATTTGAGGGCCTTGATTATTTATTATACTATCGAGACAACGATAAGATTTCCGTGTAACACCATACATTTATTATGCATATACATGCTTCGACTCTATTCCGATATATTAAACTATTTGTGAGAAAAACCATGAAATGGCTGCATACATAATAAATCAATAAATCTATGGGGTTATATGAAAATCTTACCCGGTCAACTCTTTCTGTCGAAAAGTCAAAACTAAATTCTTCCCACCTACACTGTGTTTTCAAAGTGTATGACAATTTCCACTATTTTTAAGTCTCGATTATCAATGGGAGTCTGACTCATCTAATTGAAGACTATAAAGGCTAACGCCTGGTTTTTATTTGTCGGGAAAATCCCAGACCGTCTTGGATTTTACTGTGTCCAGACCGTCCCAGATTTTGCCAACTAATGAAAACTCTAAATCCTGGATAACCCCGATGGTCTGAGATGGTTGATGACTAATCTGGAGAATCGGTAGCATTTCTATTTTCCGGACACATCCCAGATTTCTGCAATGGTCGGCGATCATTCTCGACAAATGAAAACTTAAATTTGTACCACAACTGAAGAGCGAAAACAATTAGAAACAACACGTAACACTTAGTTATAAAGCTACCGTCATTCTCTGGTCCCAAGGTGATGGTTGTCTCAAATGAAAAAACTTAAATTTGTCCTTGTGTACCTTTGCTACTTCTACGAAATGGGACCTCTACACAACCACATTGCTCGAGACAGAACGTTTTTAGAAAATAAAACCTAAAAATGTTGCGGGGAGTTACTGAGGCACCGTAGAATTTCCATTTTTTCGCTTGTAATATTCAGACATTATTTTACTTTACCAATCCTCTAAATTGCTGTGGTCCAGTCCCTCTATCACACATGAACATCGTGTCTCTGGGACAGACTTCTTCGGGTTGAATGGATCGCGCCTATGTCCATATGGCAACTCTAGAAAATGTGTGTTAATGCTAGTCCCAGACAGTCAACTTTGGTTAGCGGTCTTGGATTTTACTGTGTCCAGACCAGACTATCTTAATGCCTGATTGATTCAATGGAAGCTAGACTCCCAGATTTTGCCAACTAATGAAAAATCTCTAAATCCTGGATAACCCAGTGGAATTTTTTGACCGATGATGGTCTGAGATAGTTTGTCTTTCCTTTTCAGCATAAAATCTGAAATATAAAGATAGAAATTTTTGCTGACTGAATTTTTCTGGAGAATCGGTAGCATTTCTATTTTCCGGACACATCCCAGATTTCTGCAATGGTCAGCGATCATTCTCGACAAATGAAAACTTAAATTTGTACCTTTGGGGACGTCGACGATGGAATTCGCTCTTTACCAATCCTCTAAATTGCTGTGGTCCAGTGACTATTTCCTTCAAGATCTGTTTCTTGTACAGTAGAACCTCAATATAACAAACCTCTATATAATGAAGTCCTCGGCATAACAAACAACTATTTTTCTTTACCCCAGTAATAGTAAAATATATGGAAAAAACCCGCGATATAATGAAACCTCGTTATAGCGAATAAATTTGCCAGTCTATTGGCCCTTTGTTATATTTTTTGGGCTCCAATGTATTCCTGAATCGCATGTTCACAGTCAGAAGATTTTTTTCTGGTACATGTGTATGTTCTACTAATGAAAATGTGCTAGTTTAACCTTTTACATGTATGTGTATTGCACAGACTTGAAAGAACAAGTGAAGTACATAGAGAAGTCAGTGTCGTCAAAAGAATCCCGTTTCTTAACTCGTGTGCTGAGGTCCATTCCAGCCACAAGGAAAAAGCTGACTCATCCAATCCTACGAAAGCTCATTTGTGGATTCTTTCCTAATGGTAAGTGCTGGTAATTATACATTCTCACAAATTAATCAGATAGTGGCTTAACTATGAGTGAGGCTATTTATTTTTACTCGCTTAGAGAACCAAGCTTGTGAACCATTGATTCTCTTGTATGCAAATTTATTTTATGCTATGCTGATTTTGTGGCTGTTAAGAGTGTGTCCATGAGAGAACCAGGCAGGAGGTGATAATGCTCAAATCACGGATTTCGCTCAAACTTGGCACAATTGATGGGTGTGGTGAGATATTAACCTCGACAAAAAATAAGGTCGCAATATTGAATTCCCTGGGATTTACAGGGACCCCCCCTAAAAACGCTGACTTTGGTTTGGCTTTTCAACAAGAAGAAAAGACAACTTCAAATCTAATCAACTTTATCATCTTCTATGTTTATCAAACTTAATGCTCAGTAATTTATTTTTACTCTCTAATTCGATCTCTTCCTATTATTTAGCCTAAAGTAAGGACATCTTCTCACTGTTTTGACCAAACCCTAAATTTAAGGTATTTTAGTGGCTAACATCTCCCATGAGCAACAACCTATGTACTTAATTCTCACATATTCTTTGAAAGACATCTTTAAGGTTATCAAATCAATCATAAAATATTTGGGCAATCTCATACTTTATCAATAATGACGTAATATGTACATCTGACTTGACGCTTATTTGTCATTTGACCAAAATTGGAAGAAACGTAACATTCGTTTTTTTAAACAAAAATAGCACGGAGATGACGAGAAGTCACAAATCAGATGCGTTATTATCGATACTAATAGCGGAATTGTTAGAACGTGTCACCTGAGGCATGTTTTCTGTGTTATTTATGGACGTTTGGATGGATATTTTATGGAACGCTTGAGTAAACACAAGGAGCAAAAAGAGTTAGTTCAAAACTTGATCGGTCCAACTTGTAGGTGAAACAAGACCCAACAAGGATAAAAGATAGTGAATAAATGTTACATACACGTCCCTCAGGTGCTTTAGTCCAGATTTGCTGTTCCAGTTTCGCCTGGTCCTTTGTGGCGCTACTTCATGACGAGGTAATGAAATCGAAACATCTTGAAACATTGCAGAATTAAAAGTGTCGGCTTTTCACCGAACATTATTCAAGTCTTAGAAATAAGTTGTAGTCAGAAAGAGCAAAATCATTCTCAAAGGACAAGAAGGATCACTAACAATCCATCTATATCTACAGAAAACAACTACCTGCTCGAACACCCTCCATCTTTGACTTTAGACTCTGCCAAAAAGATAGAATCTGTGACGCCGACTACCGGACTCCGAATGTGGAATACGCTATCTATTGTTGTACGCGCGCCAATATCCTGTTATAACTGGTGTGTTGAAAATAGGTCGTGAAAGTCGTGTTACTTGAAATTTTGAGTTTATTCGATGTTGACATTAATTACCATGATAATAATGGTCCATAATAGCCCTTTTGTAGTCAGACCGTGCGTGCAGTTTTTAGACAATTAATGACTTACCACTGGGTATAATTACTTACTTAGTTGTATTTTAATCCTCGTAGTCTTACAACTATACAGGTTGGTATCTGTATCTGGGTATATTATTGACTACAAAAATATAATAATAACCGTTTATAAACGTGTTGAGGAAAAACTTCTGAGGAATACAAAAGACCCAAAAGGGGGCACTAATACATTGCAAAAAAAGTCGGCTAGACTTCTTTGGCTATAAGGAAGGTGTAAGAGAACAGTTTCTTGAGCACAGACTAATACACTATATTCACTTCTCATTTAAACTGTCATTTGATGGATTCATACAGTAGATTAAGTTCTCTTAACGGACACTCTCGTATATATAGCGAATAGCTCTACTTACGACCACCATCACAAAATCCCGTTTCAACTCCGACACAAACTCTGGATTTTTACATTCCGTGTGGCGTCATGACACTTAAAGGGTTTACCGGCGAATTAGATGTTAGCTTTGATTTAAAGCTCTCCTAAGCAGACACTCGAAAGAAATCTTACCCGCCTCTGAATGTTTTTTTTTTTTTTGTTCATATCATGTCCACAGTCATATGGCTGTTTGTCACTGTTATGAATCATTCTTATATATCCTTTTCAGAGTTACCGTTTTTCACATACTCGTCCGTTACACTTGAAAATACAAACTGAATCGTATGCTTTTACGTAAATTACAACAAGGCAAGAACATCAGCGTAACCATACACTAAAAAACAGTTTTTTGCTACTACCAGTAATTTGTAGCTGGGAGGAGCTTCCGTAAGCAGCTATCTAACCTTTACACCACTTTTAAAGTGGTTGAATTCCACTTGCATAACTATCCTGCATATGAGATTCATTCTTGTAAGCGGCCAGATCCAGTTAAGGACACCTTTTTCTCGTCCCAAGGGCACCCTCGTATGAGAGCTTCCACTGTATTACAATTTTAGGATTTCTCTTGCATTTTAACAAATTTTCGCTTAACGAGGCACAGTCGAACCTACGTGCGACCACCCAACTTAAGTGACCTCTTCCCAATAAGCGATCACTTATTCAAAACATGCACCAAATATATTATCAAGTCAAGCGCTTGTAGTTGGAACCTCCTGTAAACGAACACATCCACATCCAATAAGCGACCGCGACCACTTTTTACGATGACAGTCTGATTGAGAATTTTCCATGGTGCGATGGTCTGATCTCTGCGTTCCCTGTATGTCCTAAGCTACTCGGAGTATGAGAGGAACTTTAGAAACAAATTAGATTTATCTATAGTATATTGTAACTTAAAAATTGCATGCAGTACATTCACTCCAAAAAGTAGATGTGTCCGCACTTTTCCTCGTTAAAGACCTCCTGCGGTTCGACTCTCGTAAAACCCAAATTTTCCTTGGGCAACCTTCCGACCACGCACGGACCGGAACATCAAATGTCTGTAACTTAATTGGTGTGTCTGTCCATAATTCAACATCTGCCTGCCTCAGCACGGCACACGGCTTGGCACTAAACTGGTTTTGGTGCCCAAGAGTACGCAAAAAGGCCCTTCCGAGATCTAGGACGAGAAAATTGACCTTACCTGGGTAGGGTGAGAAATTTGAAATCGAAGTATTACAGTTGAAGTATCTCTCGGAGGGAATGTGGGAAGGGTGTTAAACATATGGAAGCGGTTGTTTGAGAAAAATATCAAACTCAATGTGAAAGTGTGGTGTATTTTGAATTCTACTTGGAAACATTAGTGCCACAGTTAGGCTTTATAAGACCCCCAACAGACCGTGCGAGATAAAAAAATTCACTGTTTATGACAGTCAAATCTGGTGCCAGCAGGGTAGGGCATTTGTACGCAATTTGGACTCTCCCCCGGGGAGAAGGGACTCCAGTATGAAAAAAAAAATGGATTTCCTGTCGCAAGCCAATCTGGACGTGTCTCACGCTTTATTTGTCTCTTTGAACTGGTCTGCACTAACATCCGGCTTCACTTCGCTGCTATTTCACGTGCAACTAAAATAGAAAAAATAGTTCTTTCCAAAACACGAAGACAAAACGACTTCTATCTCCGAGTTTGAGAAGACATGGGATCACTTATAATCATGGTCTGAATAAAGTTGCCAATAGATTTGGAATTCTAAATTATTTATCAGCATACAATAACAATAAAATAATCTGAGAGAATGTCGGAAAGTCATTTTGTTCACTGAACTCTGGCTCCTGGCTCCTGGTTCCTGACTCCCGATACGATGTTTCCGTTTGGTGGCAACCGCTGCTTAAAAATGCGGGCTCCATTTAATGTCAAAGATGTCGGACGTTTGCAACATGTGAATTGAGCTACAACAGTGGCAGAAATCGGAATTCTTTCAATGGGTTAAGAATCGGCTTTCTACATTTCGTATTGTTTTGTCCTAAAACAACTTGATTTGGATTTTGGTGCGTAAACTGATGGCTAAGGAATTTTAGTCGTACAGCGAGTCACGACGCTGAACTACGCTGAACTGGACATCGTGGGTGGCATGAAGAACAAATCAAAGCGGCACAAACTAGCAGTTGAGACATCTAAGAGATACGTATATGGATTTTATTGATCGTTTATATTGTTTTTTAGGGCTTAAATTGTTAAAGTAAGTAGAACTGTGAATTAAATCTTTGTATGTTGTTTTTACTTGAAAAGATCGCGTGTATCGCTATCAAAAATCATTGTTAGCGTTTCTTGGACAACAATTTTTATGATTTTACCCTTATTAATGTTAAATCATTGTCTGATGAGTTTTTTTTGTTCGATTTCTCCTCATTCAAAGGCAAACACACGAAATATTGTGAGGGCCTGAATTTTGATGAAATATGCAAGAGCCGTTCAGTCACATGAACAGTTTATGTCAACACGTGGAAGAAAGTGAATTGCCCAAACTTTTTATGATCTTTTTCTCAACTTAAGTGATGGCTTTAACTACTCATGCAAAAGTTATAAAGATAAGCGGTTGCTCATCAGAGATATTTGGGAATAAAATACCCTAATTTTACGTCTTACTCAAAACTTGGAAATGATGACCAAACTTAAGGGGGCTAAGAGGGGGGAAATCGAATCGGCGACTTTAAACAGTTTATTGTGCTTAAAGTCTTATGATGTCAGATGATCTCTCAGTGCATTTAAGTTCCAGGTGGCTTTTCTGTTTGTTGCACTGGCATCGTAAAGTTAGCTAATTAATTATGCATAAACGGGCAAAATGGCGATTTTTACAGGGGGAGCCCGGATCTCCCAGGGAATTTAATATTTTGACCTGACATTCTGTCACATAAGCTAACTCCTGATACCTAACATTTGTGCCAAGTTTGAGCGAAATCGGTGATTTGAGCATTATCACCCCCTGCCTGGTTCTGCCTGGTTTTCTCATGGACACACTCTTAAAATGCAGGCGCTGATTTTCTGCTCTTTAGAAAACAACTGGTATCCTTCAGGAGTACAGACCTAGAATATTAAACAATTATGTATAAAAGTAGGATGCTGAGCAATTTTGCAGACAAAACCTGGCACATTGCCAAATTTTTTCTGATTGATCATGGCTCAAGTCCCTCATGCCCTTAGAACAAGCGACTATCGAGCTTCTTCAAACCGGAGAATTTTTTTTGTTTTTAAAATGCCCCACTACGCAAAGTTGTCGTAGTGAATAACAAAAGAAAAATCTTTTACTGCCTGATGCATCTGAACTGACTCAGATGCTCGTCAGCGATGACGAGCCTTGCCTGCACTGTACTTTTTATATCATAGTCGCTAATGATCCCAGTTTTCCAGTAACCTAGAGCTACCATCAGTTGTGTCCAGGCAACAGTTTTTCACCTGGCTCTGTGTGATTGTTCCGAGTGCATAACTTATTGATTGTTTTTCACATGTCTTGTTAATAGCATCCGTTACAAGAGATGCCTTACTTGCATTTTTAGATGAGGTGGGTTTGTTTGTATTTCTGGATGAAGTAATTACCTGGGAGTGGGCTACTTAAGGACTTTTTATATAAATAAAAGATTTAAGCTGTGAAAGTCATTTTGGGGTTGGAAATAAACTTTTTGAGGACTTAATTTTCAATGAGGAGGAAGTAGGGGGTGCATGTATTTTACAATGTCAACATTTTCTGGCAGTTTTTTGGGGGGTTAAAAATAGTTTGTTTGAGGTTGTTTGGCAGGGCAGTGGGATGGTAATGATGGCAAAACCCAGTTAATTATACAGTCAAACCCCCACTATATGGGCACCTGCTTGATACGAACACCTCAACATTTTGCCCCTGGATTATGGTAAAAAGTCTTGAGTTTTTTTTGAAGCTAAAACAAGTGCTTTATAGGTGATTTTTTTTTAAAATTCTGGTCAAATCTTATTCAATCTCACCTATACGTTTGTAGTGCATCATGAAAAAAGTTTTGTTCCTGCCTTTCACTTGTTTGATAAGCTTGAGTCTGGAAAAATAAATTATTGTTTTGGAAAAAGTCTGGAAAAAGTCTTGAATTTTGGATCCAAAAATCTGTACGAACCCTGCTTACAGTTTTTCTAAATTCAACCCACTTGATAAGGACACCCTATTAATGTGGAGACTGAGGGGTCCATTAGAAAGTGTCCATAGTAATGTACATTTCTATCAATTAACTTAACTTGCATGCTTGAAATAGTACTTTAAGAAGACTCTTTGTTATCAATCCCATAGCTTTCCTTTCTTGATCTATTAAAATCATTAATATCTTTTCAGCCAATGGAGTCTGAAGTCTCAACACCATTCAGACCTCGCAGTGCCAGACTAATAGCAGCTGCTTCTCTCCCAGAAGTTGAATTCTATTTTCATCTGTTAGTGTTGATTCACCTCATTGATACAGAGTGTTACAATGAGGTAGGTCAGCTTTATGAGTTCTTACAGTACATTCAATTTCTGGATCACATTGTGATGTTTCACCTAGATTAGCAAATGTTACCAGGGGACCAGTCTTTTTGTTTCTTGTATTTGCAAATATTTTTGTGGTAAAGTTGAAGTTGAAGTACATATTATGGGGATCATTAATTTGGATCGTTGAGAGGTTGTAACAGTTGTACATAACCGTGGTTGGCATTGGGGAGTGTCTTAAACTATGAATGGAAACTATGAGTTCAAGTCAGCAAGGCTTTGAGTTATTGGGGTCAATTGAATATGCAATTTGCCAGGTTAATAATACATAGTTAACTGATTTTTCAGCTCTTCAGTTTACAATACAATGGAAAGTAAACTTATCTCAACTAATTTTTTCAGGTTTCATCCGACACCATAGGGACTTTTTTGCTTGTGATTTTTGTCCCCTTTTGATCATTCCTGTCACTTTTACTCTGGATTGCCCACCTCCTTGTTACAATCATTGTTGTGTTGTTTGTCATGTTATTGCAATACAACTTTTAAAAAAGTTCTTTTTTGTGTTCTTGAATTGTAGGCAGTTCAGTGTTCAGAACTGTTGATGCAGAGATCAGTGGCTCATAACAGAAGAACACTGGATCCTCTTTTGGCAAAGTGTTACTTCTACCACTCTCGAGCTTACGAACTGGTTGGCAGATTAAAGGAAATCAGAAGGTATTTCAAGTAGAGGACAAATTATACAAATTTTATATCACATAACTTCTAGGGTCAAGATGACTCAAGTCTGATCATCAGAATAACCATAATTATTTTGCAATATTGAGTAGTTAAGTGGTCAATTCTCTCTTATTAAGTTTACTCCTAATGGTGGCAAAAATAAGGTTCACCTAAGCCATCTCAATCATCCCAGTCATCCTGGTCATCCTGGTCATCCTAGTCATCTTAGTCATCCCAGTTATCCCAGTCATCCCAGTCATCCCAGTCATCCCAGTCATCCTGTTCATCATAGTCATCCCAGTCACCCCAGGCAATCCCAGGCATTCCCAGTAATCCCAGTCATCCCAGTCATCCCAGTTACCCTAGTCATTCCAGTCATCCTGGTCATCCCAGTCATCCTAGACATCTTAATAATACCAGTCATCTCAGACATTCGAGTCGCCCCGGTCATCCAGGTCATCCCAGTCATCCTACTTATCCCAGTCATTCCAGTCATCTTCCTTAGTCATCCCTGTCATCCCAGTCATCTTTGTCACCTCGGTTATTCCAGTCATCTTAGTCACCTCGTTCATCCCAGTCATCCCAGTCATCCTACTCAACCCAGTCATCCTAGTCATCTTAGTCATCCCAGTCATCTGGGTCATCCTTGTCATCCCAGTCATCTCAGTCTTCTTTTAGTGATCCTGATCATCCCAGTCATCTTAGCCATTTCAGTTATCCTTAGTCGTCGTCATCCTGGTCATCCCAGTCATCCCGGTCATCCCAGTCATCCCTGTCATGCCAGTCATCTTAGTCATTCCAGTCAACCTGGTCTTCTCAGTCATCCCAGTCATCCTAGTCTTCCTAGTCTCCCCAGCCATCCCAGTCACCCTGGTCATCCCAGTCATTTCACTCATCCCAGTTACTCCAGCCACTCTAATAATCTTATTCTTCCCAGTTACCCTAGTCATCCTTGTAATTCCAGTCATCCTTGTCATCATAGTCATCCCAGTCACCCTAGTCATTCCAGTAATTCCAGCCATCCCAGTCACCTTTGTTATCCCAGCCTCCTTAGTCATCCTAGTCATCCCCGTCACCATGGTGTATATAGTAGTTAACTGTATCAGGTTTTTTTTTTGCAATAATAGTATCAGAAGTAATGTAGTAGTAGATAAAAAATCAAATGTATGAATATATTTGGTTTGAAAATTTTTAAAGAAGAATAAGATATCATTTTCTTGCCTACCTACCTACCTACCTTCCTTGTTACCACAGTCATCCCAGTCTTCCTTGTCATCCTAGTCATCCAAATCACCCTATTTTACCCAATTATCCCTGTCACTACAATCGTCAAAGTCATCCTAGTCATCCTAGTAATTTTTTCATATCTAATACTGAGCTTGTTTAAAAGGGATGCCTTGTATATTTTGGGCAGTACAGTGTATATATCAATATGTTTATTAGTTTTTTATTGTTTTTCACAGTTTTCTACTTGCTAGACTCAGGACGGCTACTCTGAGACATGATGATGAAGGACAGGTTAGTTTATTTTTTGCTAAGACCGTGTTGCAATAGTAGTGATAATAGTAATATTTATGCCTACTGGTTTTTTACTGCATAGATAATTATTGTAAATTATTATAAACTTATAAATATGCGTATGTTGCAGGTAGAATGCACAGTGTTTAAACTTGCCCTAATTCATAGGATACAAAAAAATTCCTGGTTTAACCTGAGCAGGCATTTTTTGTACAACAACTGTTTGAACAAGTCACATTCATATTGTATATTTCAACTTTTCTGTTTTCTTTCTTGCAGGCCATTCTTTTGAATCTTCTTTTAAGAAACTACCTTCACTTTAATCTGTATGATCAGGTACAAAGGAGTAAAAATACGGCACTTTTACCATGCATTATTTAGAATTTTTTTGAAATACTTCTTTAAATGGTCACTTGACTGAGACACTTGCTTTTAAATGTTGTCAAAATGGAGAATGAGGAATGGTGAAAAGTGAAATGAGACAATCTGATGCTAAATGGACTATTAAAGTACTGTACCTGTAATTTTACAGTACCAAGTTTTGCAAAATTATCTATCATCTTTTTTTCTAATTTTCACTTTTTATTTTCCAAAAATTTACTTCATTTTTGCCATTCCCTAAATTCCCAAAATTTCTATCTCACACCCTTTTCTATTGTTTATGTACTACAATGGAGGTAAAAAATGATGGGACAGTTAACACGATATGAGTAAAACTGACTATGTTCCCACGCCCTCCCTGACTAATACTGAATTTTGAGCAAATTACTTTTTTTACTTCACTGAGAAATCTCATATCATAAAAGCTATCTTGTTTGCAATCAATTTTGTACTAATAATTAACCACAAAGTAATTAACTCTTGTCACATCTTTTCGGACATTTAGGCAGAGAAATTGGTATCCAAGTCCCAATTTCCAGAATCAGCTACTACAAATGAATGGGCCAGATTTTTGTATTACACAGGTTAGTTAAAGAGAACTATTTTTCTTTATTTACTTTGACAGATTTCACGCTAATTTATTATATTTTAGGATTTTTCTTGGTATTGTGGAAACCATTGTTGGTGTGCTTTTGTGTTGTGGTGGTGGGTCTTGTTCAGCGTATTTTGAATCTTTGGTATTAAGCCATTTGGTTATTGCACCCGTGCACAACATCAGGAGATTATCCAATTTTTAGATCAATGTGTGATCCTTAAGAGGTTGTGTGCCATGATTGTTGAACAGTGACCTTGGTGAAACACATCTCACCTTTAAAGTGAAATTGAACTGCAGTGGACACTCTGTAAATTGTTATTTAATATTTTGGTGTGATTACAATTTTACCCAAGAGGATTGTGGCTCTCTTTTATGTTATTATTGTTGCTGATGGCAAATCATATAAACTTGGGTTAGTTTTAACATTGAGGTTTTCACATATTTTTTTGGATTTCACTTGTAGGATAACTTTCAAAAATATTTTGACCAGCAGAACTGGCATTCTAGAGCAACCTAAGATACAGCAAAATCTCATTTAGTTAAAAAGCGTAATCAGTATGTTAATATTGGGTGAATAGTATTTATTTTAATTTTTTAAATCCCAAGAGTGACCAACATCAATTTGCTCCTAACAACAGCAATACATCATCAAGAGAAAGGATACAAGAGTCAATGAAATGATCGCCAAAGGAAATGCTCTGATCTTTTAACAAATTCTCTGAACGAATAGGGATGTACATAGAATGATGAGGATCAGGGGGGAATTTGTATGTCGATATTGAGGCTATTGTCTCACTGAGACACCTTCAAGTTGTGGTTTCCTAATTGTTCTTTTTACATTTAGGTATAATCAAAGCCATTCAACTGGACTACTCAGAGGCACATAAGAATCTTCTGCAAGCAATAAGAAAGGCACCACAACAATATGCCTATGGTTTCAAGCAAACCGTAAGTACATGTAGTAAGTAGATCATGATAACAGAGGACAGTCGACTCCCAACAACTTGAACCTTCTAGGGAAATTGAAAAAAGTTCAAGTTATCGCAAGTTCGAGTTATCAGGAGTTTGAAGCAAGTATTAACCGGAAGTAAACAAATAAGCAAAAAGATGAGGGAATGTAAGTATCATGCACACTCAGTTCAAAGAGATGGACACTGAATTTGAACTGAAGTGAACAAAAAATACTTCAAGTAGGAGGTTCAAGTTATCAAGGGTTTGAGTTACTGAGGGTAAGATTACAGTAAATGTAGGAAGGAAATCCGGGGGAAATCAACTTTGGTTCGAGTTAGCACAAGGTTCGAGTTAGCGAGGGTTCGAGTTATCGGAAGTCAACTGTACTCCAGAAGCTCCAGCAGCCTGCAAAAGTTGCCATTTACACTGTAGTTACTATGGAAGTGCTGGCTGCTTAAACAAAAATTTTTTTTAAAAGAAGTGGAAAAATTGTTGGTATTTGTTTCTCATTTACTTTTTTATACACTTGTGTGAAGAGAGACAAAGTGGAGTAAAATTCCTTATCTAAGGAAACAACATGACGGGCAAGACTTGAACACCAGACCTCCAGATCTGGGGTTCGAGGTGTTAACTGCTCTGCCACAGATGCCTTTGATCGCAATTCATTGAAGATACTTCAAAATTATATGCCTTAAATGTACACTACAGTGAAACCCCAACCAATGGGGCAAAACATTTGGCTGTATTTATGAGTGACCTTATTAGCAAGGGTTTTTTTGCAGGAAAATGTAGGGTCGTTTTGCCAGGGGGCAAAAAAAGTTACCATAATAACGAGGTGATCAATTACCGCCATAAGGCAGGGTCCCACTGTAGTTGCATCCTGGCTTTTCTTTTAAAATCTGTTAAGTTAATTATCCAAGCAAGCCTGCATGCAAATCAATTATTATAAGCAGCGTGAAACAGAATTCCTTCAAATTTTTTTGTCTAAGACAATAAAAAAATATTTATTGGTCCATTTTTTAAATGAAGGTTGATTTATTTGGCTTGTGGTGCTATTTTTCAACATTTTTGGTGATGATTTTCAAGGGTGGTCCAAAACAGCTTTTCACTGTACTGTTAAGCTATTAAATGAAATAAAAAATAATAGAAAGTTCATATCCTGTTGGCATTTCTTTTCTATAGGCACAGAAGTTTGCGATCGTTGTTCAACTACTTCTTGGAGAAATACCTGACAGAGCAACATTTAGAGAGCCTTCCCTAAGGAAAACACTAGTACCATACTTCCAGCTAACTCAAGGTTGGTGTTGACTTTGTTATGGACAATTGAAGAGAAAAGTTGTCTTAAAAAATATCACATTTTTAATTTAAATTATTGATTTTAAATTAACAATGAATTGTACAGAAGTCACCTTGAAAGGTTTCTGGAGGGAGGAAGGGAGGGGAAAAAAATGAAGAATGATACTAATATTAGAACAAAAATTAGATTTTTTAGCTCCCCTTGTCAGAGTGCACGAAGTGTTTAGCTGATGATCTGTACTTTGGGTGGGGAGAGACAAAAATATTGCATTATGTGAAGTATCATCCAGACAGTAGAATGTTTTCATACTGTCTGTTTCACTAATGCTTACAAGTACTGGTTCTTTCTAGAACTATTTTCACCTTGGAACAAGCTATTTTGAAATATAATAAACTTTAGTCCCTAAAATGATACTGGTACATTGTATTTTGACTTAAGTTTGTGATCACTTTTTTCCAACAGCTGTGTTAAATGGCGACTTGAAGCTTTTTAACCAAGTGATTGACAAATACAAGGAGAAGTTTTTGTCAGAGAAGACATATACACTAATCGTCAGGTTAAATTTTGCTTCCTTGTTTTTCCACATTATACTGGTCAGAGCATTCTGATCATTCACTTGAACACTTTTGTAAGACTTGGATAAGTTTAAAGCAGACTGAGTTTCCTCTTTCCTAACTTTAACGATAAGTTATCTGTTTTGAGTATGCTCATTATCAAGTGGGATTTGGTAGATTACATGTACATCAAAGGTGAAAAAAAAAAAGAAAGACGAAAACAACAAATCAGAAAAAATCCAAAGTCGTTATCAGCTGTAATTTACTCTACTGCGTAAATGTAGTGTCCATGTTTTCAAAAGAATATTTAAAATAAGCTGTAATTGCTACAAAATATGGTTAACAGTTCCAATCAATGACAAATTAAGATTGTGCAGTCCTATCCTCAAATTGGGTAAAACAATCTGCACCCCGACCTTCTCCCCTCCACTAAAAATTGGCAAGTTTGTTGTTTCTGGCAGGTAGCTTGCACAACTGCACAATATTGCGTGGGGGGGGTGGGGGATAGAAGGCTTCATTTCCCTTTTGTGAAGTTTGCAAATTGCCCAAAGGCCCTTTAAGACAAAGTGTCTTAATTTATTTTGTTGCCGGTTGTAGACTGTTGTACATTATTATTTTGTGTTGATTTTTTAGGCTGCGACACAATGTCATCAAGGCAGGAGTACGGATGATAAACTTGTCCTACTCACGCATCTCACTCTCTGATATTGCTCAGAAACTTCAGTTGGACAGTCCTGAGGATGCCGAGTTCATTGTCGCCAAGGCAAGTATTATTACCATATTGCTTGAAAAGTGCAGTTTCTTGGTGTTTTGGAAGCTCCCTAACAGTTCACAATCCTTTGTTTTTTGTTCTTAAATTGAGACTGAATAAATTAATGCGATGTTTTTATTGGTCAGTAAGTTCAAAATAAAAGGAATGTTATTGAACCTTGTGCATGGTCAGGTCCAAAAAAGCTAACAAAAACATATAACAAAAGAGTCTGACGGGTTTCGTAACCATTCTACTTTAATAACTATGCTATAACAATACAACTTAAATGTGATGTAATGACCCAACAGGAAAAGGAGAAATATAAATCACTTTGCACGTAGTTAGTAGAGGCTGGAGTGCGGGAGTGTGACCTTTCTTTCTTATTTTTGGTCTTTTATGAACCTGTTTTTCAAGGAAAATGGATGAAATGCTCCACAGACTGGTTGTTTATGTGTGGATTTCACCTGATTAACTTTCTATGAAATCACTAACAATAGCATTTTATTGTAATGATAAGCTATAGCAGCTACCAATAAATTTTTGCTAAAGGATCTGAAAACTGTGTTTTTTTAGGCAATTCGTGATGGTGTTATTGATGCTACTATTGATCATGAGAAAGGCCATGTTCAGTCCAAGGTATAGTGAATGTCAAGAAATTTTATGTAGCTTAGAAAATTTGTGCCAAGGTAGATTGAAGTCATGTCACTTTACAATACTGGATAGCTGAATCTTGGTGGGGGTGTGCTGCCTGGTTCTCCAAATCCTGACCCATTTTCAGACCAAAAGTGATTTTCCACACCCATTTTCAGACCAGACCTCTAAAATCTATACCCGTTTTCAGACCTAGCCTTTAGGCAAAAATTGTGTGATCATTACTTAGATTAGAGGGCAAACAAAAAATTCTTCAAATCTATTTCAAATTTGCATAATTCTCTTTTTTTCTTACTCATTTGGAATTGAAACGATAAATACATTCATGCACTCCTGTAGTTCCTTCGAAAACCATACCCGATTCCAGACCAAATGGGCAAAGTGTATGCCCGTTTTCTGACCAAAACGGCGCAAAAACCATACCTTCTGGGACAGCACATGTTCATGGTCTCTAGGTGGTCAGATCAGTTGATCTCACTGTAATTCTAACTTTAAAATCTGAACAGAGATCTCTTTGCTTTGGTATTTTTAGCTGGACCTATTTGGTTTGTAACTGTTAGCAATAGCATGGAAGTTTTCTTTTTTAAGTCTATTTTTTTTATTTTTTTTTGCTCTCATGGTTGTAAAAAGGTGATCTTGTTTTGCTTGTTGTTGCAGGAAAATGTAGACATCTACTCCACTAATGAGCCGCAAGGAGCTTTCCACCAGCGAGTTAGCTTCTGTTTAGATCTCTACAATCAGTCTGTTAGGGTAAGTACAATATTCATCCACACACTGTTGAATTTGGTTTGTTGAAAAACAAGTTAGATTATCACTTAGATTGTTTCAAAATTTACTGAAAACAAACAACAAACCTGTGTAGCAGGGATATCTGTTTTCCTGTGTTTTGTTTGTTAGTTTGTTTTCTTGTTTGTTTTGCTTTAAAGGATGCCTAGCTTTCAGACAGTGCAAAACGTGGATCAATGTGGACACCAAATTTGAATACATCATTTGAAATCTTTTTTGCTGCAGTGTTGTTGTTGTGTGCACGCAAAGTTTCAGTGTTATCTCTGGAAACAGTTTTGCATGTTCCACAAACTCTTTGGAAACTTTTAACTTGAAAGTCAATGACAGTTCAAGAAAAATTGCTAAATAATAACAATCTGTGTAAAACAAAATTGTGTATGATTATCATTGACATTTAACTGATAAACCAATTCGGCTAACTCAATGTTGTACCCAATTCAGATCTCTCGGGGTTAAGATTCTTTGTGCACTGTATTTGCATTATAAGGTGGCATTCACATTTAAATGATTTGGAAATTCCTGAAACAAAACGTTTTATTCCCAAAGGGTTTGAATTGGGTACAACATTGAGTTAGCAGAATTGGTCTATTAAATCATTATTTCAGTCATTATTTTCTATTGTTCACTATTAAATTTATTACTCTGTTTTTGTTTTGTTTTTTTCATCGCACAGGCTATGCGCTTCCCACCAAAATCCTATAGCAAGGATTTGGAATCACTTGAGGTATGTGGAGCTACAATTTGTACAATGTGTATTTTTGAAAAATGCTGTCACCATAATGCCCTGTGCAAACGGACACAACATTGTTGACCAACAACTCCCAACATTGTTGGGAGTTGTTGCATTCATTTCACACATAGCTAAAAGTTGACCAGTTTCAAACTTTGTACAATAACTTCCAACAATTTGCAACAACATGCAACAGGGTGTGCAAACAGACACTTGTAACATCCAGCAATGTGGGGAGCTGTTGGCCAACAATGGTGTGTCCCTTTACACATGGATTAAGACAGTGTTTATGAGTTGACATTAACAGACCGGTGTGTTAGTGCAGCTTCAAGTTTCTTCAAGGCAACTTCGATTCAATGATTTAATTTAACCCTCCATTCAAGTAAAGGAACAGTAGGGCAGGGATTGGACACTTATTTGTATGTGAAGGGCCAGAATTCAACCCACAGCTATGCTGTGTACACAAGAAATTTTGCTCTACATTTTGAGGTTGTGTGGTTAGAAACCCCGCAGGTGCAACTGGAGATTTCAGCAGGATGTGGAATGGGTCAGAGGCCCTTGAAATCTCCACAGAGTAGTGTGAAAAGTTTGGTTTGGTGGCTTATTTGGAGGGGGGGGCTGGAGGTGTTAGAATATCCAGTGGAGTGGGTGGCCATGAAGATCCTTTCCATCATTTAGGTCTTCTGATGCCACACATCACTTAGAAGGAAACACAGAAAAAGGAAGAATTTTTATTCAGCACTGTGTTATTCTCAAGTACCACCCCTGAATAAGCATGGCATCCACAATATCCAAAAACTTTGCTTCAAGTATCTTCTCCCACCTTCTTCACTCGTGTTTCACAGTTCTCAACATTGTGCTAAAATTCCTGGTCAATACTATGTTGATTTTATTGTCATGTTACAGGAACAACGAGAAAGAGAGAAACAAGACCTAGAGCTTGCCAAAGAGATGGCTGAGGATGATGATGATTTTCCATAAATTCCTTCTAACTGCATATTACTTGCTAATTAATTAACTGTCAATGTATTTCTCGTTGTTCGTAACTTATGTGAATAAAAGTTTCTGTGAAAAACCGTGCTGATTTTTGTGGTTTCTTTATTCACCAACTTTCTCCTCTTTGTTTAGCACCTTACTTTTGCTCTTGGGTGACTAGAAGATCTTAACTTTTTCATAGGAATCCTATGCTGGGTACCCTGGATTTCACAGGTTCAGAGCACCGGGATCCCATCAAATTTTGTTAGAGCACAGCCTTGAGGAAGTTGGAAACATCTGTATCAGAGCTGTCAATAGGGAGCTTAAGCAGCCACGACGGCGATGGCAACAAGAACGGCAAAAAACCAGGTTTAGATCAACAAAACAACAACTTTGCACATGCATCATGCTTTTTTGCGCATTTCTTAGCTGTTGTTGCATGACTACAACCTGAAAATGCCTAATTTCATGTTTTGTCGAGGATGGGAACACAAGACCACAACTTTCTTTTTCTTTTCCTGAACTTTTGTACTGTCCTTTAGAATGTAACTCTAAAAAAATGCCAACATTTGACAAATTAAATGAGATGAAATAAGCCTGATAAAGTTTGAGGCAGGGTGAATTCACTTTTTAAGTGACGTTTTCATAGCCGTCCCCGTCATTGTTGCTTAAGCTCCTTATTAAGTGCCAGGGGCCAGGGATTTCTGCCAGCTACTATGAGCATGATCAGCTGCTACTTTTATAGGAAACAAAAGAAAAATAGTACCAAAAGAGCTTCCTAGACGTTGAATTCCCCCGCTTCTAATTGCAGGTACCCAGCAACTTGAAAGTTAATCTTCGCAATAGCCCTGATCTGTTTACAGTCTACCTTTTACCACATTCAAGTTATTTACTTTTGAAATGCCACGTGTATTTATTTTTATTGCTCATAACTGTTTTGACAGACAAACCACCTCATTGACTGGGACTCTGCTTATTGCATTATTTTTAATCCTACTGTCATGGTGCTACAAATGGCTCACTTTGAAAAGTTCTTTTTCTAACTTTGGTCAAATGCCTTAGTTTGAATTGAAGCCAACAGTTACTGGCATCAATAAACAAACAACCTTACGTTATTGATGAACTCAGCATGTTTGCTTGAAAGGCAAAGGAGGAATTTAACATGGAATCAAGACTCTTAAAGGGTTTTTGTCCACACTTGCCTCATATTAATAATTGTGAAAATATGGACTGTACGCTTTGGTTTCCCAAGGAATTGAATAGTTGATTACTTTGTCCATAATTGTATTCAAGGTATTAAATACCAGTTTTATTTGTCTACACACTTCCGTTTACATGGCAGGTGCTTTTCAACTTCCTGTCCCTCTGATGTCTTGTGAAGACCACCTCCTTCACTAGGAATTGTTGAAGATGGTATTTTGTCCACAGAGCAAACCTTCTCATCACGTGGAGAGGATTTCAAAGGTAAGCTACACATTTGAGAAATCCCAAATTTCCCTAGTAATTTTTCCATCAGAAGATCAACAACATCAGGAGTTGTTATGCAGTGTATAAGATCATCAGTGCATAGTTTATCTTTGTATTCATTAAGGACTCGCTGTTGTGTTTCTTCTAGGCTACAAAGTGGTTCCTTGATGTTTTTCATGGCCCTCTCTGCATTTTCATGTTCCCTCTGTTTGACAGCACTCAGAGCTTGATGTAAGTATTCCATGTTCTGTCTATATGTTCCTATGTCCTGGATTGAAAATAAAATTCAGAGACATAAATTATTTTAACGGGAGATGCAAGGCTGATTGATTAGGGTGCTGGTGCTGGACCTTTTGACATTGCAAAACAACTAACTAGATCATAGATGCTAATGCCCTCGTGACAGACTGGAGCTCAACCTTTTTTAAACGTACATTAGCTGACTGTTGAGGAAGTTCCAGAAAACTTTATGTAACGTTTACATGTAAATGTACACAAGTTTGACCTCGATTAAGCTACTTACCCTCCGTACTTTGCTCCCAATAAACTAACTTAGTACAAAGAAAACATATCATTCACTAACTTTTGAGTCTGTGGACAACGTCCTATGTTACTATTACCATTTAAATCAAACCTGAAAAATGGAGATTTTTTTTAAACTACAAAGTTGTGAAGGTGGAGGTGCGAAGTCTGGAAGACAAAATACAAAATTGTCTCACCTCAGAAGGATTGACCCACACTGATTCATCAGCTCCTTCCTCATTTTTTAAGGCACACACCTAGCACAAATTGACAGGAAAGTTTGGAAATGTTGTCACTGTCTGACTATTATGACTTAACATCTTTACTTGGTTTTAAAAAAAACCTTCCAGAGTTTTGTACACACCAAAGTCTTGATAATTGCTTCTCTGACTCTTTCAATGTGGTCACTTTCCTACACAAGAAAAAAATGAAGTTAACAGTAAAAAAATCAGATAAAGATCAGATGAATACAATGAAGTAATATTATTGTTTGTACTGCTTTTATAACATTATTGTTATAGAGGGGTTAATTAAGAGACCAAAGGGAAAATACTTTGACCTTTTATCAAATTCCCTCAACCATATTCTTTAAAGAAATGTATGAAGACCAGTCTGGAGAATTTGTATGTGTATTTTAGGGCCTGGTCAGTAAAACACATTTAACTGTCCATATCAGATTGATTATGGCAAAGACTTACCAGTTCAATCCATGTATTGATGCTAATGGAGGTGTCTAATGACTGCACATAATGCCACCATTTCTTAGGAACAAATAGAACATCACCTGGCGCAAGGGTCACCTGCCATAAGAAAACAAAAGTATTAAAAGCCATAAGAACAGATTAGCTTACTAGCTTAATTAATGGACTTGATTTGTCATTAACATAATTTATTTTTAATGTAATTTAACAGGGAAGAGCCACCTGTTAAATATACCATTATCATTGTTATCATTATTTATTATTATTATTGTTATTATTATTATTAATAATATTGTTATTACCTCATATCGAACAGCACTTGCAAATGCAGGGAATCTACTAAGGTCTGGATTGTCAATATTAACTTGACTAAATACACTGGACTCTTCATAAGGTATTCTTGTTGGATATAACTTTGGTGTTTCTTCAGGTGGAAACAGAGTCCATTTCTTTTGTCCATAAATCTGAGCCACTAAATTACAACCATAGGTATCAACATGGCAAGGTGTTGATGCTTCAGCACTCCCAATCCAAATTGTTGATTCATCACCACTTCTTTGTGGAAATCCAAAACTGTCCCATTTGACTGATCGACGAAGGTGTGGAAAGTCTCTGAACAATTCTGCCATGTATTTGTAATCTGCATAGCACCAGTAGCTGTCTCTGAAAATGTAACAAAATCTTTTTTTATCCATTTTTAACACAACAACCAAAAGCCAAGGAAAGGACCGGTATAATAATATAATTGTTAATTATAATTGTTACAATTATAATTATAATTATAATTATACCTTAGCTGGATAAACCAAATAACAGACATTTTCAGTGGAGAGGAGAAGTGTGACATCACATTGCCATGGTAGCACAATTGCTGGACCACAACAATAGGGAGCTTAACCCTTTAAGTCCCAATAGTGACCAACATCAATTTTCTCCTAACGATATCTATACAACGTCAAGAGATTAGGTTCTGAGAATTAATTAAATGATCACCAAAGAGAAAATGCTTTGATCTTTTCTCAAATTCTCTCAGCTTATTCTTTAAAGAAATGTATAGAAATCAGTTTGGAGAATTTGCTTGTGGATATTGGGGCTTAAAGGGTTAAGCAACAACAACGACGAGGGCAACAAGGAAAGCCCAACAAAAATACTAGGTGTAAATTAGCAAACAACAACTGCACAACTGCACGTGCATCACGCTTTTTTGCACATTTCTTAGCCATTGTTGCACGACTACGACATGAAACCTCCTAATTTCATGCACCTGCTTTATGGAGTAGGTGAACACAACACAGAGATTTTCTTTTTCTTTTTCTACACTTAAGTACGTTCCTTTCGGATTCAACACCAAAAAATGTCGCCAACATTTAACAAATTAAATAAAATTGAATGAGATCGATAAGATTGAAACAGTCCAAATACACTTTTTAAGTGAGGTTTTGAATTGTTGTTATCCAGAAATTTCGCTACCAAGGCAACATGACGTAACGACTTCTCCTCTCTATTTGTTGTCTAAGAATATTGAGGACAAATTTGCAACATATACCAGATTTCTGTAATAGTTATCAATCATTCATGACTTTTTTCAACTCAATTTTGTACCCTCTGAATGTCAGAGACCTGCAAGTAATGGTTGCAGGTTGATAACAAGATACCTTTATTGCTTGGTTCCAGTCTTCACACTCACATTGGAAAATAGAATGACATGTGCGACAGACTCTTGGATTTGTCTGACATATCAGTAAAATCTGAGACAGTCCGGAAAGAGTGAAATCATTTTTATTCTCAGAATTTCCCCACAAATTAAAACCAGGCTAAAAGGTCATGAGAGTACCCTGAATTGGTCTTAAAAGATTTTTATAGAAATTCTCTTGATTTATATCGTAAGATTGTTGACAGACCTTATGCTCCCTATAATGTGAGGAGGCTCAAGCAATTAGTACGGTAAAGTAAGTAACGTATATAAGAGGTAAAGGAACAGCCAGTAGACCCAGAAGAGTCTCCACGTTGCTGAATTTAATGTAAATAGAACGTTTATACCTTCCTTTTGTTCTTTCCTATTTTTCTTTTTCTTTTCTTTCCTTTTTTTGTCGTTTTTCTACTACCCCATTTTGGGATCTTTAGTTTCCATAGATTCGCAGACAAAGGAAAGGAAGGCAAAAATAGAATCAGGGCCTTACATGCAAAAAAAATATAACTCTGATGCAATACTTTCTATTTATTCATGCCTAGTAAGGACAGTAATATTATTGCATGCTCATATTTGATCTATAAATTGAAACCAGTTGAAGTTTTTTTTCCCAACATTGGTCTTTTATTGACAGTGTACTCTATGCAAGATTCAGTAAGCTTCAGTACAGTTATAGGAGGTAGACATTTGAAGAATGTCGTCCAAAATTAGTTCATTAGATTAAGAATTCTGCCCTGTTTTTATTTCTAGAAATGTCTTTGTCTTCCTGTCTCAGCCTTTATGAATGATTATTCATTAAGAATCCAGATAAATCTCTAGTGTTCAATACTTGAGTCCTTTATATACAGACATCAATCTAGTCACGTTTTGGCGCTCAACTCAAAGAAAACCATCTCAGCCGTGTTGATATATGCAAATTGACAATACAATTATGAAATAACAGGTGGAATATATTAACATTGTTCTCCACTAATCAGTGTCATCCTGTCGACTTGTCCAGTCCGATAACAACCCGGCCAATATAAATACATACTTATCTTTAAATAATTTCAGTGGTATTCACCGTTAATTGTTATTTCCCATACGTTAGCCGATTTAATTTTGTTGATAATACACTCAAGCAATATTTCAACGCTAATTAAAATAATTACAAAGGAGAGGGCAACCAATATTGAGATAGGCCAGGACAGCGTGCTTTTGTTGCACGTTTATTAAGCACCAGAGAGGCACAAGATAAGTTGTTTGTTTTTGTTATGTAAGATAAAGGTCAAGATCAACTGAGACGACTGCTGGACTTGAATATAATGCGACACACCCTACAAATTCAACCGGATATCATAGGACATGAGATTATTATATTAACAATGCCTGAAAGTGATTACCTTTGGAAACGCGACAAAAGTCCCGATTTTTCTGAGAAGCCATCGACCCATTGAACAAACTCTAGGAAGGTCGCCTCCTCGAATTCGCACTCTGTTTCCATAATTGCTCTTTTGAAACCATTTTCATTTGAGGACGACTTCTCACGAACACAAAAACGAAACTTTGTTCTAAGGTCACCAAGTTCGGACGCCAAAAATTCCGGGCTCCATCGAGAACAGGGCCATAGCGAAGCTGCTCCATTAAAAACCACAGGTTTAGTACGGTTTAGAAGATTAATTCGAAGCTTTTCAGGGTCATAATCAGAAGCCAGTGATGTTCTCTCTACTTCTCGGAGTTTGGCTTTGTTTACATCACGTTCGTCCGCCATGTTGGATGATGTCATGATATGGTTATTCCGCTGTACAATAGAATCACAGCTAAGTTACAGGAAGTTGTAATAGCACCGGAAGCGGGGGTCGGGTCAAAGGCCCCTCGGTGTGACTACATCGGCATATCGTCACGTTTTCTTCTTTGAAAACAATTTCGATCAATGACGGTCACGATGCAAAGTATTTGATGTATTGTGTGGAAACATGTGTGTCATCTTTAGAAAACAATATTTATAATTCGTCAACAAAAGCATTGAAATGTGCAACGCTGAATACGTGCTGTTTGCCTGACTGAGAAGAATTATCCCAAATACAATAAATGTATCGGGGTAAAGCCAGTACAAGCACGATGCGGTCACAGTATTGGCGAAAAAATGAAAACAATGTTAAGAACAGCAAGATTTTCACAGTATACGTTCAAAAGTTTCACAGGAAAATCTTAAAAAATACGATACTGATCTTTGGGTGAAAGTAAGAAAATTCAAAACACGAGGGCAAAGATAAATATGCACATATAGCTCTTGTTTTCGCTTCTTCCACGGCGTTTTATATTCTCGAAATTCTTGCAATCTTGTGATCAGAAGCACATATTAGCTTAGAGGATCACCTCTTGTGACGATATTTTTAATCCGCGAGGGTGGTTTAGTTTCAGTTTCTTTACGCACATTGCCGTTTGCTCTGATATGATTATCTAGATGAACTCGTTTTTCCTGCTGGAAGCCCAGCTGGGAAAGAGCCCATCCCAAAGTCGGCGGGACAGCCAGCCCACAGTAGGGCTTTAAGGCACGGTTCTTGGAACGTACTTCGGTAAAGGAATGCGAAGAGATTTAATTTAATACTCCCGAGAGTCATTAAGAACTAATTCCTCGTACTAACCTGAATTATTAGATTAAAACTCATCATATCCGACGCGTCGTGAAAATTATCGAAATCACAGAAAACAGATTTTCATTCCGCGGCACCTAACCACAAGGAAACGTAGCTTGTATGTATAGGTTGGCTATTTTACCCTCAAAGAGCTCGTTTGTTACTCCTAACAGCTTAACAGCCTTGTGTCTCTCTGCATTCTCTGTCAGTAAACGATCGTACACCTCGGTCTTGTCATAACACATACTGTATTTGTTAAAGCTTAAAACTACATGAACTCCGTACAAACCCTTGAGCAGTTCGGCCGGATCTATGTCAAAGATTTGAATAAGCAGAAAATCTTGAACAACTGTAAAAACAAGAGGGAAAACTGATCCTTAAGGCGGAAATTCAAAAAAAAGACAGACGCAATCTAAAAAACCAAACAACAAATAAATTTTTTAAAAAGGCTTTTGTCTTAAAACATACTTATTTATTTATTTAGTTTTTCAGCGTTCTTTTAACGGATAGAACGGATCCTCCTCCTTTTCGTCGTTTGAACCAGCTGTTGCAACCTTGTTTTCACACAATTAATCAAGTTTTCTCTAATGACTTTATCGGCGTCCGATTTTATCCTGACGAAAAATCTTCTCTAACAAAGTTCAAGATGGTATAACATCTTATGCTGCGATTGTTTTATAAGAAAGTGTTTTTTAAAAGTCGTTTTGCCCGTCTCGTTTTTTCCAGTTCACATTTATGTTTCTCTTGAAAGTTACCCATTGGTACTTTTACTTGTTTTGAATGAAAGCTCTTACTGGAAGCAAAAAAGTGACAGAAAACAATGAGGACGCGAGGAAATTTAATAATAGTGCGAAAAAGCGATGATTTTTTCTTTCACTACACCGACAAAAAAGGGAAAAGTGGCGTAAATTTTTTTGGTTTTTCGATTTCCTTTGCGGAATGTATCTTGATTTCAAGTCGTACAGGCGTTACATCTTGAAAAGGAGCAAACACGCGAATTCCACTCAGCTGTAGATTTAAAAACTCCAGCTGTAAAAAGTACTTGGTGTGGTTTAGCTTAGTAATTTCTGGCTGAGAACATCGGTGCTGTCAAGAGCCATAATAGGACTGGCTCTTGGCGCTGTAAAGACGGCTTGACCAATCATGACAGATAAAGCGAAACACTTCGCCTTTTTATCGTTCTGACGAGAATTCAGCATCATTAAAACAAAAAAAATCGTAATTTTCAACCGACATTGCTTGTGTTCCCATATCTACTTCGAAAAGTCAAACTTGGCAAGAAAATCTTCCCCAGCTGTAAAAATTAAGTTCGTCAGACATCACCCTCTTGGCCTATATTTCTAATGTAAGCCAAGACTGACTGAATTAGAAGAAACACTTGAGTGCAAGTTACCTGATCCCCAGTTTGGTCATTCTTTTTAGCATTTCACGGGCAATAAAATAAATCGAAGTTCCTTTTTGGCAGCTTAGCGGTTAAAATTAGCCGTTTTTGTTGATATTTTTAGATTATGTTGGGTGCATGATCCGTTTTCTCAAGAACTTACAAAGAGAGGCAAGTATTTCAGTATCGACAGACATTGTTGAGCGTATTTGGGGACGGAAAATTTTTTCGGCACAATAGTTAAGAACGTTCAAGAGATAAAGCAGCTCTGTTATGCTATCCAGGAAAAAGGCGTCTGTGGTTTGCCTTGAAATATATACAGGTGGCTCTTCCAGCAGTTTTGTATTTTGATTTGAAAGACAACCTTTGTAATGAGTATATATTAATGAGATCGTACCCGAACAAGAAATTTACCCATGTATATGATGAAGTCAGTAGTTCTCAAAATACATCCTAGGCTAATACAAATGATTTATGCTCGCGTGCCCTATTTTTATCAATATTCTTCTTTTTGAAAAGAGCACTAAACTGTTTGTCTTATTATCCAACTTGTCAAAACCTTTTCTCTGACAATCGCCATCAAGTCGTTGTTACCGGCGTTCTTGTAAGCTTAAGAGCAGTTGGCAAGGAAGTCGTCACATTAGGGTGGGCCTGGTGCCTTCCGTTTTACGATCTTCGGATTAAACCTTTGATTATCGACGGAAATTTCGCGCTGAGGGTGCTAATGAACTGATCAACAAGACGTGAGGAACAAAACGAAAGTTTTAATAATTCAGGTTTGAAGGATCGGCCATTTAAATTGCATACATGTCAGTGCTCGCCTCATCGACGATGATAAATGAAAAGACCTGTTTCGTGACAAAAGGCTTATTATATCGCCCCAGGCAGGTTATTTATTTTATCATTCTTTCTCAGTCTATTGTGGTTTCCATAGCTTGCTTTTCTTGGGTGTTTAGAAAAGCCAAAGAATACAATCGACTCATCTTTTTATGTCTTTTCATCTTCCCGACCATAAAATAAATGAGAAAATATAGGCTTATCTAAGAGAGAATTAGTTCTTTCGATCGGTTGTCCACGAAGTTCGCTGATTGGTGGTGTGTAACCCAGTTCAGAATCCTTTAGAATCTTTCTGAAGCTTTATTCATTTTCCTAAGCGCAGATATAATGGAAAAACCACCTTCTTTATAACGGTAAAAAAAAACCTGTTTCACTTGAATTCACATTCAAAATGAGGCTGGGAAACTTTTCATGTCGAATACGTTCATCTCTTTTTGTTGGCTTGTTGAAAAAATAACTGTTCCCTGCTTGCTTAAGTTGTATTTTTTTAGGACGTGCAATACGTCTAAACACTTTGCCTTTGATTGTCCAACTTTACCGGGAAATAAGCTCAAAACAAAGTCCTTCAAAACCGATATGGAGCCCGTTTTTAGCGAATGGCTAAGCGAGTTTGGTGAGGTCATTTAGCAGCTGTACGGACCAATATATCTGAAAGTCGCAATAAGTTGGTGCTCGTATTGCCATGACACGACTCCCTAAGGTCAGCCATTAGTCTTCTCAATGGCCGATAATCATTACGCGTTTATCAAAATGGGATGACGTCACGCAGATATGTTAAATATTAATAGAACGTGCCGCGTTCGCGCTCATTCACAAGGCAGGAGCGACTGATGTATAACACAATTATTGCTGTGTTTACAATACTAACGACCTTTGTAGATGCAAATTTACGACCACTTTGAGTCCGCCTACATCGCCTAACGCCTTTCTTTGTTGTTTTAGGACGATCTTTTTGACAGTAAGCGATTTGTCAGTCAGCCGTGTATTAGGTCTATTTGCATGTGTTGTAAGCCACCTTTAAAAGGCCTAACGCGCAAAGAATGTAGCCCTCGAATTTCAATGAGAATGTCTTTGTTCACTAGCAAGTCAACGACTCAATACCGCGCTTAATTTCGCAAATTATTTCCTCTCGTTTTTCCTTTTTCATTGGCGGCCTATCTACCCGCTCTCGTGACAAAAGCTCAAGCGAACGACTGCAGGGACAGCTGCCCTTGCGGTAGTGAGAAAAACCACGTGAGCTTCTCATTGGCCAGGCTGCCAGCGCTGCTATATCGGCGGTTTTGGTGGCGAGGGAGTCGGTTTAGCTAATTGATGCAGAGTGCTGTTGGCCGGCCAGCCACCTCAGCTCAAGGCAAATTTTCCCGAACACTGTTCCAATATAACGACTGACAGCGTCAAGGGAAGTAATTAAAATTTCACTTTTCATTTATTAGCCGAACAAAGAAGTAAACCACAATGGAACCACTGTCAGCTGGCTGATTGGTTCAGGTGTTTTTCGACGAATCATCAAGGCCCATCTCGTTTTTCTGTTTGCAAAGACTCTTATTTCTCTCCTTAGACCAGAATGAAGTCTCTGTCGATCTAAACGCTTTCAAGCTCGCTTAATCGCGCAGGAAACGACAAGTCTTTCACCCGTGTTAAGTAGCGACTGAAGTGCGGTTTAATCTTTGTAAAGAAATATTGCAAAGAATTTTTCAATTCAAAGAGGCCTTTAGGCGAAAAAGGTGGCTATATTGTCATTTACATTCGCATTCTGGCATGTACGCAATATAAATTTCTTGTCCTTGTACCGCGAGTGTTTTCTTTACCCGGCTGACTCATTCTACCCGATTTACGATATTTCCTATAATAAAAGATTTGCTTGGATTTGTGCGCTTGACGTCATCGATGCTTTCTGCAGTTTTAACTCCCTTTCACGATTTATCAACTGATATACCTCCAGTTTTTTCCTTGTATTCCCCTCGCGAAAGAAAATCTGAAGAAAGCTGACACGTTTCAGCCTGTACTTTCACGTTATATTAAAAACATCGCAAGGATAACCGTGATCAAGACCAGAAAAAAATAAAAGCTGTGTACTCGAGACGAAGAGTCCGGCTCATACTTTGGTTGCGTCGCAACCGATCGAAAGCGTTTCTTCACAAAGGCCGGAAAAGCGAATGAAATTTCTCTTCCTCACCGAATACGATACGTTTGAGCGAAACGCTTGTACCAGAAGCTTTCATTTCTCTTTGATACTAAAGTAAAAATAAAATACATAAATAAAAGGGATATTAAATTTCGAAGCACATGAGCTACCGATGTCGTTCATCCCCCGAGTTCCAGTTGTTTCTAGTTTCGTCGAATGGAGCGCATGGAGACACCATTCAGCTGATATCACGTACAGGTTACTAGTTCTCCACGCTGTGATGCGCTTGTATCACAAAGCTGAAGTTTCTCTTGTTCCGCTAGCTTGTGCATGTGTATTCTATTTTCTGTTTCGTGTGGAAAGCTTTGATAATTATGTTTTATTAGTAGCACCAGCCCAATGTAGCAAGAATTCTAAACACGCGCCGCGAAACGTGATTGGCTGGCAAAATGGCAGGTCCGATATGGGCATGCGTAATTTGACGGGAAACTGCACGTGTCAAAAGAATATAAAAACAACAAAGCTTCCTTCTTGGTCTTAGAGATATTGTGTCATTAACAGGGAGGTATCCTTTATGTTTTTCTATTTATCTATAGCTTTTATGTCGACCGCAGTCATTTGGGTCTCTTCGTAACCGTGGTCCGTTGAGAATAGGATGCCATCAAGCATGTTGGACTCAACTTTTTGTCCGCCTAAGGCGAAAAAATTCGCCCATAGTTGCCGAAACGCCAGTTCTGCCAGGTTTACGTACTGTGTACCGCCTTTACATAGATTATCGACAAACACAAGGATATTTCAACCCGAAGAGATGGAGTCCCGGATTATTTTGCCACCATCGTTGTTGACTCATTTAAGCGAGGAGGTTCTAGTTCTTATTTTAGAATATTTGGACTTCAGGAGTCTTGTAATGATGGGCAAGACTTGTCGTCTATTTCACCGACTCTGCCTCTCAGATCTCATATGGCGTCATCGATGTAGGGTGAGTTGTGTTTATGGATCATTTTGTTAGTTTGGACGAAGCGACTCATCGTTGTTTTGGATTAGGTCGTTTCTTTATGAGTGTCAGAGCAATTCTGGCTGTTTCATTTCTTCGTCTTTGTTCGGTGTAAAGAGAAGGCCACCCCAAAACATCGTCCCTCGCAGCCGAGAAAACTACAAGCAAACCCGTCACCGCGACCAAACAACCGCGGAAAATCTTTGTTTGGGAATGTAAACTTCGAGGCTCTCCGTTCGTTATTCTTTACAAACCTACTCAGAGCTTGCTTAGTTATCATTTTGGAGTGGCGTTGTCTTTTCTTATTGCCTTCCTTGTCCCTGATGATGTAGAAAAGCATTTTCTGTTTCCCATTTCCGATTTCCGAATGCCATGTGGTAGTTATACCCGTTCGGGCAGAGTATTTGGTAGAAATTCGGTTTTCTTCGCCCGAATTGAATCGAATTGGTCCAGAGAAGTATGAGCAAATAGGCAATATTTCTATTTTGGGTTTAAGCTTCTCGAAATTTTGATATTTCGAAAAAATTCGTGCGTTACAAGTAGCGAAGAGGGCAAGGCTTTCATTAAGGTCTAATATATAATTCAAGATATGAAAGCTGGCAAGAAATTCGAGATATATTTCCCAGCGATATTATTCTGTGAAACGTTGAGGAGAAACGAGCGAAAGGATCTGTGTTTTGATGGAGCGAGAAAGATTCTTTGAGCGATCGAGCGTGTTTGCTCCATTCAGCGCCTAGCGTATCCGGGTTGCAAGGAAAGAGGGTGTATGTCGGCGTGCCTCATTTCATGTGAAGTTGGAGGGTTATTGAAATGGTAATGAAGAGATCGATTTCAGTGAACCCAAGTGGTCGGTGTTGAATAGAGGGCTTGTGTTGAATACTGTGACAGAATACTTTGCCTTCTTGTGATACTTTCTTTATTACCCACATCATTTTATGCTATTTGAAGTCGCTAATGCCTTTCTCCCGTTTCAACTCTACTCGCTTTCGCTCTCAAGAGGAGACCGGGCATCTCTGTCTCCTTTGTCAACACCGTGTTGATTTTGCATGGTATAAGAGCTTGTCCAAGTAGTGAAATATGCACAGCTTTTTTGAACAAGAGGACATGAATAAATAAATTGAGGCTTTTGAAAGGAAATTTACGCGATATTATCTGAACCGGAATCGATTGTTTTGTATTTCTTTGGCCAGGCCTGTGGCAGCTGCACCGTGTTTGGCCACTGAACTACATTCACTTTATTTCTCTTAAAAAGGCTCCTGTCTGTCGCTAATTGCAGGTATTTTCTCAAGTTCGAAGCGAAGGAGAAAGTCTAGTTGTCAAGCCCACAAGCGGTCTTTCTGTCTATGTGCTTCAGCTTCGCGTTGAGTCAAAATTGTTTCTTGTAGCCGGCCACTTCGATCGTGCAGCCGTTTTCATTTCATTAGGGGTTTTCCCAAAGGCAATTATTGATTCATAGCCATCGCTCTCGCGGTCTAAAAATTTCAGTTTTTACAGTAATGGACACAAGGTGTTTAATTAATTTTAGAGGAAACTGTGGGTTTCATAAAAAAAAATTGTTGCAACAGCAGTCCCAATTGGATTAAATTGACATGCCCAAACCTAATGTAATGTACATGTACATTCTAAACTTTTCAACGGTAATATCATGACTGTCTCCCGGTTTATATCACATTTATTTTAAGCCTACCAAAAAGAATCAGTAGCTATATTAAGTGCAACTGTTTTAATTTTCCAGGATTTGCAACAAATTTTTATTTTCACTTTTTGAATTATATGTAATCTCTTCAGAACTGCTTTTAAAAGGAGAATGTGGAACTTTATCAGATTTTTTTGTCAACCTTTGTTACTTTGTTTCTGAGTGATGTTCAGTTTTTCGTAAAGCTAAGCATTCCTACATTACAGGATTATCACCACAACAAGGTTGACTTTTAGCAAGACATTAATAATTGCTTGTTCCCAGTTAGCCCAATATTCTTGATTTTGGGCAGAAAAGCTTCTCATATATGTGACATTCCTTTTTCCTCTGGCATGGAGATAAGTTTTGCAAGGTTCAGCAAAATACTTGAACATGTTCCTAGTTTAGCCTACAATGTAGCTTGATTGGCAACGTGTATTTCTCTGTTCTTAATGGCTTAAAATTGGGGGAAATTGTATTTACTTTATTTTCAAAAATATTAGTAAACATCAAGCTTTTCTTTAAAGTGCAATTATATTTCTAGTTGCACATTTAGCATCAAAATGGTTTTACAACTATCCTCATTGCATTGATACCTCGTTCTTGTTTTGACAAACTCTTTCAAGATTTAAACATGAAAAAATCCAGAATATTCTCTACCATGGAAAATAAAATCCTCTTATATCACAGAACCTGTAATTTTAAATCTGACAGAGGGGTTGGCAATATTGGTGCTTTCCCTCCTTTGCCAACGCAAATACACATGCTAGTCCCCTTTGTTGGCGAAAACAACAGAATATAAAATTTTCTAGTTTAATATGTTGTTTTGCCCTGTTTCCTCTTTCCTTTTTCCTTTAAACCAATCAGTTTTGCTTAAAAACATCCTTAACTTTCTTGAAATTTTCTGAAAACCAATAATTAATGTCTTAAATTGTGCATTAACATGTACTAAACAAATATGCTTCCTGTTTTGCCTACAAATATTTAGCTGCTTAGTTGACTATCAAGTAATTATGAAACTGTATTTTCCATGTTTTGTTTAGGGGTGACTTAAAACCACTGTGCAGGTTGCCAGTAGGCACACTCTAGAACTCTTACAAGTCAGCTAACTGGCAAATGCTCTCTAAATTAAGTTTCCAACTCGTTTTTAATAGTAAGACTAATATATTTCTAGAAAAATTATATTATCGCTTCCTTTTGTCATGTCACAAATAGCAGCTAAATTAAGCTGCTGGAAACTATGACAAGGGAAGAAGGCATTAATTAATCTGTACAACAGTGTTTGTCACATTAATATATTCCTTTTTAAATTCTGAACTGGTTTAAAAAATTTTTGTAGAGTGCTCAACTTTTCAGGAGCGGTAAATAGTATGGTGGAATTGTAGTTCCAGGTTTATGTTACAGCGCTGTTTCATTTTCGTATTATTTAATTTAAAGTCAATAGTAACTTGTTAACATTAGTATAATATTGTCAGCATGTAAAATTAAAGTTCACGTGCTGTAATTGCCTGATAAGTGTGGTCACTTTTACACCATACAAAACAGACCTGTAGCAATAAAACAAAGTATAGCCTTTGGTCTACATTTCTATGGTGAAATTATTATATTCCTGTTAAGCATACTTCACTCATCTCTACAAGGTAGCTTAATAAGATCAAATGGCCCTCTCTTTGCTTTTGTTTGACTTGTTCAGTGAAGACCTTCAGCTTGACATCTGAGCTAAGGTAGGGAAGGCCATCTGTTCTTACAGGCCACTTCTTCCAAGGGCACATTTTGATCTTGTAAGCATAATCAATCATAAAAGGCAGGCGTTTTCCAATAATATGTCATCTCTTGTTTTGCTTCTTATTTCAGGTGGATTTTGGTCTGGCAACAAGATGGTCAGAATATACTTTCATTTACCTCTACGAAATGTTCTACAAAGCTGAAGTTCTTAAAAATGATCACAATTTTTTCAGACCAGTTAGTCAACTTAAAACTTCTGTTATAGTTTGGTATCTTCTAAACCCAGTACCTCCTTCTCAAAGTGTTAGCCATTTAACAGCGAGCCAAGCAAAGTCAATATGGGGATTAACAGATGAAGAGTTAGAATCAAATTACCATGAATCAGATAGAGGTATGTTCAGTTAATTCTGTGATAAGTTCTCTTTTGTTATTCTTGGAGAGTGTACAAATATACATCTATACCAGTTGAATTAAGACCCTTGAAATTCTGCTTTGCCAGAATTCAAGCATGTTGTTGTCCATTCCCTACAATCTACAATGTATGGGATGAATACCAGTAGTGTGTTGATGACCCCTTTTTTTGCCAATTTTTTTGAGTGGGGCATTTTTAACTGAAGCAAAAATGTGCTAAGTGGTTAAAAAATGAAATGTATGTGCTCTTCTGGGAGATTGTCCTTGTAATAGCATTCTGAGTGGCATTAAAAAATTCATACCAATATTACCCCCTGAAAAGCTTCCAAATGTTACAGTTGGATAATTTATTATAATGTCTCTGAGTTTTCCATTTGTTTCACTTGCAGGGAGAGATATTCACGAAGACTTCCCATCTAATTACTATGAATGGACTAGTTTATACAAACTTTTTGTTAGGAAACATGGAGGAATTAGGCAAATGCAGACTTATGTTCTCAAGAGATGCCTGAGAAATCGACAAGCTCTTGAGGAGCACTTTCAACTTTCTTTGCATTCTTCACGGCAACAGAAGTGGTATCAGTTTTTAGAGGACAGAGATGCAGGAAATAGGAAGGCACTAAAAGCATTAACAGAGCATATGCCAAGAGTAACACACAGCTATATGCTTCACCAGGTACGTGGAAAATTTAAATCGGACCTTCTGGTGTACAACCAAAAGTGTCCACCATCAATATCTTGAGAAAAATATTAAATTTCATCAGCCTGCATATAGGTGTCTTAGCTTTGCCAAGGAAATGAGGTGCATGCAAGATAAAAATTATTTTAACAAAGTTTGTAATGGCACCACAGAAGAGGTTTTAAAATTCATATGGTTACACCATAGAATACATACAAAGTGAATACCAAATACAGTCAAAACCCGCTTTATGGACATACACTTATGCGAACATCTCATTATTACGGATAGTTTGCTTTGTCCCTGGGAAAAGAAAGTCCTTACATGTTCTCTAAATTCAACCCACTTAATACAGACACCCCATTAATACAGATGCCCTGTTTGTGTCTGTATTAACGAGGTTTGAGAGTAGCTAGAGATTCAGGTTGTCACATAGAAAGCTCAGGAGACATTGATTTACATTGATTTTATTGCTGCACTTCTTTGTTGCAAGCCAGCAAAGTAGTGTTAAAATAGGAATAAAAAAACATGTAGCCAAAATCAATTAGCTTCTTCTTACTAAAGAGGTTATAGCATGTGCGTGGGTGGGTAAGTGGGTGTGACAGAGGTGGCTGTTGGGTGGGCACCTGTATGTGATTATAAACAAAATAGTTTATGCTTACTGAGCTTGCAGGCATCAAACTTGAAGGCAACACCAAAATTAAATAATTTTCAGTTGGTAGACAATATAATGTTTTATTTTATCAACCCCCAAACATTTGTGAGGTGTGTGAATTTTCTTTGGCAAAATAGTCTTTGTATTGCTAGATGAAAGATACACAATTTATTATGTAAAAACACCACTTTCCCATATTTGAATTCCAAAAACTCTCGCTTTTAAAAGGAGGTTAAGTGCAAAATCTTTTTTGTGAAAATGTGCTCTATTTGATTGAGAATAAAAAATATTTTCATCTCAATGGCCTTGAACTTAACCTTGCTTTGAAACAGAGGCTTGGAGCAAATTGAAAATAGCTTGTTGGTGACATCTCTGGGAGGGAATGTTTTTTTTTTAGGTTTATCAGGACGACAGTGCAGAATGCATCCACTGTGCTTGTATTCAGCGATAACAAAACTCACTGGTTTTCAATTCTTTTTGTACCAGATAACAGCAATGTACATAGATGGACACCTCAAAGGTGGGTTCCAAACAGTCAAAGCATACGCAGACTTTTGTGGATATTTCAAGAACTGGTTAGATGCCAAGAGCATTAAGCTGTGGGTTCCTCGTCAGGGTGAACTAGTGGCAGAGGATTACAGAGCATGCCTTGAGTATGTCAATGGCGAGGTATGTTGCAGTTTATCAAGGAAGTTCTAATAAATATTGCTTGTTGTTTTCCCCCCTTGCTTGTTGAGGTGATCCATGTTCTGATTCAGCTGTAGTGAATTTTTGTAACTTCTTCATTTACTTTTGCTCTCCTTGCTTTTTTATCACTTGAAAATAAAAATGCGAAAAAAAGAAGTGACAATCGTAGTGGTTCCTTGACTACACTCTGATGTCCTTTTGCGCAAGAACCCAAAACTGTCATTTCTCATCTTTGTTAATTGACTGTGTTACTTACTGGTCAACAGCTATCAAGACATGCAGAGGAGATTGAGTTAACTGTGAATGATTTCATGAGCAAGGCTAAACCTTACATTGAAAGACTTCACGAAGTTTGGGTGTGGCAGAACCGAAAGGGCACTGCATACAGAAAGGAGCACAGGCCTAATTCAGTTGTACGACGGCACAAGTGTTACAGGTAAAGATCCTATGACAGTAGCTAGACCAGACATAAATTCCCTGTTAAATTACAGAGCTCATACTGGTCATGGAAAATCTAGAAAGTTGTGACATTTAGGAATTTCATTTTCCAGGACTGGTAAGTCATGGAATTTAATTGTCATCCCTGAAAAGTCATGGAATATTAAAGCTATGTTAAGTGGCTCATTTACTGCCGTTTGTTTGTTTCTTCAAGATCCTTCAAAGTTTGTGTTCTGTCGATTTGCTAAATGTGTCGATAAACACTGCCAATGGCTTGTGATAGTACATTGTATATGACCTGCAGGATGGCCAGTCTACTGTACTTTCTTCTCTACTTACCACTGAGAAAAACAATTTTATGGCTTTTTTATTGTATTTTAGACGGTGTTGGCTAGGCAAGATCAATTTTATTTTTGATAGTCTGTTACCTCGGCAACAGTCTGTACTGTCGTAACTGAACAAGTGAAGAAGACAAAATCGTTGTCTATTTTTTAACTTGGCCTTTATCAACAAACTAGAAATTTAGATTTCAAGCCTGTTTGCATAAAGTATCAAAAAGCTATTTACGCACAGTTTGAAATTTTTCTTTAAAGGCATCGGTATTTTCAAAGTGACGCAGACCCTACTCATAGTCTATTGAAATTATGTTGTTACTATTTTAATTAATGAGCCTCTTGAGGCAAAATGAAGTCATCCTTTGCGTTCAGTAACAGAGCCGCGCGAGTGTGTCAATTCAGTTGCCTTTATTCTTCACCAAAGTACTTGACTGTCGGCGCTCTTTCAGCTTATTGTTGTTTCCGCCTCGGTTTTTCTAAAAAGTTCTTTACAGATGCTAGTTAACGTTATCTCCAGTTTTCTCGTTATTTAACCCTTTAAACCTTAAGATCAAAATTTGAATTCTCATTTGTTGCGCCTATTCATTTTCTACAGAAGTAGTGGGGAGAAGTTGATAAAATTCAAGCAAATTCATCTTGTGTAATCATATCCGTGATTCTCATGACCACTCTGTTTTACAAAGCATTGATATTACAAGGAGAAATTAGTTGCTGATCTCTCTTAGGGTTTAAAGGGTTAAGAGAATTCGGTTTTAAAATTGCCCTGCTTTGACAGCTAGTCCAGAATTGACTTTAAAGGAACTTTGTCATAGTTTGTATTTTATGATCCGTGTTAATCTCCATTATCCACCGTAAAAATATACAAACCCTGAATTTTTGCGCGCTAAACATTCGTTACTCCCCCAAGAAAGCATCGCCACTAACGTTTTTATTCTTTAGTTCTTATAGTTTACTTTTACTTCTCTTGTTCCGTTTTACTAAAGATCAAATGATGACTTGTAACAACTCCTAACCTGACTGTTTTGAAATATAGCGAATTTTCTGCTCTGCAGGAACTTCTGGAAGCCTTTTGTTCGATATCTATTGTTTCTATTTGAAGCAACTGTGCTTTTGACGTATTTGAGCGTTTTTCTCACCCAAGTCTCTTAAGTGCTTTGGCGGCAGAGTCTTGGTGTCTCGCATTAGCACATGATCAACAAACACTTATATTGTATTCTTATTCGTTAGTTCGTCACTTGAACATATTTGCTTTCGGTCGTGTGCTAAACAAGTAAGATCACAAAAACCTTTCTCAAGCACCCCCTTGAGGTTAACTGATCAGTATTTCAATTTATGATCCGCGATATTCGGGCTTGTGGGAAGAGATTGGGACATAATTAGCTATATTTTTAAGCCACAAGCACAACATTGCCACATAGCCGTCATAACAATCTTTGCATATCATTTGGACATACAAATGCCTTATAGTGTGGTTAAGAACTGCTCCCGGCTATAGACTCATATCCCTTCACAGATAATGCGTTGAAGCGTAGAGGTTACAGATTTACATCTACGATTGAATCATTCCTGTTTTTTCATTTCACCGATGCTTAGTTTAGTTTAGTCTTTGTCATTCTCAGACGATGGTAATAAATATCAGGCTATATTTGAAAAGACTGTGTCCGTATTTGGACATAATATATCTGTAAGTCCAATTCCTAATATCGTATCATAAAAGCGAAACAAAACGTAACAACTATTGATGTTCTTGCTTTTAGAGGCCCGATATTTGAGTTATTGCTTGAGATTGTTTTCCTCGTCACGTCCTCGACTACGTTAGCTGTGAAGTTTAAAATATCGAAGGAGGTTTAAATATTTAAGGAATGTCAGCGTTACTGTTTTTTTTTTCGGGTAACTGAGTCATGTTTTTCGTGTTAAAAAAGTTCTCTGTACACCAATTCGAACCTAGCCATAATATTGTGATGATAATTGAACATTTTCGGTACTAACGAGAAAACGGCTACTTTTTTCTTAGGAAAACGTGAAAACTGTACAAATTTACAAGTCTGTTATATAATCTGTTATATTCTTTAATACAATGGAACCCCGTCGTTATTACGGCCACTTTTTGGGGGCGCCCGGCAAAAACGACCATACATTTTCTTGTAACGAAACCCTCGTTAATAAATTTAGTAAATGTTTTCGGCCTATTGGTGACCGTATTAACTGGGCTCCACTGTACTGGAAAACAAACAGTTTATGTTTCCTGCGAAAGTATCCTACAGCGGTTGCCTTTGAAAGGTCAAAGGAAGTAGGACGTGGCTCAAAAGTTAGAACTACGTTTAACATGTCGCCATATTAAGGAAAGTGCGAAGGCGTTAGCCATGTTTTAGAGTGAAAATAAGTGTGTCCTTGTATTTGTGAAACAGAAACAATTAAATAATAGCGTAAAAAGTAGACGTTTTGGCGTCATCGTAACGCTATCAAGGCTTTTTAGGCTTTTAAGTACTTGTTTCTGTGTCGGTGAATCTCTGTATTTGTTGTACAATATACGCAACTTTGTTGTTACTTTGATTTTTGAAGTATTACTCAGCCTCAAGCATTTTCCACTTTTTGGAAATCACTCAAAAGTCGTTTTGTTTTCCTCTTTCTTAGGGAATTTCTTGAGAAGGGAAATCTCGAAGACTTCACTCGACTGAAGATGTTTTTTGAAAGGAAAGAGATCGTGGTAGCTTGGTTTAAGGATAATAGCTGGCTTCACACACTGCTTGGAGACTATGTTATGAGGCCGCTTAGACCGGCCTGTTTATCATCTGATATATCTTCCTCCCACTTCTCAGCTGACTGCGTTTCAAGCTTGGTTCAAAGGTAAGATACTCGTGCTTGAATTTCGTTCGTAATCTAGGATCACTCATCAATCGATTTTGACGAAGAGAGGTGAAAGAAAAAAAACGAAAATAACTGAAAGAAAAGTGAATTCGTCTCGAAATGTACTTTTCTATTTTCTCAATGTAAACCGAAAGAAACCGGCGTGAACCGGCGGGCGGGCGCGATTAGTTCACGGACGCACTTGAGTGGTCTTCACGCGCGCGCGTTGATTTAATGAAAATATGGCAGAAAAGAAAGCTGACAATCTAGTTTCGCGGACTAGACAGCCACGTTTCTCGCGAGTTGAGCTAACGGAGAGAATTTGATTCCCAGAGATGCAACGTGGCTGCGTTTAATATTCATTATGGACGTTTTTTTTTTGTTTGTGTAATCTTGTCGGTAACACACTTCTTCTTTGCCTCAGGTGCGGGCGGATCTGTTCATCAATTCTCTGTTGAAGTATGAACACAGTTGAACAAACACAAATGCCGCTAAAATTGTTTTGGCGTCTGGTTTAATTATTCTTTTCACTGCTAAGACCCTAAAAAGCCATTTGTCTTGATCTTGTAAAGAGAGCAGAAAAATTATTGCCGACCACTCTAAGTGGTGGGGTTTTTCCTTCGGTTTCGCAAAACTCTTTTTCCTTTTGTTTAAATCGGATATTGCTCAAAGCTTAGTCAACTCATACTTGGAGCCTCCAAAACAAGAGTTTGATTGAACCTGTTTCCGCTGCGAGTTTTGGCGGTTTTCATTTGCGCTAATCCTGCACTTCTTGTGCGGAACTGAAACTATAGCAATGATATTAGGCACTTGTTGTGGGTTTTATGTTACTCGCCGCCACTAGGATTTGTGGTTTCCTTTAGGACCAAGAAAAGCCTTGCCGATTATAATTGGTAGTGGCCTTCTAATGACCACTTTCCCCGCCTAAATTGTCTTTAGGCATTTTAAGATGCCACGACGGCAACGGCCATGAAAATGTCGCTTTTAAAAAGAGAATTTGCGGGTTTTTTTAATCTCTATCCCGTTTATTCCAATTCGCGTACTTTGTCAAATGCAAGCGAGCGCTTTTGGAGCCGAATTCCTTAAACCGTCACTTACGTATGTCCTCCATAAAACGTGAAATGCGGCTTTTTCACGCCGTTGTCCTTCAGTGACAGCAACGAAATGTACAAAAAAGTGTGATGCACGTGCAAAGTTGTTGTTTGTCGTATTGCATTTTTTACGTTCCCTTTGCCGTCGCCAGCGTTGGAATCTTAAACTCCCAATTATTTGATATCGCTTTGTTTTGAGTCCCCTAATGGCGAGTCTGTCTCGTTTCAGGTTTTTGGAGACGGGTTATCGCTCGGACTTCAACAAAATCCGCATGAAATTGTCGGAAATGGCGAGTGTTCAGCTGCAAACCCTCGTGCGCAAGTCACGGCAGCTGCGAGACTCGATTCAACAAGACATGATGAAGGAGGACTGTGTGTATGTCAGCGATTACGAAGACAGAAATTTCATGAACTTTTTTGGCGGTGATCCTTTTGAATATGGACGAAGGATCGAAGTGGTTACCTTGGATTAGATTGCAAACTAAATCGCAACGCGTAATAATTCGTACTGTCGTTTCGCTTGCGAGTCGTTTCGCCCACGTCCTGTTCGCTTGCGTTTTAACTGCTTTTCGCTAACGTGTTAGGTAAGTTCGGCGACTGCTTTCGCCTGATCAATGGCTGAAAGAACGAATATATACATACAGTAGTTATCACACTTTTCGTATCACTGCTGAGAGAACGAGGTATCTACATAAGCAGCGCTTCTTACGCGAAACGACATAAGACGTTGGCGAACGGGACGTCATCGAAACGACTGGTCACAGTAATTAGTGTATTCCCGTACTTCCTTCTTACCTTACTCTTGCCTGTAAGATCAAGTTATACAGTAAAAGCCCGAGATTAAGAACCCACATTTTTCCAAGTTAGCCTAAACAGGTTCTTACATAGATCGTTCTTGAATAGGTTTTTATTTTTTGAAGAAGAACAAAACATTGTAACTAAGAGTATTTAGTGGTCTATTCAGTTTATTCCTTATAAATTATAAAATCTGCATACCGTCACACTGCAGTTGGAGTGATTAGACACCTGTGTCTCCAAAAAGGATCCTGAATGTTGACTTATCTTATGTGCCAAAGTGTACAGAATTTTGTTTTCTAGATTGAAGAAAATCAGAACCTGTTTCAAATTTAAGGCTAGACAGGCCCTCGTGTAAAGGGGGCCCAACTGGCAAATTTTAACCTAAACCAGGTTCTTAGCCGCGGCTTTTTACTGTACATAGCTGTATAACCTGTGTTCAAAGCGCCTTTGAGGTATTCTGAGGTGGAGTGCTGTTTCTTATTCAGGGTGCTGTAACTTCATTCACACTCTTGCGGCTTTAGTTCTTTCGTTGAAAGAAACGTAACTTTATAGTAGGAAATAGAACTGATTGCGTTTTTTCCATTTTGTTCATAATTCTATGTATATTCAGTTTGAGAATTAACAAAAGTTTTTTTAATGTTCCAGTCAAGTGAATTATTTATTATTCTCAAGTCAAGCTTATTTTGTACAGCGTAGCATATAGAAAGACGTTGAAATTATTCCAAAGCATAGTACTCGAACTTATACATACCTTCGCTTTAGCTGTTGTATAATTAACTTAGGTAGGGGAGGGTGTAGACGTCTGGTTGTCATGTGTTCAGGAGCAGTCCACTGACTCATTGGGCCAGTTTAATTAGACGCTGCCATTTTCTTGTCCCGATTTTTGCGCCATTTGCAACACCGTAGTGAATACAAAACTCCGCCCAGTTTCCAAAAATCGGGCCGGTAAGTCTTAGCGTGTGAGTTGGGCCTAATGATCCGGTTTTTTGACAGATGGTGTTCGCTCCATATTTGGGTATGTAGGTTGTGTTCATTGGGGGTGGGGTGGGGTGGGGTGGGGGTATTTCATCGCAAATGCGACTTTGTATACCACTTGTCTCGTTAATTTTGTACGAAGTATTTTTACAAGAAGTTGATATTTTCGGAAGACGTGTAACATAGAGTATTTAAACGTATTGTAATTTGTTGAAACTTCCGACCAGTTTTCAAGAAAAAAAAATAGAAAGAGGAAGAGAATTGACTGTCGGTCATGCCAATATGAGAAAAAAACATACATTTATTTATTGTCCAAAGGAATATTTAGTTAATTTATCTAATTGATCATATCTCATGAAGCTTAGATTGATGTTACGTACTGCACAGCGCCAAAAAGGTATTCCGAAATGAGAGCAAAAGCTTGATTAAAATACAAAAAAGTTGAATTATTGCTTGGTCTGTTTCCCTATTTTTGTGCCCTGTTCTGTGGAACCTCTCGTTAAATTCTGTTGCATCATTCAAATCCCAGCATTCCAGCTTTGAAACCACATAAGCACAAAAAGATTTGACCATGGCTGTCTAGGTATGGCATTAAAATTTTTAAGGCAGTGCTGATCCGACAGCTATGGACAGGTATTTAGGCTACGTTTTTTCTATGGAGAAAAGTTGCCTCGGGAGATAAAGTACCTTCCCAGCCCAGTCAAGCGTGTATAGCAATATACAAGAAAACGTTGACCCCTTTGCGCGAGCCAAGAAATGACCATTTCAGTTTTCCCACTGAAAATAGAGTTCGTGCATGCTCTGATTCTCTCCTTCCAAACTCAGCTGGGCGAGTCAAAGTCAGTGTAGTATATAAAGAAAAGTTTGCCTGGTTAGGAGGGTGACCAGGCGGTCCTTTTTCCCATTTTCTTTCCTTTCATTTTTTCTTTGCCCGTGATCCCGGGTTAGACAGATCACCCTACTAGCCAAGCCAACGTTTTGTTCCTGTTGTTCGCCAAATTTTGTGAGAAAATGTAGGAAAAGTTGGCTAGGCCAGGGTGGACGGTCAAGGCGACTGACCCTTCGATACGGGCACGTTTTCTGCATATAAACGGGCCCTTAGGTTTAGCATTGACTATCCTCTGGCTTGTGATACGGCTAGTCCTTAGGATCCCGGTGATGTTCCAATGACTAGGTACATGAATAAGAAGATACTTTTATTTAGCTAGGGTAACTCCTACAGTTACAAAACTGATATCCTTAGAGGCCCTAGATAAAAAAGAAATATAAAAATATGTTTAAAATACTTTAAAATAGTCCTAACTAAGCTAATATACCTGCCAACTCTCACGCCTGCGGGTTGAAAAATTCGATCTCACGCTGGTTAACGCTTGCGGGCCAATTTCTCACGCCTGATTGAAAAATGTGAGTTGTTGCCGTCTTGCTTGACACAATTTCCAAAAATATGTTAACTCAGACCCATATAAGGAACGAAAACCACGTGTAGAATGAATAAATGACAATACCTTCCTCGCGATCTCTGATTTTTGAAGTGAAAAGCAAGTCAAAACTTCGCCTTCAGCAGACTTCGGAGGTCTTCGGAAGACTTCGGACTTCTTCGGGAATCTTTGGAAATGATCGTGTCGTCTTCAAAAATCCCAGCACTCCCAGGATAAAAATCTCACGCTTATATCTCAGAAAAAGTTGGCAGGTATAAGCTAATAGAAAAATATCCTAAAAAAAGGTAAAAATTACTACAAAGTATTAATAAAAACTACAAATTACGATTAAAAACTTCACATCCATAATAATAAAAAGCTTTTTTCGTACATTCTAATTTGATGGAGGGAAGACGGAGATGATTAGGGAAAGTTCATTTAATATGACAAGGGGCGGGGGGGGGATGAAGATATTGACACTCGAAGCTTGAAATTTTAGCAGCCCCCCTCGCTAGCGGTTCAATTTTTTAGGAGCCCCCTCCTTGGTAGTCGAAAAAATTTCAAAGCACCCCCCTCCCCCCTCCTCCTTCAATTCCTTTGCTCCCCTGAAAAAAGATTGCTAGACTGTATTAAATATATTTACCGTTATTGTCTTCAATGGTTTATACTATGACAAACTAGAGATACAGTTGTGATACAATTTTCTAAAGCATTTTTAAGATGAACAAGAGTGTAATAATTACTGAGACTACATTTGTTATATCTGTAAACCACGTGATATGGCTGAGTTGCACAGGTCATTAAATTGTTGAGTTGAAAACCATCCGATCTGTATGATGATGTCATGTGTTGGTTTTGAAGTATACAAATTTTCGAGAGCCCCCCTCCTAGCGCAACAATTTTTTCAGAGCCCCCCTCAATATCTTCATCCCCCCCCTCGTCATATTAAATGAACTTTCTCTTACTTTGCCGCGTTTTTCTCTGTACGATATCACTATTAAAATAAAAGAAGTACATTAAAAATTGCGGGCAGCGCTTATTTATGTACACATTTCTTCACAAGGTTTAACGCGTGAATCTCCCGTCCAAGCCCCAGCGTATCATATTTAAGGTTACATTACACTATAAGGTCATTTGTGTACAGTGTCCAAAATAGCAACAGCGCTCTTGGAGCCTATGAACATGATGAAGGCCAGCGTTTTTATAGTTACCAGTCTTTCCGTTCCATCCCAATGAACGCCTGTCAGTTTTTATGGTGGACGTTCGCGGACGTTGGAAAACAACAACAAGATATCTGACAGATCAGCAAAAAAAGATCAGTGTCGCGAAAAGTGTAAAACGCACTATGAATAGCTTCTTTAACTAAGGATTACCACGAAAGAATTAAGAAGCTGAACTTAATGGCAGATTGACCTGCAGTACGAGTCGACACGTTCATTTCACTTGTTATCTGTTGATGAAGCTGAATTCTTGTTAAACAGTGCGAATTCAAGTCTTCAAGAAGTGACAAAAATAAGCGCAGGTCTTATGATGGATGATAGTTTTTGCACTCAGACGGTAGAGAGTTATTTCGCGTCAAGTCTTGATATAGTGCACGTTTTTCCGACCGAAATAATGTTTCTGGTTTTTGACTGGTTGGACTTGGAATCTCTTTGTCTGTGTAGAAGTGTATCAATAACTTGGAGAAAGCATGTGAATGGCTACTTAGGAAGTTTATTTTGTTTAGATTTTGTTCCCCATCAGTCTGTTCTAACAGAGGATGGGTTGAGACATATGCTAAAAAGTGTGAGTAATTTGCGAGTTCTTCATGTGGACAATTGTTGGCTGAGTGTGACAGAAGAAAATTTGTTTCTGATCGCTCAAAACTGTAGCAAGCTTTCTGTGCTAACGGCAAGTAGATGTAAAGGAGTGACTGATGTTGGTCTGGAAGCAATAGCAAGGCAGTGCAAAGAATTAGCAGAAGTGGATTTAAGCAGCTGTTTTACGGTGTGTGGTCTATCTTTAACTCAGTCCCATTGAACACAATCTCTAACCTCTTGTCTTTTCTCCTTAAGGCTGTCTTTTACTAGCGACGGAGTTGAAGTCATAAACGCAGTTGTAAGAGCACTTATGACCTAGTGGAAATAGAAAATCAGAGTTGTGAGCGCAGTCATAAGCACGATGTAACCAGAGTCAGAAGAATCAGAACATTTCCATTTTCTTCCGACTCCACTTACGACTCTGTCGCTTACGTTCTGCTTATGATCTAGTGAAAACCAGATTGTCAGAGTTGGAAACAGAGTCAGAAGGATAAACCAATCACAATGAACATTCCCACCATTTGTGATTGGTGAAGTTCTTCCGCTTCTGCATGCTTCCGACTCTGACTATCTGGTTTTCACTAGATCATAAGTGGAAGGTAAGCAACGGAATACTGTTTTCACTGGATCATAAGCTCTATGTTTCTGATTACGACTCCGACTGACTCCGCCACCAGTGAAAACCAGCCTTTACTGTTGCCTGAATTTCAGACATCCCTTTGAGTCGTATACTCCCTCAGGGACATCTGAATTAACTTTTTTCATCTTTGTTAAGGACAACAACAACAACAACTTTATTGAAAAGCAATGAAATACATTTTAAACATACACATTGGCTACATTTAGCTTAAGCTATTCGAGGCAGGCCAATTAGCTTCTTTTAAATTAAAACAAATTGTTGTGGTCTTGAAGTGTCCTGTATGTGTATTTATTTCATTTTTGCATGACCACCATTGAGTTTGATAATTAAATCATGGTGCTATACATGCAAATGATTTGTTCACAGTACTACATGCAGTTAACAGTTTGAATGTTTAACATGAATTATGATTTGAAAGTAAAGCAATTCTGTACTATGTAGACATATCGAGACAATATTTCTTTGCTTGCCAGTTGAAAATCGTGTTTTGCTCGTTGCATGAATTAAAGTAAGGGAGTGGTGATGTCACTGGATAGCATTTGCAGCTCTTTGATTCACGTCCCTGAGGGAGTATGTGACTGAAACAGAAAGTCTGAAATTCAGGCTATCCTTACTGTGCAAGTTTCAAAAATGCTGGACAAAGGGATTGAACACCCTTGAGGTTTGGGTTAAGTTGGTATTGAACCCTCCCAAAATGACACCTTATTTTATTGGTATTATTTTTTTGTTGGTCCTCAAATGAAGGTGTCGCCTTTTATTTAGCAAAAAAGAGACCTATTTTTGTGAAAAGTCCTCTTGGAAACTTCCAGCCTTCTAAATAATGCACTTTGTTTCACTTAGATTTCTGATGTTGGCATGATGGCTTTGAGTAAACAATGTTCACATCTCAAAGAACTGCACGTAAGTAGCTGCTATGGAGTGACAGACAAAAGCATTACTGTTTTAGCTCAGCAGTGTCTTGGATTAACAGAACTGGATGTCAGCTATTGCTACTACATTACTGATCAGAGCATTAAACTATTTTTGTCCCCAAAGTGCAAGCTCAAGCTGCTGAGAATTAAAGGATGCAGTAAAGTAAGTATGGTGTATACAAAATACATGTTTACCCCTGCCAGTATTTTATTTTCTTTTAATCTATAATCACGTGTTGTCAAAGTCCACATAACTAGAGGTTTCAGCAACAATTTTTTTTATAGTCAGATTCAACAACAACTAAACTGTGTAACAAATGACGCCGTCACTGAATCAATAGACTCCCACGGGAGGGAGGGATGGGCAACGTGCTTGCCCTACAAAAATTACAGCTCTTAAACAATAGCTATGTCTCTTTCAATTTTTTTTACTATTACAACGTTCATTGGTTTGCAGTAATCAACTGCTTTATTTTTACATCATTCCCTTGACAATTCTGGCATAAGTGGTACCACTTCCGGTCTAGAATGGACTTGATGCCAGACTCAAAAATCCTCCAATTCCATAAATGCTATCTAAGTATAAATTTTAGCTCTTTTTATTTGCAGGTTTCTCAAGGATTGGAATCTCAGCTTATGTCAAATGGAGTTGTTGTGAACAACTTTTTCTAATGTAGAGTTAACAGTGCTGGATCCAGACCTTGAGATGAGGTGCGGGGCTCGCTCATGACCCTTTGATAAGGGTCTGGATCAGCCTAGTCCCTAGGCGTTCTCTCTTGCCTCGTTGTCCGCGTGAAGTTTGGGAAAGAGCGGGCAAGAGAACGCCTAGCCAATACTGGTAAAATACCCCTGAGTTTAGAGCAATTTTACCTTTTGCCTTGTTTCCTGTTTCGACGACAGTCCGTAACCTCAGCTCCTCCATCGTGGAGAGATTCATTGGCACAAATTCAAGAAAGAAGTTCATCGTCTGGTACCTGTTGCTGCGCGTGAAAGTCCTCTTAAGTTGACTACAAAACTTGGTCTCGCGGATCCTTTTTTACGAAACCGAAACTTTGTTTTTCGCTGTGGCATGCACGTAGAAACTCTTCGTGTTCAAATGACGGGTTTTCAGCTACTTTCAGCTGAAGTTGCAGTAACCTGACAAAAGGGCCGCCATATTAATTTTGATCTGACAGTATTGGCTAGGCGTTCTCGGCGTGTACCTCTCGGTGACATTACATCTTACGGTAGAGTACAGGATTGACCGAGCCGCGAACACCTAGGGACTAGGCTGGGTCTGGATAATTTATAATTTTTTTCGGCCCTTCGAGCCTCAGTTTAGTCTAAAAATAAAGGGAGCCTCGGGCCCCCTAGGCCACTCCCCTGTATCCGCCACTGGTTAAGGTGCAAGACCACTGCAAAAAACCGTGTGCGATCAATCTTGCTCAACGTCGGATAAAGAAAGATCGCGATCAGTCAAAAGTAATGAAAGTATGATAATACCTTTTACCGGGAAGCTGTCCAGCCCATTAACCTTTTTTCGTTCGCAGAAAAGGTATCCCTTTTGTATTTATACCTTCCATTGAAAAATGGTACCCCCTTTTCACAAACCTATTTCGCTGAAACAGGAAGCCTTCTGCTCAATTTTGTGCAACGTTTAATAATGAAATAGCCATAAGACTCGTATTTTCAAAACATTTTAATTGAAGCACCTTCTAAATGCTTAAATTGCAGATCTTGCACTCCTTTTTTATATTCTAACGTGTGAATTTCCCTACCTTTTGATTTAAGACAGAGCCTCCCCGTGTAGGGCATTATGGGTAGTGCCCCGCCCCGGGACTTCGAGACACATGACAATTAACAATTATTCTTTGAAATCGAGGTGAATAGTGGCAAAATATTTACCGAGCCGCGAAAGCGGCGAGGTAAATATTCCCAAAGCCACTATTCACCGAGATTGAGAAGAATAATTGTTTTAGTATATACACACGAAGTGATCTCAACAAAATCAGAAAGGAAACCATTCAAAAGTAGGATTTGATTGACAGATCAAATCACGCGTAAGTTTAAAAATAGATCTTTGCAGAATTTTCAAACATGGCAATTCACAAGTTTACTCATTTCGCAAACAACAGCGTAATGGCTTCAATGGAATCGCTAAAAGTTTGAACTGTTTCCTTACCTGAGAAAAAAAAGTAGAGCTGTGTTGTTTTCTGTTGACTGGCCAAGTTTATAGCCAAAAGGGCATGTTGTGTCGTTCTTCGCATGAAGTGCTGACAAAAATGGCGGCTCGGTTGCTCGAGGTAAGAGGTCGTCTTCCTGTATCATTCTTTTTCCTGTTTACTTGAAATGTAGAATTTCTGCAAACATTTCCTTTTAAATTTGTTTGTCATAAATAAACTTCGATTTTTGAGCCAAAATTTTCTTCTTAGAAAACGCTGAGTTCACGAAACGGCTTCTTCTACGCGAATACACGGGAGTTGTAAACAATCCATCGAGCACAAAACTCCTGCTACAGTAAATTGAAAAACGCCGTATTGAATCCTTCCAAGTCTTTTCTTGCCTTAAAAAAAGTCAGCCCTAGGATTTTGTCGACTTTTAAAAGATCGTTCTCTAAAAAAACGGGAAAAACACCGAGCTCACACATTATCCACTCGCTAGGAGGTGAATATTGTTGAATAGTCCGAGATAGCGAACCAATCAGATTGCTTAAATCACCAAGATCACTGAGTGTGTATATACTAAAACAAAATATGTACTCCTCTTTTTACTGGTAGTTAATTTTAATTATATGCTGGGGATTTTTTAGCCATGGTTTCATAAAAGATCTCTTTGTAAATCGTTTTTCGGTTAACCTCTAGCTAGCACGCTTCTTGTTGAAATAAACATTCTTACAATTATGGCAATAAAAATATTTTAATAGCAGCATAATTATAGCCTGCGTGGCAGACGCACTCTAAATTTTCTGTTGGACCATACCAATGGTTTACGCGATAAATGTGTGTCGCTGACTCGTCCCCAGTCGTCTAAGTTGTCTCTACTCATTAACATTTACTAGGGAAGCGCTTGGGTTATGCGCGGGGGGAAGATGGGAAGGCGAGAAGAGGGGAGTCTCTCCCTTCGTCCTTCCCGTCATCCCCTTCGTTAAAGAATTCGTTCCAGTTCCACGCCAAATACTAATAATGAGAGAGGACTGGGAACGAGTCAGCGTGTGTCGGCAGTCTACCACTTTTTATGAGAATAAAATAAAAAATTGTATTTATCAATAACTCGTTAGATTTGTGTCTTAATACAGTAAAATAAAAGTTAAGTAGCAGAAAGATGGAAAGCTGGAGTAGAAAAATTAAAAGAAAAAGGAATATCGAAATGTAAAAGTAGGTCCCACCGAGATTTGAACTCGGATCGCTGGATTCAAAGTCCAGAGTGCTAACCATTACACCATGGGACCTTCGGTGAACGAAGGGGGAGAAATTTACATTTATAATTCTACCGTGGTAAAATTTTTGAAAATACCGCTGACAAGATGCTACTGAGTGAGGAAATCACTGATGCTGCATCCTTTGCACCGTTCATCTTTCTTCCTTCGCTTAAACGCATTAAATATCCACAAAATCAAGAATATTTCGTCAAATAAGCATGGTATTCGCTTGCCAAAAAGACTCTTTCCTTAGAGCGTTAAAGACAAAAGTGATATCATGCAAACCCGGCAAAATCAACGGCAAGGAAGTGTTCGAAGTTGTCCTCGAAGACACCGTGTTGTTTCCCGAAGGAGGAGGACAGGTAAGAAGCTTACTATTTTTATAATTATTGTACTAATAACAAAATTTGGAGGTCATCTATTTGCCACCTAAGTAGAGAAAACATAATTCGCCTGGCAACAAAGGTATATGCTTTCTCAGGGACGTTCCATCGACCTTCCCGCTCAGACTGACCGGTTCATCAGGACGTTACAAATCGATATTTTCGATACTCGATTAAAATCGATAGTAATCGATCGAAATCGATTATAACTTATCGATTAATATCGAGTTTTTGTGATTATCGATTTTATCGATTTCTGTTATTAAACGATCGATTTTATCGATTTTGATCGAAAAAATCGGAAACATAAAAAAACATCTCAACAGACAATGATACCGCTCGCTAGTTCAGCTTCGAATGGAAAAATTTGTAACTTCGTGGGTTCATGCGGTTACATGTTCGGAACAAAATGTCGTAAAATTAAGATTTAAGATCAGTTAAGGTGTATTTGCCAAATAGGTCCTTTATAACTGAATAATTTTACATGCTGTCTTTGGAAAACCTGACTTATGACTTCATAGATGCCTAAAAGAAATAAATTACACATAATGTAGCTATCATTAATTTTGAAATGTCATGTTGGGTCTGTTGGAACGTTCTCTTCTCCGCCTCCTCCGCTGGGAAGAATCCTTCATTAGTCTTCTTTATTGAGACTTGGTTATTTTATAAGCTTATACAGATATGTGGAGATGTCAGCGAACTTTTATTGCAGGGTTTGCATAGAGTGTTGAATTCTTGAAAAAAGTCTTGAAAATTAATCTGCCCAGCAGTTTTCCAGACCTGGACAAACTCTGGAAAATGGAGATAAATTCTGGATACTGGGGGAAAGTCTTGAGTTTTTTTTCAAAGTTACAAAAAGTGCTTTATAAGGAAAATTAATGTTTCGTTTTGGTCAAATCTTATTCAATCTTGCCTGTATGTCTGCAGCACATCATGAGAAAAGCTTTCTCCTTGCATTTTTCCAGTGATCACCGATTTGATAACCTTGAGTCTGGAAAAAAAAATACAGTAATTGTTTGGAAAAAAGTTTGGAAAAAGTCTTGAATTTTGTATCCAAAAATCTGTATGAACACTGTATTGACATCTAGCACATAAGCAAAAAACTTGAAGGGCTATGCCAAGACTTTTACTTGACAGCTCGACAGCTAGCATCCTCGGAGACCCAGGGGCAGTCAGTGGGGTCGGGAGAAAAGGTGGGACAAACGTTTTCAAGTACGGGCAAAAGAGCCTCTGGGTACCGACTCTCACCGAGCTATTTCCAAAAATTCAAGCAGATGTCGGCTCCTGATTGGGCACAAAAAATTCTTTGTATTATTGTGCCCAATCAGCGAACAGTTTCTCTTGAGTTCTTTTCGTGAGTTTGTACATGACAGCTATTGTTTCGATCACGGCTTGTGTAGCTCATGCACCAAAGAAATGCACCCAGTCAGGAAACTTCCTGTTTGATATAAAATCCTCATCTGATTTCAGAATACTGTCTGCCCGAAAAGCAAAGACACTTTTCCAAAAATACAAGCTTGAGCTTACAACAAGTATTCACGCTTGCATTGGTCACGTCTTGATTAAATGTTGGGGATTTTTTAAAAGATACTACGATGGCTGACAACTACGAAAACGTCACATGGAAAAAGGAATTCACATTTTTTCAGTTTCTATTGTGATTATTCCAACTCGCTTACTTTGTCAAATAGAACTGCAGGATTGTCAAAAAAGATTTTAAGTAGCAGGAGAATAAGAGAAGGTAGCCGGCATGTGTCTTCCCCGGCAGCGCCGGTAGGGAAAGACATCACTGTTATTATTATTATTATGTCACTCGGGATATGTGTTTCCCAGGTGGGGGAATACATTTCACTAGGGATATGTGTTTCCCAGGTGGGGGGATGCATATCAGTAGGGATATGTATTCCTATGTAGGCGAACACATATCACTAGGGATATGTGTTTCCCAGGTGGGGGAACACATATCACTAGGGATATGGTTTCCCAGGTAGGGGAACACATTTCACTACGGATATGTGTTTCCCAGGTGGGGGAACACATATCACTAGGGATATGTGTTTCCCAGGTGGGGGAACACATATCACTAGGGATATGGTTTCCCAGGTAGGGGAACACATTCACTACGGATATGTGTTTCCCAGGAGGGGGAACACATTTCACTAGCGATATGTGTTTACCAGGAGGGGGAACACATATCACTAGGGATATGTGTTTCCCAGGTTGAGAACACATATCACTAGGGATATGTGTTTCCCAGGTAGGGGAACATATATCACTAGGGATATATGTTTCCCAGGTAGAGGAACACATTTCACTAGGGATATGTGTTTCCCAGGTAGGGGAACTCATATCAATAGGGATATGTGTTCCCCCACCTGCGAAACACATATCCGTAGTGAAATGTGTTCCCCTACCTGGGAAACACATATCCCTAGTGATATGTGTTCCCCCTCCTGGTAAACACATATCCCTAGTGATATGTGTTCCCCCTCCTGGTAAACACATATCCCTAGTAAAATGTGTTCCCCTACCTGGGAAACCATATCCCTAGTGATATGTGTTCCCCCACCTGGGAAACACATATTCCTAGTGATATGTGTTCGCCTACATAGGAATATATCACTAGGAATATGTGTTTCCCAGGTAGGGGAACACATGTCACTAGCGATATGTGTTTCCCAGGTGGGTGAACACATATCACTAGGGATACGTGTTTCCCATGTGGGGGGATGCATATCAGTAGGGATATGTATTCCTATGTAGGGGAACACATTGGGCGATTCCAGAAAATATCCATACCATACCACGGACGGCTTTTAGGATTTCCGAAGGGGAGGGGGGGTTCACGATTACGGATTTCTGAGGGCATGGGGGGTATTTACGATTGGAAATCCGAAGGCATGGCGGAATTCCACAGGTGGGATTTCTGGAGTAGAAAGTGTAGAGTGAGTTCCTTGAAAACGCTATTGTTGTGGACTTTTGTAGTTCGTAAATAAACCACGAACGTATGACCGCGGAAGCAGAAGACAAGCATCGATAGATCAGACACGTGTTTATGCTCATAACTTATAGAAGTGAACAGTAAAATGTGGGTTTCACATTAACCTTGATGAATTTCTTGTCACATGAAAAAAAAAACGAATATGTATCTTACTGCTTGCAAGTTTCTTGTTACTCCCGTCCGATGAACAGTAAAAAGACTAAGACCAGTCCCTGGCTTCCAAGGAACGCCTGTCAGATTAGAACACTTTTCGTGGCACACTACTTGACGTATAAAAGGACGCAACACGCCTCGACGGTATATATTTGACCACCGAAAGATTTTAAACGGTCTGAATTTGAGCTATTTTGCTTTGTAAACGTCAAAACAGCACAAGAAAACAAAGAGGAGTAAAATTGCCGTTAGTGGTGTTTATTTTTATTGCCAAATTCGGACCTAAAAAGGAGTTTGCACAGCCTGTCTACTAGCGGTAGGTTAGAGTCTGAAAGCTTGTCGCCTGGCGCCGTTAGATCACAGCCTTGAGGAGGCATAAAGTCATGTTCGTTTGTTCATATAGGCGTTGCTAAGTTGAAAATGTACTTCCAAAAAAACGGAAATTCTGAAGGGGAGGGGGAGTTCACGATTATGGAATTCTGCGGGCATGGGGGGGTAACGCATTTTGGAAGGGGGGGATAAAACATGGAAGCCGTCCGTGGTTGGGTATGGATATTTTCTGGAATTGCCCATTTCACCAGGGATCTGTGTTTCCCAGGTGGGGGAACACATATCACTAGTCATATGTGTTTCCCAGGTAAGGGAACACATAACACGAGGGATATGTGTTTCCCAGGTTGGGGAGCACATATCACTAGGGATACGTGTTTCCCAGGTAGGGGAACATATATCACTGGGGATATGTGTTTCCCAGGTAGTGGAACACATTTCACTACGGATATGTGTTTCCCAAGTGGAGGAACACATTTCACTAGGAATATGTGTTTCCCAGGTCGGGGAACACATATCACTAGGGATATGTGTTTCCGAGGTAGGGGAACACATTTCAGTAGCGATATGTGTTTCCCAGGTAGGGGAACACATATCACTAGGGATATGTGTTTCCCAGGTAGGGGAGCACATTTCACTACGGATATGTGTTTCCCAGGTGGGGGAACACATATCACTAGGGATATGTGTTTCCCAGGCGGGGGAACACATATCAGTAGGGATATGTGTTTCCCAGGTAGGGGAACATATACAGCTATTTCGAGAAAGGTTGTCGCAAAACATGTGCACGCGACAATCCCAAAAGGTAATATGGGATATGATCAATACATTGTTCCTGACACTGTAGCTGTAGAACCTACTTTTGTTGCTTTCCTTTAGCACTCGCAGACATATGTCGACGGCCTCTCCTGCCATTCTTTCAAATTTCTTTGAAAAACAGTCAGGTCAAAACCACCCACAATACCTTTCGGGTTTGTCGCGTGCACTTTTTCCAACAACCTTTCTCGAAATAGCTGTATTACTAGGGATATGTGTTTCTCAGGTAGGGGAACACATATCACTAGGGATATGTGTTTCCCAGGTGGGGAACTCATATCACTAGGGATATGTGTTTCCGAGGTAGGGGAACACATTTCACTAGGGATATGTGTTTCCCAGGTAGGGGAACACATATCACTAGGGATATGTGTTTCCCAGGTAGGGGAACACATTTCACTACGGATATGTGTTTCCCAGGTGGGGGAACACATCTCACTAGGGATATGTCTTTCCCAGGTGGAGGAACACATATCACTAGGGATATGTGTTTCTTAGGTGACGGAACACATATCGCTAGGGATATGTGTTTCCCAGGTGGGGGAACACATATCACTAGGGATATGTGTTTCCCAGGTGGGGGAACACATATCACTAGGGATATGTGTTTCCCAGGTAGAGGAACACATATCACTAGGGATATGTGTTTCCCAGGTGGGGGAACACATTTCACTAGGGATATATGTTTTCCAGGTGGGGAACACATATCACTAGGGATATGTGTTTCCCAGGTGGGGGAGCGCATTTCACTAGGGATATCTGTTTTCCAGGTGGGGTAACAAATATTACTAGGGATATGTGTTTCCCAGGTGGGGGAACACATATCACTAGGGATATGTGTTTCCCAGGTGGAGGAACACATATCACTAGGGATATGTGTTTCCCAGGTGGGGGAGTGCATTTCACTAGGGATATCTGTTTTCCAGGTGGGGGAACAGATATTACTAGGGATATGTGTTTCCCAGGTGGGGGAACACATATCACTAGGGATATGTGTTTCCCAGGTGGAGGAACACGTATCACTAGGGATATGTGTTTCCCAGGTGGGGGAACACATATCACTAGGGATATGTGTTTCCCGAGTGGGGGAACACATTTTACTAGGGATATGTGTTTCCCAGGGAACACATATCACTAGGGATATTTGTTTCCTAGGAGGGGGAACACATTTCGCTAGCGATATATGTTTCCCAGGTTGGGGAATACATATCACTGGGGATATTTGTTTCCCAGGTAGGGGAACATATATATCACTAGGGATATGTGTTTCCCAGGTGGGGGAACACATATCACTAGGGATATTTGTTTCCCAGGAGAGGGAACACATTTCGCTAGGGATATATGTTTTCCAGGTCATGGAACACATATCACTGGGGATATTTGTTTCCCAGGTAGGGGAACATATATATCACTAGGGATATGTGTTTCCAAGGTGGGGGAACAGATATCACTAAAGATATAATCTTGGATTAAATCTTCACGAAAGAATGTGAATAAATTAAAAGCGGTCACACTTTTGGGTTCCTTGTTGACATTTAAAGATAAGCATTTTTTGAGGCTACATTCTAAGTTTTATGTCTTTTTGTTCTTGCATAATGTGGATGGTAACATCATGGATGTTAACAGCCTGATGATCGAGGAACGGTAAGGAATGACTATAACTATAATTTATAATACATGTACATATGTACCTTTAAACAGTAACAGGAACATTAAATCTTTCTGCTTTTGGTGGAAAAATTACTTTAATGATAACAGGGAATGAATTCCAGCACAATATTAAACAACCATACTTTGGCTGTCATATAGAGTTTGTGAAATATTGAATAATGAAATTTTTGGGGTTTTTCCTTCCATCCATCATTATTAATGTAGATTTATTTTTGGTGCCCTTGAGTTTGTTTTTTAAGGGGAAAAGGGTCCATACAGCTTAACCTTTTCAGCATTAGGAGTGATTTCTCCTTCCAATATCTATACATTATGAGAATTAATTAATAAAGTGATTACCAAAGGAAAACTACTTGGATTTTTTATCGAATACTCTTAAGTAAGTCTTTAAAGAAGTGTATGGACGTCAGTCTAGAGAACTTGTACGTGAATTTTGGGGCTTGCAGGGTTGATTCAACCATTTTTTGTGACAAAATTAGATTGTAAATTTTACCATTGTAATCCTTAAGGCATTTTAGATAAGATTTAGTGCATAACTACCATGTGGCACAATTTTTTTGTAGGTTCTTATTTGCGATTTTTGTGATTTTTCCAGTGATCCACAAAAGTACGTTCCAGTAAAAAAAATTACATTTTTCCCACTAAAATGTAGTCCAGAGTAATTCTATAAATAATCTAACTTAAATTTGCCACAGAAACAAAACATTGTATGATGAATTACTGGTTTTAAACAGCGTGTCGCACTCTGCAGTATTGTTTGAAAGTATGTGTTTCTATTGCACATACTCCATAAAAACAAAAATATTATCAATTCTCGGTCCGGTACTTTCTGAAAATCACCAAAATTAATTCCTGGCAAAAGAAAAAGAAAATCTGTCTTATTTATCACAAAAATTAGTCCCCATAAAACAAAGCAAAAATCGCCAATCTGCAAAAATAAACTCCGGCAAAAAAAATCGTGCCACACCATAGTATGCATAAATTTGATTCTGTTTTAATTATCATTGGAACCTTTGCCTAGATCAATGGTATTGAGGTACTGAGAGTGTTAAGGCGAGGAGCAACTGCCATCCATTATGTTTGTGAGGAAATTCCAGAAGGCTCTGAAGTGGATCTTGCTATTGACTGGTCACGGAGATTCGATCACATGCAACAACATTCAGGCAAGCATCTCCACATGATTTCATCTTTGCTTGTAGGCCTCTCTCCTTTGCATAGGTTCTCTGCAAGCTATTCCAGTGAAACTAGTAATGATGAAAAATATGATGAGTCTTCAGGACTTTCTTTTTTCCCTCTCCCAGTGATTTTGTTACGTCTGCCCCCCCCCTGCATCCCTGAGCCATAAAAATCCCCAAAGACGCAAAATAATTCCTGACATGCGTCCCATAGGACAATTGGGTAACCTGTAAATTTTCAGCCGTACATCTCAAAAGTAGCGATTGCAACAGCCGCGGAGTGTTAGAAGGATTTGTATGAGAGAAACATCTTTCGCCACCCAGTCACACTTGAATGGTTTTCCATACATATCCTTGTAAGTATTTCCTTAAGAATTACGGGGCTCAAATCTTCTTTTAATTCATAACAGGCAATTTGAACCCTTAAATGGGTAAGGGAAATATTTAACGGCCGTTAAATCTCAGAATTTACAAGGACGTGTATGGATTAGGGAAACCGCTCAAGCGTGACTGCAGGGTGGCAGGAGTTGTTTTTCTCATACAAATCCTTCTAATTTTCGGCGGCTGTTGCAATTGCTACTGTTGAGATATACGGCTGACAATTTACTGGTTACCTAATTTTAATATGCTCTTTCAGCTCGTGCTAACGACATTTTTCAAAAGTGACCGGCTTTTGTGTTGACTGAAAGTTGATCAGATGACCAACTAATACAACAGGCCTATTAGTGACATATGAATGATGCTTCCTCAATAACCTGCCTAGTCCCTGTATAGTGTCTTCCCTGGCCTTCTTGGTCAATCCATTTCGGTGACATGTCCTTGCTCGCACCACGTGACGCAAAACGCATCAGCCGTGTCGAATAATGAGACCTAGGAACTAGGCAATTAAATAACCACCAAACTTCAAAACATTGGGTAGGCTTTTTCATTTTTTGCTTTTCTGTCCTGATCATTTTTTAGTCAGTGGCACTTTTGTTAAACAGTTTCTTTATATCAACCAGTGTGGTACTTTTTAGCCAGATAATTAGGTACTAGTCGTAGTTTACAACTGATAATTACACATATCTGTTAGACCTATCGTACTACATAATTATAATCTTTGTTATGTTATCTCTTTTTAAGGACAACACCTAGTATCTGCAATCACTGAAAACAAGTTTGGCTATGAGACTACCTCATGGTGAGTAAGACTACATGATTTCCTGTGCAGTGTTTACAGTTACTATAACCCCTTGTCCCCCCCTGTAACCTCCATTAACCCCTTGTAACCCCTTGTCACCCCCTGTAACCCGTTGTCACCCCCTATAACCCTTTGTAACCCCTTGTCACCCCCTTGTAACCCCATGAAACCCTTTGTAACCCCTTGTAACCCGTTGCAACCCCTTGTCACCCCTTGTATCCCCTGTAACCCTTGTCACCGCTTTTAACCCCCTGTCACCCCCTGTAATCCCTTGTAACCCCCTGTAACCTTTGTAACCCCTTGTCACCCCTTGTAACCCATTGTCACCCCTTGTAACCCCTCGTAACCCATTGTCAACCCTTGAAACCCCTTGTAACCCCCTGTAGCCCCATCTACCCTTTGTAACCCCTTGTAACCGCCTGTAACCCCTTGTAACCCCCCGTAACCCTATGTAACCCTTTGTAACCCGATGTAACCCTTTGTAACCCCTTGTCACACCCTGTAACCCCTTGTAACCCCCTATAACCCCATGTCACCCCTTGTAACGCCTTGTCACCCCCTGTAACCCCTTGTAACCCTCTGTAACCCCTTGTAACCCCTTGTCACCCCTTGTCACACCCTAGATAAAAAAGAAGCCTTTAAAGATTATAAAAACAACTGTTTACGAAAAACGCAAAATTAGATTTTTTCCAAACGGGTTAGTCCATTGTTTTGGTCAAAAATTTGAGATTTCTTCAACTTTGATTTTTATGCAAAATAGACGAAGAAAAAGTATGTGGGAACGTTCTAGTTAGAAAAAAGTTTCTATGATCCTTTGTAACCCCTTGTCACCCCCTGTCACCCCTTGTAACCCCCTGTAACCCCTTGTCACCCCCTGTATTCCTATGTCATAGATCGTGAAAAGAAATCGTGAAAAAACGATTTTCGACGTTTTAGATAGCAAACAAGCCTTTCTGAACAACGAAAACATCGGTTTCAAAAACCCACAAAATTGGCATTTTTGCAAAGGGGATAGTCCATGGTTTTGGTCAAAAATTTGAAATTTTGCTAACGTTTGCTTTTATGCAAAATACACCCAGAAAAAGTATTTGGTGACGTTCTGGTTAGAAAACAAGCCTTTCTACACAATATAAAGGTGGATTTGAAAAGAAGGCAAAATTGACATTTTTGCGAAGGGGATAGTCCATGATTTTGGTCAAAAAGTTGAAGTTTTTTCGTCTTTTGTGTTTATCAAAAATAGATCGAGAAAAAGTGTTTGCTGACGTTCTAGATAAAAAAGACGCCTTTAAAGACTATAAAAACAACTGTTTACGAAAAACGCAAAATTAAAATTTTTTCAAAGGGGTTAGTCCATCGTTTTGGTCAAAAATTTGAGATTTCTTCAACTTTGATTTTTATGCAAAATAGACGAAGAAAATTGGCATTTTTGCAAAGGGAAAAAGTGTTTGCTGACGTTCTAGATAAAAAATAAATCGAAAAAATAGTCCTTTTTTGTGTAAGACTATAAAAACAACTGTTTACCATGGTTTTGCAAAATTAGAATTTTTCCAAAGGGGTTAGTCCTTCGTTTTGGTCAAAAATTAGAGATTTCTTCAACTTTGATTTTTATGCAGAATAGACGAAGAAAAAGTATCTGGGAACGTTCTAGTTAGAAAAAAGTTTCTATAGTCCTTTGTAACCCCCAGTAACCCCTTGTCACCCCTTGTAACCCTTGTAACCCGTTGTAACTCCTTGTCACCTTCTGTAACTCCTTGCAACCCTCTGTAACCCCTTGTAACCTTTTGTTACCCTTTGTACCCCCCTTTAACCCTTTAACCCCCTGTAACCCCTTGTCACCCTTGTCACGCCCTGTAACCCCTTGTAACCCTCTGTAACCCCCTGTTTCATTTGTCACCCTCTGTAACCCCTTGCAACCCCTTGTAACCTCCTGTACCCCTCGTTGTAACGCCTTGGATAGGATAGGATAGGATAGCTGCTTTATTATAAACAGTGCGCCTACAGACACATGTTTGTAACCACTTGTAACCCCTGTAACCACTCTTAGCCCCTTGCTACCCCTTGTTACCTTTGTTACCCCTTGTTACCACTTGTTCTCCTTGTTACCCCTAGTTACCTCTTGTTACCACTTGTTCTCCTTGTTACCCCTAGGTACCTCTTTTTACTCCTTGTTACCCTTTGTTACCCCCTGTTACCCCTTGTTATCCCTTGTTACCGCTTTTTACCCCTTGGAACCCCTTGTTTCCCCTTGTTTCTTCCTGTTACCCTTGTTACCCTTTGTAACCCCTTGTCACCCCCTCTAGTCCCTTGTAACCCCTTTTAACCCCCTGTAACCCTTTTTTAACCTCTTGTCACCTCTGTAACACTTGTAACCGCTTGTAACCGCTGTGCTCACTCAAAAAATATTTTTAAAAGTTGAAGAAAAATTTCGTACCTTCAAGCGTCCATGTAATTTTCTTTTTGTTATATAAGATCCTCACAATACAACAAAAGATGTTTTTATTCTTTATTTGAAAAAGTAAAGGTTTGAAATTGACTTCAAAAGCCTAAAGTCAGTTTTGTAAGTAGAAAATGTATAAGAAACATCCAAACATGTAAACAGATAACTGCTAAGTCAAGATCTCATGTCACAAATAGGTAGCCGCCCTGTGCGGGCAACCTTGAACATATTATTTATTTTATAGGGAACTGGGAAAATTGCGTTCTCATATAGAACTTAAATGCAAAAAGCTGAGTGCAGAAGAGATAGAGTGGATAGAACAGACAGCTTATCAGATCATAAGGGACAACACACCTGTTAATGTTCATGTGCACCCCAGTGCAGCTTGTCCTGAGCTACAGAATGTAAGTTTGCATAAACAGGGAAAGTATGGATATATATAGTAGAGCATGGGTATTTATAGTAGAGTACGGATAGTTATCGTACGGTATCACCGTAGGGGAACACATGTTACTGGGAATATGTGTTCCCGGGTAGGGGAAACACATTTCACTAGGGATATGTGTTTCCCAGGTAGAGGGACACATATCGCTAGAAATATGTGTTCCTAGGTAAGGGAACACAGATCACTAGTGGAATGTGTTTCCCGGGTAGAAGAACACTAGTGATATGTGTATCCCAGGTAGAGGAACACAGTTATAATTATCGCTGGGAATTGTTCCTAGGTGGGGAAAACTCATTCCACTAGCGATATGTGTTAGCGGGAACACATATGAACACTTACTGTGACGTCGTAGTGATATGTGTCTCCTCTAACACATACCCCAAGTGAAATGCGTTTCCTCTACACGGAGACACATATCACTATGTGTTCCCCTACCTGGGAAATATATCACTAGTGATATGTTCTCCTACGCGGGAAACACATATCACTAGTGATATGTGTTCCCCTACCTGTGAAACACAGATCACCAGTGATATGTGTTCCCCTACCTCGGAAACATATCACTAGTGATATGTGTTCTCCTATCCAGGAAACACATATCCGGAGTGATATGTGTTCCTCTACCTAAAAAAGGAGAGAGAAGGTGTCGTCACATCTGAGGAATTTTAATTTCGTCATCGAAAAGGTCGAAGCAAAATAATGATTGGCCAAGACGAAATTTGGCAATGACGCCATTACTGTCCGAAACTGAGGAGTGACAGGCCAGATACCTTTCTTCCCTTCCCTCATAGCCCCCCAAAGAGATTAATAGTCCTTCCTCTTTCTCAAGACTGGCTTAAGTCACAGTTGAAACTCGAGTGTAATTATTAAGAGTGAAGAAAATTGTTGTGTTTTGTTCCTTTTTTAACATGTCAGGGATTGACAGGAATATGTGTTGTGGAACACACGTCAGTAATCTCAGTCAAGTGCAGGTACACAATGTTGAAATACCATACACATCTCTTTTTAATCCCACTGTTAAATGTGATCCAATTCGGAAGCACATTCAGACACTTGGGAGCTTAAACAACTACGACGGCGACGGCAACAAGAATGGCAAAAACCCAATAGGTTTAGATCACGTGCTCATGCCTTTTTGTACATTTCTTCGCCGTCACTGCACCTACGACGTGAAACTTCCTGAATTCACGTTTTATGGAGGACGGGAACACATGACAACGATTTTCATTTTCTTTTTGTGAACTTAGATTCAGTCCTTGAGAATTCAACTCTTGAAAAAAATCGCCAACATTTGACAAATTGAGAGTTGCAATAAGAGAAATGAAGTTTGAAACAGAAACATTGCAAATTCACTTTTTGGGTGCCGTTTTTGCTGCCGTTGCCGTCTTCGTTGTTTAAGCTTCCTATTAACTAACAAACACATCTCCATGGCGGTCATGAATCCCGTCATACTCTATTGTTACAGTAAAACCCGCATATAAGAACCGAGACGTTTAGACCCAATTCAAATTTAGAAGGATTTGTATGGAGTCATCAGAGCATAACTGGGCCAGTATCACAGAGACAATTTGCCCCACAAGGCTAGTTTTTGGAAAGTAGGCCTCTTGGATGTTGTTCTTTCAGAATATCCTGACAAATCCCAGAATTTCACAGTACTCTATACCAGTTGCTTCAAACATTTGCTTAGACTTGCTACAAGTCGACCTCTTGGCGAGCGGAGCGAGCCTTTTTGGCTGCGAAGCGGCCGACCGCGAGCGACGAAGTCGCGAGAGGTCGACTTGTCTCGCTTGATGGGTTTCCATTTGTATTTCGCGCCAAAAATGGGGATTGGCGTGACTCGCATTTGGGGTTTCAGGTTTCATTTGCGAGTCCTTGACTTCAATGGCGGAATGTGCTGATTCGACTCCGACTAAATCTATTGAACGAGGAGCAAATTTGTTTACTTTGTGCGAAAGTTGTCTCTAACAATGATTTTAGGCGAAAGTTGATGACCTCAGGGGGCCGGAAAAAAACAAAAACTTGTTTCAATCTCGAGTCAATACTGGGAAAGGAGATTTCACAACCAAGGAATCCTTGACATCCGCACACATTTTAAACCTACAGATACTTTTCAATACACGCATTTCTCTTCCTGTAACCCTCACGGGGTCAGAACTAACTCCTCAGCTAAATCCTTCTATGAAAACATCTACAACTTCAAAAAACGCCTTCGCGCTAGAGGTTACCCCCACAACCTCATAGGAAAAATCACTTCTGAGGTTAAATTTGCCGAACGGAAGTCAGCTTTACAAAAGAACAATGAAGTGCGGAAGAAAATTCTGCCTTTCGTTACCACGTACCACTCTTCTTTGCAGAACCCTAACAACATTTTAATGAGCAAATGGCACTTAATTCAAGATCACCCACTACTAAGAGAAATATACAACAAGCCTCCCATCAGTTCATATAAAAGAGCAAAATCGCTGGGAGATATCCTCGTTAGAGCAAAACTATAAGGTCACGTATCACACTATCACGAACTTATGAGTCAAACCGCAAGTCACGTTTCAGTGCGCTTAGTACATGTGAGTGACAGCCTTATCCCCAAGGGTCCTTGGGAGCTATTCCGATTGGTCCAAGCGCACCGACCCGTTTTTGGGTCGGTGAAATTCGCGCCAATCAAGTATGAAAAGTCCTTCGTCCCGCGCCATATGAAATCCGACGAAGGACTTTTTTGAAAGTCTAACATTTGCTGTGTTACAGGTGTTTCATCCCAAGAGGGGAGGGGGTAGGGTGTGGGTATGCTTCCCCTACTGACAGTCATATAATGGTCTCCCAGAGTAAACATGTTTTTGAGGTACATATCATTAAAGGACAATAATTACTGTTTGCATTTACAGTTAAACCAGGTCAAGCGTTCCCGTCGCTAACGAACTAATGAATTCATTGATGGAAAAATGATTTCTTTTGTTGATTCTATAATCCATTCATAAAATGAATAATCCAACAGTCAAATTGTACCTCGATTCAATAATTAAATGTTGATTTGGTTTATGAACAAAATCTACCTGTTCTTTATTCTTGTCTGTTGTGTTCAATCGTATTTGCTTCCCTTTTCCTTTCGTTTACGATTGCGTTTTTCATTGCCTTTAATCAAAATAACAGCTAGAATAGACAGACCGCAAACGCAAAGAAACTGACAAAGGCCGAGGATCGAAATCCACCAATCACCCCCCAACACTGACCTCAGTTTGACCGTCGTGTTTTCTAAGAGGTCAGGCCTAGGTCTGTTGCACTGATTACTGGCAGCAAACTGGCGTACAGGTAACAGTTTGTTTGGGTTTGAACTTCAGAACTCGCCAGCACTCGACTCTCAGAAAAAAAAAGAGGAAAAAACAAAATTCTGAGGTCAACTTGTGGAAAGTGTAGTTTTTCAAAAAACACTAATCGAATCAACATTCGATTATGGAATCGACGCTAAATATGAATATTGGATTGTTCAGTTTATGAATGGATTATTGAATCAACAAACGAAATCATTTTTCCATGAATGAATTCATTAGTTCGTTAGCGACGGGAACGCTTGACCTGGTTTGACTGTAAGGTCATCAAACTGTTTCCAGAAACAGAATCAATGCGAGGTGGTACAAGACTGTTTTTCCTTGCTGGAGACAGGGTTCTAAAGTACCTTGGTAAAGCTTTAGATAATGAGAGAGCATTGACTAGGATGTTAAGGTAAGAGCTTGTTCATGTGAGCTTTTTTTCAATGGTCAAACCTTGGCTTAGGATTTCATCTTCAGACTTAAGAGTTAGAACCACTTTGTAACGGTAAAACAATCCCACTGAAAAGTATCGCTCTGTAGCTTTCATCTGAATGGTCACACTTTAGGATTCATCCAGACTCAAAAGTTAGAACCACCTTGTACAGCATAATAAAACAGCACCACAGGAAAGTATTGTTCAGTAGCTTTCATTTGAATGGTCACATTTTAGGGTTTCATCTACAGACTTAAAAGGTAGAACCACAGGAAATTAATCCTCACTAGCTTTCATTTGAATGGTCACACCTCAGGATTCATCCACAGACTCAAAAGGTAGAACCACCTTGTACAGCATAATACACAGTACCACGGGAAAGAAGTGGTATAGTCGTTGCTTTATTTAAACGTCTTCTTCCCCAATAATGAGCTTCTTTTTGTTGAAGAGGGTTCACGCCCGAGAAAAATTCTGTTGATAAATGGCGTCGGCTATTACACCAGTTTCAGTTTTCAAACACTTCGACCTATTTGAACTTTCAAGAATTTAGTGAATTAACAGCGTGTTGGTAACGTATTAAACTTTTAACCGTGTAGGTAACAACCTAATCTTGGGAATACTTTGCTTAACTTTGCCAATTTCGGCTCTTTAGACCACACTTAAACTTATCTATAGCATGTGCACTCACTGGTATTAATCTGTTATCCTTTTCGTAGTGTTGGACCAGATGATCACCCATCAGCAGTGGATCGTATTCAAAACTCACTCAAGTCTGTTAACAAGGTACTTTCGACTACCGTGTCGTACCAAATTTTTGCGGTTTTTCCAGCGATCAGCAAAAATAAGTTCCCGCAAATAAAAATTACTGCAAACATTTTTGCCGCAAAAATTTACTCCGGAGTAAATATTCTCTAACTTAAATTCGCTTATGTGTATTATTGTAGTCGTGCAGTGAAGGCAAAGAAATGTACAAAAGAGCGTGACGCACGTACAACAACAACAACAACAACAACAAATTTTATTGAAAATTGGAAAATATCTAATTACATTACTTTCCCACCCGCTAATAGCTTATAAACTAATCGAGGCGGGGGGAGCTGAAGACATACTACAAAACAAGGTTTGTATATAGATGGACTAAATAACAGTGAAGACACTACTATACAGTAAATAGAATTTAAACTAACATAAAACAAGGCAAGTGCTGAATAAAGGTGATGTCACACGGGACGATTCGCAACTGCGATTTTTAGCGCAACACAGCGTAGCAATGCTGCGTTCTTGTTGCCGTCGCCGTCGTCGTTGCTAAAGCTCCCTACCTGTTTCGTGTGGACCGAGGGCCGATTCGTGCAAAAAGTTCCGCATTTCCAAAACTACCCGGATTCGTGTTGACGACGTAGCCTAAAGCTTGACTGTCTTTTGTTCTGTTGATTTTGTTCCACAGGTTACTAAGTCGCAGCTAAGAGAGCTTGCCCAGTTAGAAGCCTATCAGCTTCAATCCTCTAGCGAAACGAAAACATACTTCTACATACACAGGTAATTGAATAAGACGAGTTAAAGCAGTCGTTGGAGATTGAGTTCAAGTTGGAGCATCTATATTTGCGATTAGAGTTCGAGTTCAAGTTCGTATTCAAGATCGACTTTAAATTCGAAATCGAGGTAGGCTGAATCTAACATCATTACCAAGAATATTGATTCAAGACATTTTACTGAGAACGCAAGACATGGCCAATCTTACCGAGCATTGTGTAGATAGTTCTGTGGTTATCGCGTTCAGTGTGTTTCAGTTTACGTAATAAGAGAGATTTTGCCTAGTCCTTAGGCCTCATTTTTCCGCGCGGCCAGTGGTATCGGATATGCCCCCGAAATTCAGTGACCGAGAATACCTGGGAAGACGCCGTACGAGGACTAACGGCAGGGCGCAATTTTGATATTTTGTTGTGATTAATGTTTCGTACTTTTTGCTTTCATTCTTCTTAGAGAGAATGGAGATATGGATTACATGAATGCACTGGTCAATGAATTGTCTAAACAAGTAAGTTCTCTTTGCCAACGTTTCTCGCATTTCCTTGTTCTTTTGTTACTGTTTCATTGTTGTTTCTGTCCCCCCTGTTCCCCTGGCTTTTCTTGTTTCCCCTATTCCCCTTGTTCCCCTGTTCCACTTGCTCCCCCTGTTCCTCTGTTTCCTCTGTCCCCCCTCTTTAGTCTTTAGTCTTAAAGACTAAATTCCTTTGTCCCTAGTCCTTTGTTTCCCTTGTTCACCCTATTCCCCTTGTTCCCCCTTTTCCTCTTGATCACCCTGTTCCCTCTGTTCCCTCTGTTTCTCTTTTTCCTTCGTTCTCCCTTTCTCTGTTTCTCTTGTTCCCCTTGTTCCCCATTTTCCCTCTTTTTCCCTATTTATTTGAGTGGAGTGCGTGTAAACTAGCTGGATACGCTAATTGCACTTTCCACTATAAACAAGCCTTTAAACCTTTTTTTCCTGTTCCCCTTGTTTCCCTCGCTCCCCTGTTTCCCTTGTCCTCCTTGTTTGCCTTGCCCCCCTTCTCCTGTTCCCTCTGTTCCTCTGTCGCCCTTGTTCTGCTTTTTCCCTATTCCCCTTGTTTTCCCCGTTCTTCTTGTTTCCTCTCTCCCCCTTGTTTTCCCTGTTCCTCTTGTTCCCTCTTTCCCCCTGTTCCCCCTTTTTCCCTGTTCCCATGTTCTCCTTGTTCCCCTGTTTTCTGTGTTACTTCTGTTCCTCTTGTTCCCATTTTTTCCTTTTCCTCCTATTCCCCTTGTTCTCCCCGTTTCCCTTGTCCCCGCTGTTCCTCTCTTTTCCCCTGTTCCCCTTGTTCTTCTGTTCCCCCGGTTCCCCCGGTTCCCCCGGTTCCCCACGATCGCCTTGTCTTCCCCTTTTCCCTTTTTTCCTGATCCCCTTCTTCCCCTCGTTTCCCTGTTCCCCTTGATGCCATGTTCCCTCATTTCCTCTGTTGCCCTTGTTCCCCCTGATCCCCTTGTTTCCCCTTTCCCTTTTCCCCCTCCTCCCCGTGTTTCCCTGTTCCCCTCGTTGCCTTGTTATCTTATTCCCGCTGTTTCCCTTGCTCCCCTGTTCCCATTTTTCCCTATTCTTCTTGTTCCCGCTGTTCCCCTTTTTGCCCTGTTCTCCTTGTTCCCTTTGTCCTCTCTGTTCCCCTTGTGCCTTGTTATCTGTTTTTTATCTTACCACCGTATCAGAAACTTGGAAAATGAACTTTGTGTCTTTTTAAACTTTTTTTCAGCCTCGGCTTGTTCTAGTAACAGTAGGACCCGACAAAGGACCCGGGCAGTTCCTTCTTTTTGGAGACGAGAAGCAAGTGTCACAGATAGGCCCAAAGTAAGTACTGTGACAAAATGTTCTAAGAATTGTTGCTGGCTATTTACAAGCGTGGCCGAGGATTTCAACTCGGAGCTGCCATGAACAAATCCAGATAGCGGTCAGAGCGGGACTTGAACTCGGAGCCTCCAAATTGCAAGTCCAGCGCTCTAACCACTCGGCCACGCTGCCTGCCAACTGATTCGTAATCGATAACGATTAGTCTGAAGAATTTGTATCTTTATTGCAGCTTAATTGGTTAAATGGGTTAACTTCGGAGAACAATACAACCCATACCCCTCTCCCCCTTCATTCAAAGTTGTGTTTTTTACAGGTAGCTCGAACAGCGGCACCACATTGCATAGGGAGGGTGGGGGAGTGATTGAGTTATTTTCACCTTTTTTGTCCATGAAATAGGAGAAAGGCCTTTGAGGCGAAGTGTCTCAACTATTGTCACTGCATACAGAATAAGCGCATCATGGATTGTGACTCTAAACCTTTAGATTGCACTGTGCTTTCATGTCTCTTGGGCAGGGATGATGCTTTGCTGTCCATCTGCTTAAATTCCCGTGTTTTTCATCTATCGGTATCATTGGGCCTTTTGTCGTCCCACCCTCCTTCCCTCGTGCCGGTTGACGAGGCCACCTTTTCGCCCGCTGCTCACCTTGTTATCGCAGTTGTCACCGTCTCCTCCCATAACTTAGTAATGACTAATTTAGTTGCCGATTGAGTGTTCTCACAGGAAAATCTGTTTTATTAATCATGCTCTACCTTAGCCATATTTATTCACTGATCTCTGTTACGTTGAACAGAATTGCTGCTGTTTTTGAAGGCAAAGGCGGCAGGAAAAAGGGAAGATACCAAGGCAAAGCAAACACATTGAAGACAAGAAGTTCTGCTGAAGATCTTCCAAAGGAATTCACTTCGATATTAGTTAACGAGAGTTAACCCAGCAGTTACAAAAATCTTCCTAGAAATGGACAATTTTTTCACAGTTTTAGAATTCCTAGAATAGTCCCGGATTTCATATAGCCGCATTAAGTCCTTTCCCTGTCCTTTCCTCGCTAAAATGCCATGGTCTGACTTTGTAGAGCTTTTTCACATGATGTCATGTCCGCCATATTGGTGTCCCAAAACAATGAAACAGCGGCTAGTTGGCGTCCCAAACAATTTCTTATGTAAGACCCTATTTTTCTCAATAAATTTGGTTATTATTTATTAAAAATATTTCGCCGTTTCCTATTGGCTAAAATCACCCGCATAATTCATCATAACCAGCTACTGTTGATCAAACTTGGAATATTTTTTTCATATTGAACCGGTGACGTCAAAAGTGCAGCAGAGTTGAAGATTATTGAACCATTAACCAAGAAAACCTGGAAACGAGTTTGATTTGTTTTCGAACTGAGTAATGGCAGAACATTTTACTCGTTTCACGACGAAACTATTGTGTATAACCTGGAAGGAACAGCAAAAAGACAACTCGACGAACATCTGCTATTTGGAGAATATTTGCAGACCCGAAAAGCCCTTTATCTCATGAACGTCCCGATAAAGATCCACTATCGATATGGACTTAACATCGATGGAGGTAAGCATATTTTAGCTTGTTTTTACACTTGGAATAATTTTAAATGAATAATAAAGCAATCGGCCTCTGTGGATAATACCCTCCTGGATTTGCAGAATTTTTCATATCCTACTCAGCTTCATTCAGTAATTGCTAAATAGCTGCTGGCTAAATAAAAAGTCTATGTAATCAGTTGCAATTTATTATTTGTTGGCGAGGGGGTGGGGACAGGGGCATGGAAAGGAGCATTTGAGCACTCTCTGATAGTGATTTTTAAAAAAACGAGAATAACACAAACCAAGTAGAGAATAGAGCCACAATTTTTGAGAGAGACAAGAAGGACATCGTTGTAGCTGTCACCGCGTCAGTCGTAAGCAGTTGTATTCCAAATTGAAAGTCAAATAAAAAGATAAAAATCGGTTAAAAGTTATTGACCATTCTCTGCGCTTTCAATGTTCAACCGGTGCTTCCCAGACACTCTAGACAACGTCTCGATTGCGACGGAACATTCGCTGCAAAAAGGACTTTTGAGACAGTTACTAGGGACTGGGGACAAAATTAGTAACAATCTTGGTAAGAATTATTAAGGGAATCTTGGGAAAATTCTTGGTAAGAATTACTACGGGAGTCTTCGCAAGAATCTTGGAAAGATTTACTACAGTAATCTTGGCAACAATCTTGGTAAGAATTACTACGGGAATCTTGGTAAGAGTCTTGACAACATTTACTACGGGAATCTTGGTAAGAATTCCAAAGCAATCTTGCCAAGAATCTTCTCAAGAATTACTACGGGAATCTTAGAGTCTTGGCAAGATTTACTACGGGAATCTTGGCGAGAATTACTAAGGGAATCGTTAAAGGAATCTTGGTAAGAATTACTACGGAAATCTTGACAAGAATCTTGGCAAGATTTACTACGGCAATCTTAGTAAGAATCTTCGCAAGAATCTTGGCAAGATTTACTACAGGAATCTTGCTAAGAATCTTGGCAAGAATTACTACGGAAATCTCAAAAAGAATCTTGGCAAGAATTACTACGGGAATCTCAAAAAGAATCTTGACAAGTTTTACCACGGAAATCTTGGTAAGAATATTGCCAAGGTTTACTACGGGAATCTTGGCAAGAATCTTGGGAAGAATTACTACGGGAATCTTGGCAAGATTTACTACGGGAATCTTCGTTAGAATCTTCCCAAGATTTACTACGGGAATCTTGGCAAGAATCTTGGTAAGAATTACTACGGGGATCTTGGTGAGAATCTTAATAAGATTTACTATGGGAATCTTGGTAAGAACCTTGGTGAGAATTACTACGGAAATCTTGGTAAGAATCTTGGAAATATGTACTAAGGGAATCTTGGTAAGAATTACTACGGGAATCTTTGCAAGAATCTTGGTAAGAATCTTGGTAAGAATTACTACGGGAATCTTGACAAGAATGTTGGTAAGAATTACTACCGGAATCTTGGTAAGAATCTTGGGGAGAATTACTACGGGAATCTTGACAAGAATCTTGGCAAGTTTTACTACTGAAATCTTGGTAAGAATCTTGGCAAGAATGTTGGTAAAGAATTACTACGGGAATCATGGTAAGAATCTTGGTAAGAATTACTACGGGAATCTTGGAAAGAATCTTGGGAAGAATTACTACGGGAATCTTGACAAGAATCTTGGCAAGTTTTACCACGGAAATATTGGTAAGAATCATCGCAAGATATACTACGGGAATCTTGGCAAGAATCTTGGAAATATGTACTACGGGAATCCTGGTAAGAATTATTACGGGAATCTTGGCAAGAATCTTGGTAAGAATTACTACGGGAATCTTGGTAAGAATCTTGGTAAGAATTACTACGGTAATCTTGGCAATAGTCTTGGGAAGAATTTATATGGGAATCTTGACAAGACTCTTAAAAAAATAGTAAGGGAATCTTGGCAAGAAACGTGGTAACAATTACTACGGGAATGTTGGTAAGAATCTTGGCAATAATTACTACGGGAATGTTGGCAAAATCTCGGTAAGAGTTGCTACGGGAATCTTGGCAAGAATCTTGGTAAGAATTACTGCAGGAATCTTGGGAAGAATCTTTGGAAGAATTACTACGGGAATCTTAGTAAGAATCTTGGGAAGAATTACTACGGGAATCTTGGTAAGAATCTTGGGAAGAATTACTAAGGGAATCTTGGCAAGAATGTTGGCAAGATTTGCCACGGGAATCTTTGTAAGAATCTTGAGAGGAATCACTAAGGGAATCTTGGCAAGAATGTTGGGAAGAGTTTAAGGTAATCTTGGCAAGAATCTTGGTAAGAATTACTACGGGGATCTTGGTAAGAATCTTGGCAAGAGTCTTGGGAACAATTACTACCGGAATTTTGGCGATGGATCTATAGATCGCTGCATCGGTAGATCGCTGGATCTGTAGATCGCTCGATCGGTAGATCGCTGCATCTGTAGATCGCCGGATCGGTAGATCGATGGATGTATAGATCGCTGGATCTGGAAATCGCTGGATCGGTAGATCGATGGATCTGAAGATCGCTTGATCGGTAGATCGCTGCATCTGTAGATCGCTCGATCGGTAGATCGATCGATCTATAGATCGCTGGATCTATAGATCGCTGGATCGGTGGATCGCTGCATCTCGAGATCGCCGGATCGGTATATCGATGGATGTATAGATCGCTGGATCTGAATATCGCTGAATCGGTAGATCGATGGATCTGTAGATCGCTGGATCGGTAGATCGCTGCATCTGTAGATCGGCCGATCGGTAGATCGATTGATCTATAGATCGCTGGATCTGTAGATCGCTGGATCGGTAGATCCCTTCATCTGTATATCGCAGGATCGGTAGATCGCTGAATCTATTGATCGCTAGATCGGTAGATCGCTGGATCTGTAGATCGCTGGATCTATAGATCGCTTTATTGGTAGATCGCTGCATCAGTAGTTCGCTTGATCGGTAGATCGATTGATCTATAGATCGCTTGATCGGTAAGTCGATAAATCTTTAGATCTCTGCACCGGTATTTCGCTGGATCTCTAGATCGCTGGATCGGTAGGTGGATAGATCTATAGAGCACTCGATAGGTAGATCGCTGGATCGGTAGGAGGATGGATCTATAGATTGCTGGATCTGTAGATCGCTGGATCGGTAGATCGATGGATCTAGAGATCGCTGAATGTATTGATCGCTGGATCAGTAGATAGCTGCATCTGTAGTTCGGTGGATCGGTAGATCGATTGATCTATAGATCGCTCGATCTATAGATCGCTGGATCGGTAGATCGCCGCATCTGTAGATCGCCGGATCGGTAGATCGCTTGATCTGTAGATCGCTGGATCGGAAGATCGGTAGATCCGTGAATCTGTAGATCGCTGGATCGGTAGATCGCTGCATCTGTAGATCGCCGAATCGGTACATCGAGGGATTTGTAGATTGCTGGATCTGTAGATCGCTTGATCTGTCGATCGCTGCCTCTGTAGATCGCTGCATCGGTACATCGATGGATCTGTAAATCGCTGCATCGGTAGATGGATGGATCTATAGATCGCTGGATCGGTAGATCGCTGAATCTATTGATCGCTGGATCTACGGATCGCTGGATCGGTAGATCGCTGCATCTGTAGTTCGCTGGATCGGTAGATCGATGGATCTATAGATCACAAAATCGGTAAATCGATGGATCTGTAGATCGCTGCACTGGTATTTCGCTAGATCTGTAGATTGCTTGATCTGTACATCGCTGCATCTGTAGTTCGCTGGATCGGTAGATCGCTGCATCTGTAGGTCGCTGGATCGGTAGATCGATGGATCTATAGATCGCTCGATCTGTACATCTCTTGATCGATAAATCGATGGATCTGTAAATCGCTGCACCGGTAGTTCGCTGCGGCTATAGATCGCTGGATCTCTAGATCGCTGCATCGTTAGATCGCTGGATCGGTACATCGATCGATCTGTAGATCGCTGGATCGGTAGATCGATGAATCTATAGATTGCTGGATCTGTAGATCGCTGGATCGGTAGATCGCTGCATCTGTAGATCGCCGGATCGGTAGATCGATGGATCTATAGATCGCTGGATCTGTAGATCGCTGGATCGGTAGATCGCTGCATCTGTAGATCGCTGGATCGGTAGATCTATTGATCGCTAGATCGTTAGATCGCTGGATCTGTAGATCGCTGGATCTGTAGATCGCTTGATTGGTAGATCGCTGCATCTGTAGTTCGCTGGATCGGTAGATCAATTGATCTATAGATCGCTGGATCAGTAAATCGATGGATCTGTAGATCGCTGCACAGCTATTTCGCTCGATCTCTAGATCGCTGGGTCAGTAGGTCGATGGATCTAAAGAGCGCTTCATCGGTAGATCTCTGGATCAGTAAGTCGATGGATCGGTAAATCCTGGATCGGTAGATCGATGGATCTATAAATTGCTGGATCTGTAGATCGCGGGACCTATAGATCGCTGGATCGCTAGATCGCTGCATCTGCAGATCGCTCGATCGGTAGATCGATGGATCTATAGATCGCTGGATATGGAGATCGCTGGATCGGTAGATCGATAGATCTGTAGATCGCTTGATCGGCAGGTCGATTGACCTATAGATCGCTCGATGTGGAGATCGCTGGATCGGTAGATCGATGGATCTGTAGATCGCTGGATCGGTAGGTCGATGGACTTATAGATCCCTCGATCGGTAGATCGCTGCATCTGTAGATCGCTTGATCGGTAGATCGCTGCATCTGTAGTTCGCTGGGTCGGTAGATCGATTGATCTATAGATCGCTTGATCGGTAAATCGATGGATCTGTAAACCGCTGCACCGGTATTTCGCTGGATCTCTAGATCGCTGGATCGGTAGGTCGATGGATCTAAAGATCGTTTGATCGGTAGATCGCTGGATCGCTAGGTCGACGGATCTGTAAAGCCTGGATCGGTGGATCGATGGTTCTACAGATTGGTGGATCTGTAGATCCCTGGATCTCTAGATCGCTGGGTCTGTAGATCGCTGCATCTGTAGATCGCTGGATAGGTAGATCGCTGGATGTGTAGATCGCTAGATCTATAGATCGATTGATCGGAACATCGCTGCATCTGTAGTTCGCTGAATCCGTAAATGGATGGATGTATAGATCGCTGGATCTGTAGATCGCTGGATCTGTAGATCAATTTATCTATAGATCGCTGAATCTGTAGATCGCAGTTTTCGTAAATCGCTGGATTGGTAGATCGCTGGATCTATAGATCGCTGGATCGGTAGATCGCTGGATCTGTAGATCGCTGGATCTATAGATCGCTGGATCTGTACATCCCTGGATCGGTAAATCAATCGATCTGTAGATGCCTGCACCGGTAGTTCCATAGGTCTATAGATCGCTGGATCTCTAGATCGCTGGATTAGTAGGTCGATGGATCTATACATTGCTGGATCGGTAGATCGGTGGATCTGTAAAACCTGAATCGGTAGATCCATTGATCTGTAGATTGCTGGATCTGTAGATCGCTGCATTCTTAGATCGCTTGATCGGTAGATCGATTGATCTGTAGATTGCTTGATCGGTAGATCGATTGATCTATAGATCGATGGATCTGTAGATCGCTGGATCAGTAGATCGATGGATCTATAGATCGCTTGATCTGTAGATCGCTGGATCTATAGCTCGCTTGATTGGTAGATCGCTGCATCTGTATTTCGCTGGATCAGTAGATGGATTGATCTATAGATCGCTGGATCGGTAAATCGATGGATCTGTAGATCGCTGCACAGGTATTTCGCTGGATCTCTAGATCGCTGGGTTGGTAGGTCAATGGATCTATAGAGCGCTCGATCGGTAGATCGCTGGATCGGTAGGTTGATGGATCTGTAGATCCTGGATCGGTAGATCGATGGATCTATAAATTGCTAGATCTGTAGATCGCTGGATCTATAGACCGCTGGATCACTAGATCGCTAGATCGCTGTATCTGTAGACCGCTGGATCGGTAGATCGATGCATCTATAGAACGCTGGATCTGGAGACCGCTGGATCGGAAGATCGATAGATCTGTAGATCGCTGGATCGGCAGGTCGATGGACCTATAGATCTCTGGATCTGGAGATCGCTGGATCGGTAGATGGATGGATCTGTAGATTGCTGGATCGGTAGATCGCTGCATCTGTAGTTCGCTGGATCGGTAGATCGACTTATCTATAGATCGCTGGATCGGTAAATCGATCGATCTGTAAACCGCTGCACTGGTATGTCGCTGGATCTCTAGATCGGTGGATCGGTAGGTCGATGGATCTATAGATCGCTGGATCGGTAGATCGCTGGATCGCTAGGTCGACGGATCTGTAAAGCCTTGATCGGTGGATCGATTGTTCTACAGATTGCTGGATCTGTAGATCGCTGGATCTCTAGATCGCTGGGTCGGTAGATCGCTGCATCTGTAGATCGCTGGATGTGTAGATCGCTGGATCTATAGATCGCTGGATCGGTAGATCGCTGCATCTGTAGTTCGCTGAATCGGTAAATGGATGGATCTATAGATCGCTGGATCTGTAGATCGCTGGATCTGTAGATCAATGGATATATAGATCGCTGAATCTGTAGATCGCGTTTTTAGTAGATCGCTGGATTGGTAGATCGATGAATCTGTAGATCGTGGATTTATAGATCGCTCGATCCATAGATCGCTGCATCTATAGATCTCTGGATCTATAGATCGCTCGATCGGTACATCGGTGGATCTGTTATCGCTTGATCGGTAGGTCTATGGACCTATAGATCGCTGGATCAGTAGATCGCTGCATCTGTAGATCGCCAGATCGGTAGATCGATGGATCTGTAGATCGCTGGATTTATAGATCGCTTGATTGGTAGATCGCTGCATCTGTAGTTCGCTGGATCAGTAGATGGATTGATCTATAGATCGCTGGATCGGTAAATCGATAGATCTGTAGATCGCTGCACCGGTATTTCGCTGGATCGGTAGGTCGAGGGATCTATAGAGCGCTGGATCAGTAAATCGCTGGATCGGTAGATTGCTGAATCTATTGATCGCTGGATCGGTAGATCGCTGGATCTGTAGATCGTTGCATCTGTAGTTCCCTCGATCGGTAGATGGATTGATCTATAGATCGCTTGATCGGTAAATCGATAGATCTGTACATCGCTGCACCGGTATTTCGCTGGATCGGTAGATCGATGGATCTGTAAATCGCTGGATCGGTAGATGGATGGATCTATAGATCGCTGGATCTGGAGATCGCTGGATCGCTAGATGGCTGGATCGGTAGATTGCTTAATGTATAGATCGGTGGATCAGTAGATCACTGCATCTGTAGATCGCCGGATCGGTAGATCGATGGATCTATAGATCGCCGAGTCTGTAGATCAGTAGATCGGTAGATCGCTGGATCTGTAGATCGCCGGATGGGTAGATCGATGGATCTAAAGATCGCAGGATCTGGAGATCGCTGGATCGCTAGATCGCTTAATGTATAGATCGGTGGATCAGTAGATCACTGCATCTGTAGATCGCCGGATCGGTAGATCGATGGATCCATAGATCGCTGGATGGGTAGGTCGATCGACCTATACATAGTTGGATCTTTAGATTGCTGGATCTATAGATCGCTAGATCGGTAGATCGATCGATCTGTAGATTGCTCGATCGGTAGGTCGATGGATCTCTAAATCGCTGGATCGGTAGATCGATTGATCTCTAGATCGCTAAATCTGTAGATCACTGGATTCAATGATCGTGGATCTGTAGATCGCTGGATGTGTAGATCGCTGGATCGGTAAATCGATGGATCTGTAGATCGCTGGATCGATAGATCGATGGATCGGTAGTTCGCTGCATCTGTACATCGCTGGATCACTAGATTGTTGGATCTGTAGATCGCTAGATCGGTAGATCGATGGGTCTGTAGATCGCTGGATCGATAGGTCGATGGATCTATTGATCCATTGATCTCTAGATCGTTCGATCTGTAGATCGCTGAATCTATAGATCGCTAGATCTATGAACCTCTAGATTGTTAGATCGCAGGATCTCTAGCTCGCAGGATCTAGAGATTGCTGGATCGGTACATCTCTGCATCTGTAGTTCGCTCGATCGGTAGATCGCTGCATCTGTAGGTCGCTGGATCGGTAGATCGATGGATCGAGAGATCGCTAGATCTGTACATCCCTTGATCGATAAATCGATGGATCTGTAGATCGCTGCACCGGTAGTTCGATTGGTCTATAGATCGCTGAATCTCTAGATCGCTGCATCGTTAGATCGCTGGATCGGTAGATCGATGAATCTATAGATCGCTGGATCTGTAGATCGCTGGATCGGTAGATCGCTGCATCTGTAGATCGCCGGATCGGTAGATCGATGGATCTATAGATCGCTGGATCTGTAGATCGCTGGATCGGTAGATCGCTGCATCTGTAGATCGCTGGATCGGTAGATCGCTGGATCTATTGATCGCTAGATCGGTAGATCGCTGGATCTGTAGATCGCTGGATCTATAGATCGCTTGATTGGTAGATCGCTGCATCTGTAGTTCGCTGGATCGGTAGATCAATTGATCTATAGATCGCTGGATCAGTAAATCGATGGATCTGTAGATCGCTGCACAGCTATTTCGCTCGATCTCTAGATCGCTGGGTCAGTAGGTCGATGGATCTATAGAGCGCTTCATCGGTAGATCTCTGGATCAGTAGGTCGATGGATCGGTAAATCCTGGATCGGTAGATCGATGGATCTATAAATTGCTGGATCTGTAGATTGCTGGACCTATAGATCGCTGGATCGCTAGATCGCTGCATCTGTAGATCGCTCGATCGGTAGATCGATGGATCTATAGATCGCTGGATATGGAGATCGCTGGATCGGTAGATCGATAGATCTGTAGATCGCTTGATCGGCAGGTCGATTGACCTATAGATCGCTCGATGTGGAGATCGCTGGATCGGTAGATCGATGGATCGGTAGATCGCTGCATCTGTAGGTCGATGGATCGGTAGATCGATGGATCTATAGATCGCTGCATCTGTAGATCGCTTGATCGGTAGATCGCTGCATCTGTAGATCGCTTGATCGGTAGATCGCTGAATCTATTGATCGCTTGATCGGTAGATCGCTGCATCTGTCTTTCGCTGGATCGGTAGATCGATTGATCTATAGATCGCTTGATCGGTAAATCGATGGATCTGTAAACCGCTGCACCGGTATTTCGCTGGATCTCTAGATCGCTGGATCGGTAGGTCGATGGATCTAAAGATCGTTTGATCGGTAGATCGCTGGATCACTAGGTCGACGGATCTGTAAAGCCTGGATCGGTGGATCGATGGTTCTGCAGATTGGTGGATCTGTAGATCGCTGGGTCTGTAGATCGCTGCATCTGTAGATCGCTGGATAGGTAGATCGCTGGATGTGTAGATCGCTGGATCTATAGATCGCTTGATCGGAACATCGCTGCATCTGTAGTTCGCTGAATCCGTAAATGGATGGATGTATAGATCGCTGGATCTGTAGATCGCTGGATCTGTAGATCAATTTATCTATAGATCGCTGAATCTGTAGATCGCAGTTTTCGTAAATCGCTGGATTGGTAGATCGCTGGATCTATAGATCGCTGGATCGGTAGATCGCTGGATCTGTACATCCCTGGATCGGTAAATCAATCGATCTGTAGATGCCTGCACCAGTAGTTCCATAGGTCTATAGATCGCTGGATCTCTAGATCGCTGGATTAGTAGGTCGATGGATCTATACATTGCTGGATCGGTAGATCGCTGGATCTGTAAAACCTGAATCGGTAGATCCATTGATCTGTAGGTTGCTGGATCTGTAGATCGCTGCATTCTTAGATCGCTTGATCGGTAGATCGATTGATCTGTAGATTGCTTGATCGGTAGATCGATTGATCTATAGATCGCTGGATCTGTAGATCGCTGGATCAGTAGATCGATTGATCTATAGATCGCTTGATCTGTAGATCGCTGGATCTATAGCTCGCTTGATTGGTAGATCGCTGCATCTGTAGTTCGCTGGATCAGTGGATCGATTGATCTATAGATCGCTGGATCGGTAAATCGATGGATCTGTAGATCGCTGCACAGGTATTTCGCTGGATCTCTAGATCGCTGGGTTGGTAGGTCAATGGATTTATAGAGCGCTCGATCGGTAGATCGCTGGTTCGGTAGGTCGATGGATCTGTAAATCCTGGATCGGTAGATCGATGGATCTATAAATTGCTAGATCTGTAGATCGCTGGATCTATAGATCGCTGGATCGCTAGATCGCTAGATCGCTAGATCGCTGTATCTGTAGACCGCTGGATCGGTAGATCGATGCATCTATAGAACGCTGGATCTGGAGACCGCTGGATCGGAAGATCGATAGATCTGTAGATCGCTGGATCGGCAGGTCGATGGACCTATAGATCCCTGGATCTGGTGATCGCTGGATCGGTAGATGGATGGATCTGTAGATCGCTGGATCGGTAGATCGCTGCATCTGTAGATCGCTGGATCGGTAGATCGCTGCATCTGTAGTTCGCTGGATCGGTAGATCGACTTATCTGTAGATCGCTGGATCGGTAAATCGATCGATCTGTAAACCGCTGCACTGGTATGTCGCTGGATCTCTAGATCGCTGGATCGGTAGGTCGATGGATCTATAGATCGCTGGATCGGTAGATCGCTGGATCGCTAGGTCGACGGATCTGTAACGCCTTGATCGGTGGATCGATTGTTCTACAGATTGCTGGATCTGTAGATCGCTGGATCGCTAGATCGCTTAATGTATAGATCGGTGGATCAGTAGATCACTGCATCTGTAGATCGCCGGATCGGTAGATCGATGGATCTATAGATCGCTGGATGGGTAGGTCGATCGACCTATACATAGTTGGATCTTTAGATTGCTGGATCTATAGATCGCTAGATCGGTAGATCGATCGATCTGTAGATTGCTCGATCGGTAGGTCGATGGATCTCTAAATCGCTGGATCGGTAGATCGATTGATCTCTAGATCGCTAAATCTGTAGATCACTGGATTCAATGATCGTGGATCTGTAGATCGCTGGATGTGTAGATCGCTGGATCGGTAAATCGATGGATCTGTAGATCGCTGGATCGATAGATCGATGGATCGGTAGTTCGCTGCATCTGTACATCGCTGGATCACTAGATTGTTGGATCTGTAGATCGCTAGATCGGTAGATCGATGGGTCTGTAGATCGCTGGATCGATAGGTCGATGGATCTATTGATCCATTGATCTCTAGATCGTTCGATCTGTAGATCGCTGAATCTATAGATCGCTAGATCTATGAACCTCTAGATTGTTAGATCGCAGGATCTCTAGCTCGCAGGATCTATAGATCGCTGGATCGGTAGGTCCCTGGATCTGTAGATAGCTGGATCGGTAGATCGCTGCATCTGTAGTTCGCTGGATCGGTAGATCGATGGATCTATAGATCGCTCGATCTGTACATCCCTTGATCGATAAATCGATGGATCTGTAGATCGCTGCACCGGTAGTTCGCTGCGGCTATAGATCGCTGGATCTCTAGATCGCTGCATCGTTAGATCGCTGGATCGGTACATCGATCGATCTGTAGATCGCTGGATCGGTAGATCGATGAATCTATAGATTGCTGGATCTGTAGATCGCTGGATCGGTAGATCGCTGGATCTGTAGATCGCTGGATCGGTAGATCGCTGCATCTGTAGATCGCTGGATCGGTAGATCGCTGGATCTATTGATCGCTAGATCGGTAGATCGCTGGATCTGTAGATCGCTGGATCTATAGATCGCTTGATTGGTAGATCGCTGCATCTGTAGTTCGCTGGATCGGTAGATCAATTGATCTATAGATCGCTGGATCAGTAAATCGATGGATCTGTAGATCGCTGCACAGCTATTTCGCTCGATCTCTAGATCGCTGGGTCAGTAGGTCGATGGATCTATAGAGCGCTTCATCGGTAGATCTCTGGATCAGTAGGTCGATGGATCGGTAAATCCTGGATCGGTAGATCGATGGATCTATAAATTGCTGGATCTGTAGATTGCTGGACCTATAGATCGCTGGATCGCTAGATCGCTGCATCTGTAGATCCCTCGATCGGTAGATCGATGGATCTATAGATCGCTGGATATGGAGATCGCTGGATCGGTAGATCGATAGATCTGTAGATCGCTTGATCGGCAGGTCGATTGACCTATAGATCGCTCGATGTGGAGATCGCTGGATCGGTAGATCGATGGATCGGTAGATCGCTGCATCTGTAGGTCGATGGATCGGTAGATCGATGGATCTATAGATCGCTGCATCTGTAGATCGCTTGATCGGTAGATCGCTGCATCTGTAGATCGCTTGATCGGTAGATCGCTGAATCTATTGATCGCTTGATCGGTAGATCGCTGCATCTGTCTTTCGCTGGATCGGTAGATCGATTGATCTATAGATCGCTTGATCGGTAAATCGATGGATCTGTAAACCGCTGCACCGGTATTCCGCTGGATCTCTAGATCGCTGGATCGGTAGGTCGATGGATCTAAAGATCGTTTGATCGGTAGATCGCTGGATCACTAGGTCGACGGATCTGTAAAGCCTGGATCGGTGGATCGATGGTTCTGCAGATTGGTGGATCTGTAGATCGCTTGGTCTGTAGATCGCTGCATCTGTAGATCGCTGGATAGGTAGATCGCTGGATGTGTAGATCGCTGGATCTATAGATCGCTTGATCGGAACATCGCTGCATCTGTAGTTCGCTGAATCCGTAAATGGATGGATGTATAGATCGCTGGATCTGTAGATCGCTGGATCTGTAGATCAATTTATCTATAGATCGCTGAATCTGTAGATCGCAGTTTTCGTAAATCGCTGGATTGGTAGATCGCTGGATCTATAGATCGCTGGATCGGTAGATCGCTGGATCTGTAGATCGCTGGATCTATAGATCGCTGGATCTGTACATCCCTGGATCGGTAAATCAATCGATCTGTAGATGCCTGCACCAGTAGTTCCATAGGTCTATAGATCGCTGGATCTCTAGATCGCTGGATTAGTAGGTCGATGGATCTATACATTGCTGGATCGGTAGATTGCTGGATCTGTAAAACCTGAATCGGTAGATCCATTGATCTGTAGGTTGCTGGATCTGTAGATCGCTGCATTCTTAGATCGCTTGATCGGTAGATCGATTGATCTGTAGATTGCTTGATCGGTAGATCGATTGATCTATAGATCGCTGGATCTGTAGATCGCTGGATCAGTAGATCGATTGATCTATAGATCGCTTGATCTGTAGATCGCTGGATCTATAGCTCGCTTGATTGGTAGATCGCTGCATCTGTAGTTCGCTGGATCAGTGGATCGATTGATCTATAGATCGCTGGATCGGTAAATCGATGGATCTGTAGATCGCTGCACAGGTATTTCGCTGGATCTCTAGATCGCTGGGTTGGTAGGTCAATGGATTTATAGAGCGCTCGATCGGTAGATCGCTGGTTCGGTAGGTCGATGGATCTGTAAATCCTGGATCGGTAGATCGATGGATCTATAAATTGCTAGATCTGTAGATCGCTGGATCTATAGATCGCTGGATCGCTAGATCGCTAGATCGCTAGATCGCTGTATCTGTAGACCGCTGGATCGGTAGATCGATGCATCTATAGAACGCTGGATCTGGAGACCGCTGGATCGGAAGATCGATAGATCTGTAGATCGCTGGATCGGCAGGTCGATGGACCTATAGATCCCTGGATCTGGTGATCGCTGGATCGGTAGATGGATGGATCTGTAGATCGCTGGATCGGTAGATCGCTGCATCTGTAGATCGCTGGATCGGTAGATCGCTGCATCTGTAGTTCGCTGGATCGGTAGATCGACTTATCTGTAGATCGCTGGATCGGTAAATCGATCGATCTGTAAACCGCTGCACTGGTATGTCGCTGGATCTCTAGATCGCTGGATCGGTAGGTCGATGGATCTATAGATCGCTGGATCGGTAGATCGCTGGATCGCTAGGTCGACGGATCTGTAAAGCCTTGATCGGTGGATCGATTGTTCTACAGATTGCTGGATCTGTAGATCGCTGGATCTATAGATCGCTGGATCGGTAGATCGCTGCATCTGTAGATCGCTGGATAGGTAGATCGCTGGATGTGTAGATCGCTGGATCTATAGAGCGCTGGATCGGTAGATCGCTGCATCTGTAGTTCGCTGAATCGGTAAATGGATGGATCTATAGATCGCTGGATCTGTAGATCAATGGATATATAGATCGCTGAATCTGTAGATCGCGTTTTTGGTAGATCGCTGGATTGGTAGATCGATGAATCTGTAGATCGCTGGATTTATAGATCGCTCGATCCATAGATCGCTGCATCTATAGATCTCTGGATCTATAGATCGCTCGATCGGTACATCGCTGGATCTGTAGATCGCTTGATCGGTAGGTCTATGCACCTATAGATCGCTGGATCAGTAGATCGCTGCATCTGTAGATCGCCGGATCGGTAGATCGATGGATCTATAGATCGCTGCATCTGTAGATCGCTGGATCGGTAGATTGCTGAATCTATTGATCGCTGGATCGGTAGATCGCTGGATCTGTAGATCGCTGGATTTATAGATCGCTCGATCCATAGATCGCTGCATCTATAGATCTCTGGATCTATAGATCGCTCGATCGGTACATCGGTGGATCTGTAGATCGCTTGATCGGTAGGTCTATGCACCTATAGATCGCTGGATCAGTAGATCGCTGCATCTGTAGATCGCCGGATCGGTAGATCGATGGATCTATAGATCGCTGCATCTGTAGATCGCTGGATCGGTAGATTGCTGAATCTATTGATCGCTGGATCGGTAGATCGCTGGATCTGTAGATCGCTGGATTTATAGATCGTTTGATTGGTAGATCGCTGCATCTGTAGTTCGCTGGATCAGTAGATGGATTGATCTATAGATCGCTGGATCGGTAAATCGATAGATCTGTAGATCGCTGCACCGGTATTTCGCTGGATCGGTAGGTCGAGGGATCTATAGAGCGCTGGATCAGTAAATCGCTGGATCGGTAGATTGCTGAATCTATTGATCGCTGGATCGGTAGATCGCTGGATCTGTAGATCGCTTGATTGGTAGATCGTTGCATCTGTAGTTCCCTCGATCGGTAGATGGATTGATCTATAGATCGCTTGATCGGTAAATCGATAGATCTGTACATCGCTGCACCGGTATTTCGCTGGATCGGTAGATCGATGGATCTGTAAATCGCTGGATCGGTAGATGGATGGATCTATGGATCGCTGGATCTGGAGATCGCTGGATCGCTAGATGGCTGGATCGGTAGATCGCTTAATGTATAGATCGGTGGATCAGTAGATCACTGCATCTGTAGATCGCCGGATCGGTAGATCGATGGATCTATAGATCGCCGAGTCTGTAGATCACTAGATCGGTAGATCGCTGGATCTTGATGTGAATTCAATACAGTTAACTCTGAGTCACGATTTAGATAACCTAAACAAATGGCTTATTTCCAATAAACTTACTTTGAACACTTCTAAAACTGAATTCATGCTAATTGGCTCCAGACAAAAATTGAGTACTTTGTCGAACCCACTTGAGCTCTCGATTAATAATGTTCCGATAGAACACGTTTCCTCTGTCAAATCGCTTGGAATATTTATTGATGAAAATCTACGGTGGCAAACACACATTGATAAATTATCTAAAAAGGTCGCTTCCGGAATTGGAGCAATAAAAAGAATTAGACCTTTTGTCCCTCCACCTACCCTTCACTATATATACAACTCACTAATTCAATCTCATTTCGATTATTGCAATCTTGTCTGGGGTAATTGTGGTAAAACATTATTTGACAGGCTACAGAAGCTTCAGAACCGTGCCGCTCGCGTTTTAACCTTCTCTAGCTATGATGCTGATGCTAACCGTTTGATTAGACAACTCGATTGGAAAGACTTGAGCACTCAATTTCAAATACAGAAATCCATAATGGTATACAAGTCTTTAAATGGCCTTGTTCCTGAATATTTATCATCTAAGTTTGTTAAACGAAATGAAACGCGTTACTCCCTGAGGGACTCTGTTAACAAACTATTTGTCCCATTTCCGCGAACTAATTTCATGAAAAACAGCTTTACTTATAGCGGAACAGTTCTCTGGAACAGCCTACCCTGTCATGTGAGAGAAGCCGAATCTCTTAGTCAATTTAAAAGATTAGTTAATGTTCATTTTTAATGTTATACACGGCATTCATGAAAAACAGGTTTTAGTTAGATTAGTTGTAGTCAGGTTTTGAATTTTGTTTAGGATAGTTAGGTTATTTTTAATTTTTTTAAATTCCTGATGGATTTTACCGTGTTTAAATAAAGATTGACTTGACTTGACTTGACTGTAGATCGCCGGATGGGTAGATCGATGGATCTATAGATCGCAGTTTCTGGAGATCGCTGGATCGCTAGATGGCTGGATCGGTAGATCGCTTAATGTATAGATCGGTGGATCAGTAGATCACTGCATCTGTAGATCGCCGGATCGGTAGATCGATGGATCTATAGATCGCTGGATGGGTAGGTCGATCGACCTATACATAGTTGGATCTTTAGATTGCTGGATCTATAGATCGCTAGATCGGTATATCGATCGATCTGTAGATTGCTTGATTGGTAGGTCGATGGATCTCTAGATCGCTAAATCTGTAGATGGCTGGATTCAATGATCGTGGATCGGTAGATGGCTGGATGTGTAGATCGCTGGATCGGTAAATCGATGGATCTGTAGATCGCTGGATCGATAGATCGATGGATCGGTAGATCGCTGCATCTGTACATCGCTGGATTACTAGATCGTTGGATCTGTAGATCGCTAGATCGGTAGATCGATGGGTCTGTAGATCGCTGGATCGATAGGTCGATGGATCTATTGATCCATGGATCTCTAGATCGTTCGATCTGTAGATCGCTGAATCTATAGATCGCTGGATCTATAAATCTCTAGATTGTTAGATCGCTGGATCTCTAGCTCGCTGGATCTATAGATCGCTGGTCTGTCCCTGGATCTGTAGATCGCTGGATCGGTAGATCGCTGCATCTGTAGTTCGCTTGATCGGTAGATCGATGGATCTATAGATCGCTGGATCTGTACGTCCCTGGATCAGTAAATCGATGGATCTGTAGAACTGGATCTCTAGATCGCTGGATCGGTAGATCGATGGATCTGTAAATCCTGGATCGGCAAATCGATGTATGTATAGATTGCTCTCTCTGTAGATCGCTGGATCTATAGATCTCTGGATCGGTAGATCGCTTCATCTGTAGTTCGCTGGATCGGTAGATCGATGGATCGGTAGATCGATGGATCTATAGATCGCTGGATCGGTAGATCACTGGATCTGTAGATCGCTGGATCTATAGATGGCTGGATCGGTACATCGATGGATCTGTAAATTGCTGGATCGGTAGATCGATGGATCTATAGATTACTGGATCGGTAGATCGCTGGATCGGTAGATCGATGGATCTGTAAATTGCTGGATCGGTAGATCGCTGGATTTGTAGAACGCGAGATAGGTAGATCGATGGATCTGTAGATCGCTGGATCAGTAGATCGCTGGATCGTTAGATCGCTGCATCTGTAGATCGCTTGATCTTTAGATCGGTGGAACGGTAGATCGATTGATCTATATATCGGTGGATCTGTAGGTCGCTGGATCGTAAGATCGATGGATTTATAAATCGCTGGATCCGTAGATCGTTGGATCTGTAGATCGCTCGATCTGTAGATCAATGGATCTATAGATCGCTGAATCTGTAGATTGCTGTTTTGGTAGATCGCTGGATCGGTAGATCGATAGATCTGTAGATCGCTGGATCAGTAGATCGCTGGATCGGTGGATCGCTAAATCTGTAGATCGCTGGATCGGTAGATCGCTGCATCTGTAGATTGCTGGATCGGTAGATCGCTAAATCTATAGATCGCTGGATCCTGGATCTGTAGATCGCTGGATCGGTATATCGCTGCATCTGTAGTTCGCTGGATCGGTAGATCGATGGATCTATATATCGCTGGATCTTTAAATCGATGGATCTGTAGATCGCTGCAGCGGTATTCGATGAGTCTATAGATCGCTGGATCGGTAGGTCGATGGATCTATAGATCGCTGGATCGGTAGATCGCTGGATAGGTAGGTCGATGGATCTGTAAATCCTTGATTGGTAGATCCATGGATCTATAGATTGCTGTATCTGTAGATCGCTGGATCTATAGATCGCTGGATCGGTAGATCGCTGCATGTGTACATGGCCGGATCGGTAGATCGATGGATCTGTAGATCGCTGGATCGGTAGATGGATGGATCTATAGATCGCTGGATCTGTAGATCGCTGGATCGGTAGATCGAAGGATCTATAGATCGCTGGATCTGTAGATCGCTGGATCAGTAGATCGCTGGATCGGTAGATCGCTGAATCTATAGATCGTCTGGATCGGTAGATCGCACCATCTGTAGATCAGCGGATCAGTAGATCGATGGATATATAGATCGCTGATCTGTTGATCGCTGGATCGGTAGGTCGATGGACCTATAGATCGTTGGATCTGTAGATTGCTGGATCTATAGATAGATCGGTAGATCGATGGATCTGTAGATCCCTGGATCTGTAAATCGTTGCACCAGTAGTTCGATGGGTCTATAGATCGCTGGATCTGTAGATGGCTGGATGGGTAGATCGATGGATATATAGATCGCTCTATCTGTGTGACGTCAGTGGTGAGGTTTTAGAGCGGGGATGAGCAGGATTCTGACATCGCAACTTAAGTTTGAAAAACCGATATTGATAGACACATCAGTGGATAGGCTGGCTAGTCTGCTGTATATACACTGCGGTGTTATAATTGCGGAAAGGAAATTAGTTTTGTGAAGTTTGCCTCTCTCTTTTTTAATGTTTGCTACCCATTACACGCCCCTGGTTGGGCTCCCACAAATAAATATACGCCACTGCATGGCTACTAGATCATTTAGGCTAGTAAATATGTAGCTCTTTGCGGCCCTTGAGTTGTTTTTATAGCATATTTATGCTGTGTTATTTCCTTTGTGTTTTTAATAGTCACGATTTCAATTGAATCGTAAATTGGAAGAAGTCAACGCCCATTTAGAAGAGCAGGTATGAATTTGCAACTACATTTTTTGTTGGATGAATGATCTAATATATTGTAAACTTGATTTGATGTGTGGACACCTTCTTCATTGAAATCGGTAGTAAACACAGTTATCGGTTTACAAGTGTAAGGTTGAATATTATCCAATTTCCTACTCGAGCCTTAACTTGTGTTTATATCTCAAGGTCGTTGTTAGTCTTTTGACACGATATATGAGAGGGTGCCTTAATTTATTCGGGTTGATCAAACTTTGGAACCGGTTAAATTACGATTGCATAATTTGGCTAGAGTATTCATTAGGTGACAGTTTAAATGATATCGCACGAAAGGCAGTTGAGAATTTGATTTCGTAATGAATTCTCAAGATATTTAATTTTGTTTCTCATTTTCTCTAGGCCGTGGCCCGAGAGAAACTGGACAAAATGCGGGAAGAGAACGAATCGAAGACAAGAAAGCAGTTAGAGAGGACCATATCAGGCTTAAAGGTGGGTAGATCCCCAAATTTAATATTTCATTGAGAATTGTCGCATTGCGGAAAAACAAGAATCTCTTGGGCTCAAAGTTGCTGCTTTCTCAGTTTCTATCGCAGTCCTCTCCTCCTAGGTAATAGCCAAGACGCGTCAAATTGAATTAGGCCATCCGTGTGGCGCATCCATTATTTTCACATTGCCCACGATGCACTGTGTCCTGCAACATTTTGCATCAACATTGCTTCAATTTCTCCTGGATATTACAGTCGCCCCTTACAATTTTTGGTGTGGGGTGAGGCGGGGGGGTGAACATGGTACATTATGGGCGATGAGAAAATGTGGAATAGAGAATTAACATATCTGAAACCAATCGCTGTAAAACGCGAGAGGCTTCACGTATATGAAGTACCCATCTCTTCAGAACTGTACCTGATTTGGTTAAAACTTCCCTTTTATCAATGAGGGCACTCTGCACATATCAATTTTTTGGCCACTTGAAAAACTGCGTGCATTTCAATTGACGTTGGCGTTTACTGTTGCTTTATCAGGCTGATGTTGCTAAAATGCGCGCGGGTTTGCATGAGAGCCAAACACAAAAAGAAACTTTTGATGCTGAAGGCAAGAGGTACAAGGTAAGGTTTACTGATAATGCTGCTGTCCATTCACGCATATTTGATGATGTGTTGTTTCTCTAATCCATTTTGCCTTTTACGGTATGATTTTTAACCTTAAAATGTACGTAAGCCTTTTCTTTCTAGTGGCCGGCGGCAATGCATATTAATTGATGAAAAAGAAAGTTTTTACTTAAAAAAAAAAAGGTTCAACTACCGCAGGACTGCTGGGACACCAACATGGCCGCCGTTTTATGCTTTTTGGAACACCAATATTATAAAGAATAAACTAAAGTGTATCTTTCGCGTTTTTTTAGGATTTGTACCAGAGTGAATTAAAATCTAAAGACAAACTCGCCAACCGCTTGTATAAAGCAAATGAGAAGATGGCGGAGTCCCAAGCCTTGCTCAAGTGAGTTGTTACATGATGTTCTTTACTTCACCCTCCTGGAAAAATTAGTACAGTGTGTTTATGCGAAGAGTTGATGTGAAAATTACATGCTTAATTGATAGTAGAAGCGCTCAGGTTGTGTCAGTTGCCCGTTTATCGAAATTCTGTAATTCGGGGGCCCGAAACCAAATATTAGTATGTGTAATCAAATGGTGACGAGTGAAATTAGGGAATAATTTCACGCGCGTTTTGTCCAAATCCTTATCATTTATAGATTATTAGGATTTGGACAGAACGCAAGTGAAATTATTCCCTAATTTCACGAGTATACCATTTGGTTACTTATTAATATCATGGGTGACGAATTTACGTTAGCAATCTTAGATTTCGCCATGTTTATACTGGATCGTATCCATCGAGAACTCCACTCTCTCAATCTCTCAATCTCTAGATCGCTGGACCTGTAGATCGCTGGATTCATTGATTATGGATCGGTAGATCGCTGCATCTGTAGATCGCTGGATCGGTAGATCGCTGCATCTGTAGATCGCTGGATCGGTAGATTGATGGATCTGTAGATCGCTGGATCGGTAGATCGATGGATCTGTAGATCGCTGGATCGGTAGATCGCTGCATCTGTAGTTCGCCCGATGGGTAGATCGATGGATCTATAGATCGCTAGATCTGTACATCTTATCGATCGAGAACTCCACTCTCTCAAATGTTTAGTAAATTTGGCGTATAAAGTTCAGAATTTTTTAGACTTTTTCGGCAAAATACCTGTTTAGAGTCCGTCTTGATGTTCTCTTGTGTGTTCAGGTTTTCTAAAGCGTCTTTTTGTGCCCTGACATCTTCATTCAGGGCATTTTAAAACTTCGTCGCCATCTTGACACTGAGACGTACGGAAGTTACCATGGCAATTTTGTAATTTCACATGTCGAATTACAAATTAACGCTGAAATTTCGCGCCAAAATTAAGGAGTAATTCGTCACTTATGATATTAAAAGTAAAATCTTATTGATAAAAGCGCGGAACTTTATTTCACAAACCGGTCCATTTTGTTTTGGTAACTGATGGTCTTATCATGTTATCTCCAAAACGTTTGGCACCTCGATCTTGAATGTAAACATGTAAACAAAACAGGTTTACGAGGCCGGTAATCACCAGGCCCCGGTTGCTCAATAGTTGGGTAACGCTTTCCACCGGATAAATCGCTATCCAGCGGATACGAAAACCACCTCTTGAACAAACGGGACAGGACGTTCGAGAAACGGACCCCGGGTCCACCTAGTGGCGGGTTAAAGCGGCACTTGAACCCAGTCTCCCCTAGTTACAAGTCTGTTGCCTGGGTCAGTCAGGCACGCTGCCTCGGCAGCATTATTTTAAAGTCAATTTATTTATTTATTTGCCACACACGTGTAAAAATACAAATAATATAAGATAAGTAGAAAAAAGGAGTAGTGGCGAGGAGACCTAACAGAAACTATAGGAGCTTATGAGAGATTAGGCGTGCTCCATCTACGGTCTCTAGCTGTTTACATCAAGTGAAACAAGAGACGGCGTTAAGTCCAATGTGGAAAAGATATGATTGTTTTTCATATACACTTATTAATTTCATAAATGAGGAAAGGGATGGAAAGTTGATGCCTTTGTTGTCAAGTGAATTAAAAAACTTGGGTCCTTGAGAAACACTGAAAACTTCTTAGTGTTTTTTCGACAATAGGGTAGACAGTAGGCCTGGGATTCTAGTATTGTAAGAAGGGAATTGGTTGCTTTGGGAGAACTTGTGATAAGGTCGCTTCTGTAGATTAACTCTTGCATTGTTGTGTTCGTAGTCTCGAAAGATCACGGAGGAATTTTGAGGGTTTTCAACGTGGTCCCTCTCCGCAGCCCTTGATATCAGACTCTGTGGGCGGTCTATATGGCTCACCTGACGTCAGTCCCGATAGAATGCACTCAAGGGTAATGAAAAGTGATTGTAGTTACACACGCTAGGCTTACAGCGTTATGTCACAGTATTTTTTTGTATAACCTTCAAAATATTCCGCGCGAACAAGAACTTATTACAACTCTTGCAGCTCTTGTTTGAATAGCGGTTTACTTTGAGAGAGGCTTCTATGGAATGCTGAATACTCCTGAGTAAATAATCATCTGATTGATTGATTGATTGATTTTTCTAGGGAGACGGGCAGTTAATGAAGGCTGTAGAAAATGAACTTAACAAAAGTATAAAGCGACATTTGGAGAGCGGTAAGTACAACCTCATTGGTAAAACTGAGAAAACAAAGTCAAATATGGCTAGCCCGTGAGTGGCTGTCGGTCAGTGCAGACAAGTGAAAAAGCTGGCGAGCAGCGAAAAATGAGGCGAGCGAAAAATCAGCGGGAATAGAGAAGAGGATAGTATGGAAGCATTATTTTGAATACCTCCGTCCGCTCACTTCCAGAAAAACCGTTACTCCTGTAAGTGTCAAATGTCGAAGTGTGCGGTGTTTGAGGGTTTCACACGCTCGTTATGTTTTTTCAACACCGCGCTCGCAAAGCCAAGTGATTGATGTTAGTATTAACCTAAACCGTGACAAAACTGACCAATAACAGGTATTCCAGGAGCTGGTATACCGGAATGACAGACTGGCAGACGGACGCTCTCACGCGATGTGATAAGGCGTTGTTTTTAAGAATGTACGTTGATGTTTCTGAATTTCTTTTCGCAGCTCCCATTACATCCGACCTCGATCTCAAGCCGAGTCTGCTAAGTGATAGGGACAGCGTATCGTATGATCCTCTTTCCGCCTCCTCTAAACAGTATATGTCCCTTTTAAGGAAAAACTACTTTGTATAGGGACAAGAAACAGCTCTACTGAGCTCTTTATATCGCGAGCTTCTTAGGATATCTTAATTGCGTGAAGAAAAAAAATTGCCTGAAAGGCTGTAAAGAGAATTTATGCATGTCCAGTCTGCAAAAATTTCTTATCGGTCGCTTAGGATTAAATTTGTCTCAAGCCTAAAACAATTTTTAAATAACAGGAAAAGTTGTTAAAAATTTCTTTTCCTTGAATAATAAAGTTTTTTTAATACCAATTTTCAGAAAAAAGATAATTATGTAATTTAAAGTGTGTAGTAACTTTGTATAATTATATTATTAATAGTTGTACTATACAGCGATCCAGTGGACAAACATTTTTTTACTCAGATTTATTTATTTATCATCTAGTTCGCTCGTTGTTAATCTGACATTTATTTTAAACGTTCATCCCAGACGGCTGTTTTTACTCAATTAAAATATTTTTGCTAGAATCTGTTGCATTTTTTCTTTGATTTTGTAAGGAAGTCTTGTTTAAAACTCTCTTTAGCTGCACGGGTTTCATTAAGGACCGGGCACCGGGCAAACTGGCCGCCTGTGAACGCGACTTTGCCCTGTTGCTTAACATTTCAAAGAACTTCTTTTAATACAAGGAATGATCAACAACAGTTTTAAGTTAAAATCGTACCCTTCATCCTTAATGAGTCTTCTCAAACGTAAGACATACTTTACCGTCAAATTTCCACTTTATCACAGGCGACATGAAATCCCCTTGTTTGTTGTGTGTTAAAAAGACGAATCGCTCCAAAATGCATGGCGAAAAGAACTGTGCTCTGTGAACTGATTTAATTGTCTAGAAAAGTCCTCCTTTTTTGGTAGATGAAAGACATTGTCTGCAGCTTCAGAATACAGGAAAACACATCTCTGCGACTATAGAATTTCAAAATTTTCCGGGGAAGCGTGTCCCCAGATCCCCCCTGCCCGGAGGGCCTTGTCAGTCAATTCTTTTTCGGGTGTCAAACCCAGTTGCCCTCCTGTTCAAAACCTTAAAGGAACCGCTAAGCTGCCTCTTAACCCAGGAAGGGAGAGGGAACTCCCCTGTACTTAAGATACACCGTTTTCGTGTATAGGTACTGGTAGATGGCCCGTACGCGTAGCCGTAAATACGGGTAGGTTGCCTCTTACGCCGGGTAAGAAACGTGTAGTCTACCGTGTAGAACGGTAACGATATTCAGGGATATTATGTCATTGGGAAACAATGGTCGCCTTTTATACAACCGCGTGGCAAACACGGTCACCTTCCCGTACCTGTAGGCAGAAACGGTTTATCTTAAGGTCACAAATAGTACAATTTAATCCCATTCCTGTTTTCGGTGCGAAAAAAATATACCAGAACCATTTGACGGAAAATTTTTCACTGAAGTTTCCGCAGAAATGTTATTAAAGCGCTCATGGTCTCTTGTAGGCGTCAAAGGAAGCCTGAGCTGCGCCCAGATTGGTCTTCCCCCCAAGTTTCTGCTATAAGTATTCACCATTTTCATATTGCCCAAAATACACCTTTTAACCCCAAACGTTTGCAAAAGCATCCATATTCCTCTTCAATTTCTCTAGGGGCGACTGTAACACGCAGGAGATGTTTATACCAAGTTTTCCCTCAGGGGCCAATGATTTCCTGGCCTGATTCTCAGACGTCCTAGGTCGTTCGCGGTCTCTTCGCTTCCTTCCGGAGAGAGAGGGAAGCGACCCTCTAATATCCTTCAACTAGTGAAATCCTTACCGTTTGCTATACCCGAAGCCTGAAAAAGATACGCCTTTCGGGCGGAGCCTCCCTCTATTGGCCGTCATAGGGAGTTCCCCCCCCCCCTATGGGCAGGGGCGTAGCGCGAGGTTTTCAAGGTGTACGCACGGAAAGAAAGGTTGGATTTCCGCTAGGGGGTTCTGGGCGAATACTCCCCCAGAAAATTTTTCAAATTGAGGGGCTCAGAAAGGCCATTTCCTGAGTTTTCCGCAAGATATTTTCAGTAAATAAATACGAAGGAAAATGCATTAATTAGTTGTTTAATTTAGTGTTATCGGTAAGTTGCAATGTTTACGGGAAAAAAAAAGTGACACCATCAAGGAGGTTACAAGCAAAGGGCGAGGTGTTTACCCCTCAGACGGGTGAAGACACCAATATAATGCGAAAGATTTATCAATGATCCTGATTTAATAATAAAAATGCTTTCAGGAAATAAAAAAGAGATATTTTCTAGATTTCAGCTGTACGCACAGCTACGCCCCCGGCATGATGGGCAAAGTGAAAATGGTAAATTGCTGCCCGGTACAGAGCGTGAGACAGGAAAGAATGGGTAAAGTTACAAAAACAAGCAAACCAAAAACGACTATACTACATAAAAATCATGAATAATTCTAGTAAGGGCCTGTTTACATGGAGGTGGGGGACCCCAGGCAGGTAAGATAACCCGCTCAGGTGAGGTACAAAAAATAACCCTCCTTTACATCCAATCTTACAACCCCGCCATCCTGGGGTACACTTTCTCAAGATTATTGAATGGTCGCTAAGCACGTAAACAAGAAAAATGCTGGCAAACGACGTGTTTTGGAGATTAATGCTCTTCTCCACTCACTTGCTGTTGTTGCTACAACCTTCAGTGCTGTGGCTTTCTATCGTTATCTTTAATAATGATGCAAAGCCACCGCCAAGGCGAATTTTGCGCGAATTTGATGTGCTACGAACCCGACCCCGGCTAAGCCGGTTACTCCACCTTGAAACGTTCACATGGCAAAATTTGACCCCGGCTGAGAGGGTTACCTGGTCGGGCAGACCGGGCTACCCGCCTTGGCGGGTCACACCCACCTATCATGTAAACGTGATCAAATTAGAACGAGAGATTATATGGACAGGAAGGTTACCCCACCTAAACGGGTTACCTCACCTACCTGGGGTCCCCCACCTCTACGTAAACAGACCCTAACCAGGGTAAAGAGAGGGGCATTCTTTGGTCTGTTGACGAGAACGCAAAAAGGGCAATGGGTTTGTTAAGCAAAACAACAACTTTTTGCACGTGCATCACGCTTTATTGTACATTTCTTTGTCGTCACTGCCCGACTACCACGTGCAAATGCCTGATTCACACTTTATAGACGACGTAAACAAGCGACCGCGAATTTTTCTTTCTCTTTCTTAACTTGAGAGAGGATTCCCACGAAATCAACTGTAGGGAAATTTGCCTGCATCTGTTCCGACATTTTGGTGAACCGCCCAGTCTTGTGTAGGCGAATCTTTGTTCACAATTTTCCGGTACCCTTCATTAGCTCGCGCTTCTGGTTTATTAATATGGGTACAGAATTGTCACTTTTGAATACAATGTTCTCGGTTTGTAACTACGTGAAAAAGCAGCCAGGTTGCTGGTCAACACAAGAAAATTTTTGCGAAGAATTTACATGAAAATCCTGCAGCTAAATGGCGTTTTTAATTCCCAGTTCTCGCCTCTGTTACTCATCAACAGCGTGCCCGTGACGTCCGTGCATATGGGGCTTTTTACGTCAATTCGCATGGTAATGAAGTAAAATGTAAATCTTTACTCGTAGTTCCAGCGGTGCACATCTCGAAATTGTTTTGAGTATCAGTTGGTGTAAATTTAGTTTCATCAGAGGAAAGATAGGAACTATAAAGCTGTTTTCCTTGGCAACCATTTTTCAGCCCTCGTCCAACATTGGTGCTACAACAGGAATCGTTCACTGGTCGAATTCAACATGCACACGGCGGAGAGAAGATTGTGCTGAACGTGACGAGAGATCACCGCGACGACAAGCATAGTCTGCGGTCTGGAGAGGACCTCACCTGTCTTCTGAAATACAGAACTGCTCGCCATGACTCGCAGTGTTGATGCTCTCGTTACAAACGATCAGCCGCCACGTTATGTTAAAGTCCGTGCAACGAAATGTTCCGTTGTGTAAAGCTTATGTTGTCAGCAGTCCAAGGTCTGGATTTGGAACCGTCAAAGGAACTGCGTGCCAACTAAAGTACTCTTGAAGGAGCGAAGGAATTACAAAGCCAATTTGAGTGCGGTTAGTAAAGTTTTTTTTCCCGCATTCATTATGATTCATGCATTTAATAGCATTTATGTATCAAGGTGAATGAAACTATGTTCACACCAAATCGCATAACTTATGCTCCGGCACGAAAGGGCTTCTGATCACCGGCATAACAACAGTGATTTCGGCGCAATTTCTGTAAACACTAGTTCTCGTATGATGCCGACCTACCTGCGAAACGGTTGCGGGTACCGCCTGGGATACGTACTTTTCCATAGAAGAACAGAATTGACCGGCAACATTTTGGTTATTCCGGCCTCTATCGCTGGCATGCCTACAAACTTGACTCGGGTTCAATTAATGCGAAAAAAATGATTTCATCAAGAGGGGTTAATGCTTTTAAGAGGTTATTAAAAAAGTTGTTGGGTTTAAATCTATTATTGTCCTAAGCAGAAATTGTAATGAATCTTAAATTCTGGTCAGTACAATTCTAATGTGTCTTACCTCATTTGTGGGTAGAAGGACTTGTTTAGCTGCTCCCTCCAGGTCTTTTGCATCCTTGTCATACAGAGTTTTCAGTACTTCACTTGGAGGCGAAGATGCCACTCTAGTTGAATCATCACAGCAGAACAACTCGTCAGGCATCATATAGTGTCCTGCACATGTCTTGCCTTTACAGTCAGCACACGCTGGATTGCCATAGGACCTAGGTAAAAAAAGGCCGATAAGTCTACAGAAACAAGAAAGAGCTTGGGCGTTGTTTTTGTTTCTTTACCTGTTCAGGTCTGCAACAGGAAGTGGAGTGAAACTCAGTGGAGGTCCTCCGTCATACCAAGTTTCCTCTTTTAGGTGGTGCTCCTAACTTGCACAAGGGGTGGATACAACTAGGTTGGTAGCACAGAAATAGATGGAAAACATACTTGGATGGCATACCAGACACCAGGTGACGATTTCGTAACGACCAAACTTCATCGATCCAATTATACGTTCCTGGGTGTTCATTCTTCAAATTGGCTTTTTCGGCTGGGTTTCCTTTAAGGAATACCTTGACGAACGCTCTCAGTGTTTGATAACATGAGCTATCTGTTCCCTTATAAAGATGAATGTTGGTGTTCGCACATGGGGATTTGTTCACCCTGCTGATGTAAATATCAATAGCATCGTTAAGATTCTCCTTAAGTTTATTGTCATCGATCTTACCAGTTTTGGAGTCAAAACAAGAACCATTCAGAGTCGAAGGGATAAACAAATTGCTATGGCCGAGAGCCAGGCATCCGTTCTGCAACTCCACTCTGTTTCGGTTGCTGGAGCCACTATCTCTAGTGGTTACTATGAGCACTTTAGATGACTTTTCGAGGTGGTAGTTAGTCCACCAAAATTGAACCTCCTTGTGTGACGGCCCTTCATCATGCCCTCCATCCACTCTGACACAAACCTTACTCTTTCTCTCTCCGGTAATATGGTTGAAAAACGCTGGCTCCACCTCTGAATATGTCTCAATCACATTCAAATCATGTGCATGTTGTGCGGGATTCTTCTGATGAAGTGGGATGGCCTTAACAATGCCAGCACATATCTCTGCTGTTGTGCCTGTGCTGGAAAAGTTGTATGAAGTCGTTTGAAGTGTTGACGGGTATTTGTTCACATAGTCTGTCTTGGTGGTGAGTGGAACACTATCCTGTATGCACAATGTTGCTTGCTTGTTATGGGTGGCTAAGGTATCTAACCGAAACCCAGCCTGGTCATCTCGATTTATGTTGATGATATCTGTGCCGTCTTTGAGCTGCAAAGCATCAAGGGCCCTGTATAGGGCAGATGACCAATGCTTATCTGGATTATATCGTATTGTAAAGCCTTTTCGGGCTCGGCGACATGTGACCTTTGCAAGGCCTTTATACCGACTGGCAGACAACCGTCTTTTGTTTCTTGCAACACAAAGTTGCACCACAGTCCCATATCCAAACCTTCTTTGGTAAACTCGTTCCAAGTGCTCTTTTATTCTACTGAAAGTTGCTTTTTTTTCAACTTTCCGATTTCCATCAAATGTAAGAATCCCAGTTCTTCTCCAACTCTCAGCTCCTACTCCAGCACTCTTCACATAATTCTCAATGGTGGAACCAATATCTGGGCACTCTTTTAGAATTTTTCCAACATTCTTCCCTCTCTTTCGTCTCAGAAACCTAGCCTCTGCTATCCTCTGGGCTGCTTTTCGTCTTGCATTTATTTTTAACTGCTTCACCTTTTGGGAGATAATGGCCCGTGCTTCAGGTTGTAGGGGATCATGAATGTTTCCCCAATCTGCACCACTTTCTTCAGTTTCAGATCCGATGGCATCATCATCCACATCTGACTGGTTTCCTTGTAGTCTTTCTGAAAGAAGATATGCCTGTCTGCTCTGTTCTATAATAGACTCTTCCCTTTCATTCAACTTAAGCAACTGGATTTGGCCACTGAAGTCTAAGAGGATCTGATCTATGGCAGCTTTGGTGTAGCCGCTTAACTTCTGTTCAATAACTTCAACAAAAAGAAACCAGTTAAGTTCACAGGCTCTTAGTAGGTCCATCAGTTCTTGAGAATTCTGATACACTGATCCTGTATCGGTTATTTGCTTGCTGAGAGAAAACTGATGAGTTATGTCAATCACCACTGAATCTCCAGTCGTGCCATTCACTGGGTCATCCTCTTGTGACTCCCTATTATTGTCTTCCTCCTCATTCTCTGTATCAGTTTCACTTTCTTCATCATCATCACTATCATCACTGTCAACTTGAATACCGAATGATGACAGTACAGCTTTTTCTTGAATAGTTGCAATGGAGTCTACCGCCTCCCCTGATTTCTCTTGCTTCTCTTAAAGCATTTTCTACTCTTTCCTTTCTTCTCTGTATATCTTCAAAACCATAGATGCTTCTTAACTTTGTATTGCTTTGCCCAGATGCTGCAGCAACAGCATAGGTAATCCTTTCCCTCTCTGCATCTGACTCGGCAGCTGCTAAAACGTCTTTAATAGGCGTTACACTTTTCTTGACATGCTCTTTACCAAAGATGTCAAATTCACTGTCCAATCTTGACAAGAGGCTTCGAGCTAATTCTAAATTGCTTTCCCTTGGAACAAGGAAAACTGCATGGTTATTTTTCTCTTTTTATCCTGATAGCAGCGAGAGGCATTTGGAGAAGTTTTCTTTTGGCATGTGTTGACTTATACTTCACACCGGGGCTGGATATTGAGAATGCTTCATTTAATCTAATGTACCCATCATCAGCAATTCGTTTTGCAACTGTTAACAATCCAGTACACAATTTACAAGGTTGGGTATGTTCTGCAATGCATATTTTTTCCTTTGTGGCAACGTAACTCTCTAAAGTAAATCCTTGTAATGCAGAAATGTCAGTAAAATCATCAACTCTAACACAGTAAGACAAATCTTTAAAACTCTTTAACAAAATAACGTCACTGTCAGGCCCCCTCAACATATCCTGAGGGGGCTTTCCACAAAATCCTGCTCAGATGCCACAGAAACTTGGGGACTGTTACTGAGCTGTGTAGCCTTCAAAGTCTCTTGTCCTGAAGCCACTGATACATGAGGACCACTGCTTTCTTGGTCTAAAGCCTCAGGAACCATGGAAGGACTGCCGGGCTGTGTAGTGGTACAGCTTTCTTGCCATAGAACCACAGGGGCCTGACTGGGATTCATCTTTTTTATTGTTGGTTCCTTTCCTGTAAACGTCAATAGAGGCCTGATTCGAAACTGTGACACCAGTGCTTTGGTTTGCCTTTTTTTTTTTTTTGTACCACTTACACTTCTTTTCTTTCCTTTGAAACAACTTAAGCTCTTTCTGGGCCTCAAAACTTCCTTCCTTAATGTGGCCATTTCCTTCTGTAGCTTATCACACGTCTCCCAGTCTTTAGATGCCTGTGCTTTACTTTGACGAAGCTGTTTGTACTTCAGTTGCTGCTGCTTTCCTTCTATGTCTTCAAGAAGCTGGGCAGTGTGTTCCTTTCTGAATGTGTCCGAGGTATATTGTTTCTTGGATGGTACTGGTTCTACTTCCTCAACTGATTTTGATCGGGATTTTCCTTTCTTAAACACAAAGCAACTATCACCCCTTACTGCCTCTTTGGCTTTCTCATACAGGATACCCCTTTGGTCAAGCAGGGAAGGATTCTCAAGAGCCAGTTTACCTGCAGCCTCATTTACTGAAATCTGGTAGGGTGTTAACACCTTGTCTGACGAGCCCTTTCCATATATCATGGCTGCACTGATCACCTGTTGACTATTTTTTGTACTCTGTCCAGTCACCTTTGACACAAACAAAAAGAACTATCTATTAAAAGACAATCAATCACTTCATTTTCACATTTTAACCAATTTTGATGAGAAAATATTTTTCTTCTTACAGTACAACTAGAGTCCCAGCATAAGAGCAACAAAACAAAATACCGATCAGTATTGACAAATGAATAGTTTATGGATATTTTTGTTTTTCCCCATTACTTCTCCATGCAAGAATTCAATGTATCAAAATAACTTGAATACCAAATGTATAAAATATTATTGGTTTATTAATCCTGAAACATGGAGTAGGACGCTTCTTGAAGGTGATTTTCTATGTTGAAATCTGTTGTACTTACATTTCACTTTAAGAATTCAATATATAAACCAATATACACTGATGGAGAAAACAGGTCCTTTACAGTCATGTATGAATATTAATCATGATTCAGTAAACTCAAAGTGCTGAATTTATAACAATGGAATGCCATTATTAGTAATTACTTGCTGCAGACAGGCATGGGCATTATTTCCTTCATTAACCATAAAATTACTGAACCAGACTACCATTGAACAAAATACACTCACAAGGATCACTGACCTTTACTTTGGGGCCAATCCCTATCTTGCCATTGTTTATGACAAGTGTTGATTGACTTCCTGAGCAAACTATAAATATAAAAGAATAAACACTACTACTATAATGGCACTATTTTATCTACTGGCATATGTAATCTAATATGTTTCATTAGCAGATGCCTGATAAGCCTTCTTCTATTTTACTAAATTCATGAAACTGTGGAAGTGTGCAGATCGTCGAAGGTGGCGGAAGAATAACAGATTTTCTAAGCCTATCTATTTACAGCTTCAGTAGAGAAAAATGTTCAAGCTTTTGTCTGGTATGAAAGGTGTCAATAAATTTGATTACCTGTGGTTGTTGATATCGCACATATAGTGGGTTCAACAGCTGGGACATGGCTTGACGGCTGTATATATCAGCAAACAAAGTTAATTAGCGTTTGTCACACAATAGAAGTGGTACTGCCCAGTTAATGTGAACAACAGAGATGTATTGAGGCCAGAGAGCAAAATACCACATAATTATATTTTAATGAGTAAATATTTTTCTAAAAATCATTCGGAAATTTGGCAGCCCTTTCATTGTGACTGTCTCTGATTGGAGTTACTTCCTTAATTCAGCCAATCAAACAAAGAAAATCATACAGACTTTATAAATCAACTACAACAATAGCTAAATATTCAAATCCTATCACATATTGCACACCTTTGAAATGACACGCAACTTTGACTTGTCTTCTACAACAGCACTCGAATCAACATCAATAAATTCTTCCCACTCTTTGTCAAATTTCTGTAACAATATTTCGCCTTCAATTCCAAATGCATCCTTTATTAGTTTAACCATACAGTTGCCCTCTTCTACAGAGAGAACTTTACGCCTTTCGCCAAACTCAACCAGAACCTGGAACAAAGTAGCACTATATCAAAAGCTGCACAACACTGATTTGAACAAACAACGATTACACAAGATCCTCTCAAAACACTCCAAATTGTATTTCTTGTAGACAAAAATTTTTTAGGGTAGAATTATTAAAAAATTGACATAGAAAGTATCAAAAAATAAGATTATTTAATAAAGCACTACTGTCATTATTTGGTGAGATTTGGCACAGGTTTCTGGATTCATCTTCTATGCCACGACTGGAATAGGTCGTATTCCGCTTTCATCGAACTGATGTTTGTAACTCGGGTCCAAAATTGACCAGAATTTCATTTAATTTAACATTTGAAGTATACTAGCAAATCTATAAACACAGAGTATCGAAAACTTGAGGCAGGGTGGCATACTTTGAAGACAGGTAAGTAGGAAGTAAATTTTGATCTAAATGAGCTCTTGTGCGAATATTTCTTCTCAAAACTGAACGAAAAAAATACCTTATGTTATTAGAACGTTAACGACAGAGCACTGATGGGCATAAAAACAACGTTTTTGCTTTAAAAAAAAGCAACACGACACTCCTTACCTTTCTTTCAGCCATCCTTGGACGCGGGAAACTCGCACAAATGACTTCTGGGTATTTTCCAAGATGGCGGACCAGTCACTCATTCCCAGGTTCTTTTTGTGAACGTTTCGTTTTATGCAAAATACACCCAGAAAAAGTATTTGGTGACGTTCTGGTTAGAAAACAAGCCTTTCTAGACAATATAAACAGGGATTTAAAAAGAAGGCAAAATTGGCATTTTTGCAAAGGGGATAGTCCATGATTTTGGTCAAAAAGTTGAAGTTTTTTCATCTTTTGTATTTATCAAAAATAGATCCAGAAAAAGTATTTGCTGACGTTCTAGATAAAAAAAGAAGCCTTTAAAGACTATAAAAACAACTGTTTACGAAAAGCGAAAAATTAGAATGTTTCCAAAGGGGTTAGTCCATCGTTTTGATCAAAAATTGGAGATTTCTTCAACTTTGATTTTCATGCAAAATAGACCAAGAAAAAGTATCTGGGAACGTTCTAGTTAGAAAAAAGATTCTATAATCCTTTGTAGCCCCCTGTAGCCCCTTGTCACCCCCTGTCACCCCTTGTAACCCCTTGTAACCCCCTGTCACCCCTTGTAACCCCTTGTAACCCCTTGTAACCCCCTGTAACCCCTTGTAACCCCTTGTAACCCCCTGTAACCCCTTGTAACCCCTGTATTCCCATGTCATAGATCGTGAAAATAAATCGTGAAAAAACGATTTTCGACGTTTTATATAGCAAACAAGCCTTTCAGAACAAAAAAAAACATCGGTTTGAAAAACCCACAAAATTGGCATTTTTGCAAAGGGGTTAGTCCATGGTTTTGGTCGAAAATTGGAAATTTTGTGAACGTTTCGTTTTATGCAAAATACACCCAGAAAAAGTATTTGGTGACGTTCTGGTTAGAAAACAAGCCTTTCTAGACAATATAAACAGGGATTTAAAAAGAAGGCAAAATTGGCATTTTTGCAAAGGGGATAGTCCATGATTTTGGTCAAAAAGTTGAAGTTTTTTCACCTTTTGTATTTATCAAAAATAGATCGAGAAAAAGTATTTGCTGACGTTCTAGATAAAAAGAAGCCTTTAAAGACTATAAAAACAACTGTTTACGAAAAGCGCAAAATTAGAATTTTTCCAAAGGGGTTAGTCCATCGTTTTGATCAAAAATTAGAGATTTCTTCAACTTTGATTTTTATGCAAAATAGACCAAGAAAAAGTATCTGGGAACGTTCTAGTTAGAAAAAAAAGTTCTATAATCCTTTGTAGCCCCTGTAACCCCTTGTCACCCCCCCCTGTCACCCCTTGTAACCCCTTGTAACCCCCTGTAACCCCTTGTAACCCCCCCTGTAACCCCTTGTAACCCCCCTTGTAACCCCTGTAACCCCTTGTAACCCCTGTATTCCCATGTCATAGATCGTGAAAATAAATCGTGAAAAAACGATTTTCGACGTTTTATATAGCAAACAAGCCTTTCAGAACAAAAAAAAAAAAAAATATCGGTTTGAAAAACCCACAAAATTGGCATTTTTGCAAAGGGGTTAGTCCATGGTTTTGGTCGAAAATTGGAAATTTTGTGAACGTTTCGTTTTATGCAAAATACACCCAGAAAAAGTATTTGGTGACGTTCTGGTTAGAAAACAAGCCTTTCTAGACAATATAAACAGGGATTTAAAAAGAAGGCAAAATTGGCATTTTTGCAAAGGATAGTCCATGATTTTGGTCAAAAAGTTGAAGTTTTTTTCACCTTTTGTATTTATTAAAAATAGATCGAGAAAAAGTATTTGCTGACGTTCTAGATAAAAAAAGAAGCCTTTAAAGACTATAAAAACAACTGTTTACGAAAAGCGCAAAATTAGAATTTTTCCAAAGGGGTTAGTCCATCGTTTTGATCAAAAATTAGAGATTTCTTCAACTTTGATTTTTATGCAAAATAGACCAAGAAAAAGTATCTGGGAACGTTCTAGTTAGAAAAAAGTTTCTATAATCCTTTGTAGCCCCCTGTAACCCCTTGTCACCCCCTGTCACCCCTTGTAACCCCTTGTAACCCCCTGTAACCCCTTGTAACCCCTTGTAACCCCCTGTAACCCCTTGTAACCCCCTGTAACCCCTTGTAACCCCCTGTATTCCCATGTCATAGATCGTGAAAATAAATCGTGAAAAAACGATTTTCGACGTTTTATATAGCAAACAAGCCTTTCAGAACAAAAAAAAACATCGGTTTGAAAAACCCACAAAATTGGCATTTTTGCAAAGGGGTTAGTCCATGGTTTTGGTCGAAAATTGGAAATTTTGTGAACGTTTCGTTTTATGCAAAATACACCCAGAAAAAGTATTTGGTGACGTTCTGGTTAGAAAACAAGCCTTTCTAGACAATATAAACAGGGATTTAAAAAGAAGGCAAAATTGGCATTTTTGCAAAGGGGATAGTCCATGATTTTGGTCAAAAAGTTGAAGTTTTTTCACCTTTTGTATTTATCAAAAATAGATCGAGAAAAAGTATTTGCTGACGTTCTAGATAAAAAAGAAGCCTTTAAAGACTATAAAAACAACTGTTTACGAAAA